TTAGTAATAATATTCATTTAATATTACACCTAAATTAGTCTAATAATGTTAGTCTAAATATTTAAGATGTAGTCTGTTGTAGTTGTTCTACAGTCTGGTATCTTCTACAGTCTTTTGCTATCTCAAATGAAAACCAAGGCCATTCTTCCAGTTTTGGTCTCCCTAGTAGCACAAAAACTTCTGAAAGGCTTGTTTAGTTCTTTTAGGTGGCACTTTTTGCTTGGCTTCTCTCAGACTGGATTACTCAGAAATTGACACAGGGCATAGGAAGCAAAGCTGTTCAGAACACTGGGGTGTGTGGTCTGCCTGTCCCTTCTGTGTAAGCTGTGGGCTGGCCCTTCACATGCCAGCTCTCTCAGTAGCAATGAAATCTAACTTCTGTTTTGCCGGCCACAAGACACTGTCAAAACCCTTCGCAGTTGGTTTCTGCTTGGCTTCTTTGCCTTTTCTGCCCAAACCACTTACAGATCATGAAAAGTCTCAAGAAAAAAACACAAAATAAATGTTGGGTTCACTTTACTGAGTAGCTCTCCTCTAAGTCTGGGATCCTCCATCCTAGCTGTCTTAGTAGCTTTCTAATGGCTTCAGAAATTTTCCTCTCTAACTTTTCTTGAAGTTCTGCTACCAGTCAGTCAAAAATTTCTGAAGATATATCAATTTTCTGATGATATTTTTACTTCACATGATTTAGAAGGTATAGCAAATAACCTTTATTGAATACAAATATTCCTTTTATGCTAACACTATTTATGTACAGTGTCAAAAATAAATCTAATTTTATAATAATCCCACTGAATTAAAATGCATTTACTATAGGTTAAAATTTTATCTACAATTTAATGGTCTTTCTATTCTGTTTCTCACATCTCTTAACCTTTCTGCATGTGTTTTCAGAGTCTACTTTAAATCCTTAGAAACAAGAATATATTTAATTAAAATTTAGAGGTTGGGATTTAGCTCAGTGGTAGAGCACTTGCCTCGGTTTGATTCCCCAGAACCTGGGTTGGAGAACTGAAATTAAAGACAGAAGAACTTTTCTAAAACAAGAGAAAATTTTTCATGACTCTTGTCCTCACAGTGAGTGAAGAAAAGTAGGTGAGCTGCCATATTTTCCTCATTTCACGATGGAGAAAGGGAGGCTCAGTGAGCTTAATTACTTTGCTCAAAACCCTAAGAAAAGAATACTGGGAAAGCCAGGTGTGGCTTTCCATTCAGCACTTTGTTTTACCAATGCAACTCTGAGCACTACTTTCTTCTCAGAGAAGAGGAAGTGTGATTAAACAAAGACTGAAGGCAGAAAACTTTCTCTTTTCTTAACCTGACTTCCTCATTGCATCCAAACACTGAAGAGCCCCTGTAGCTGGAAGAGATCTCCATTAAGTCGACAAAACCCTCACCACAGACACTGTCCCCTCTGGATGACTGAGGTGCTAGAGCCAAACACATATCCTGGCCCTAGAGTAAAAATCATCCTCAGTCCTTAGTGCTTTGAGCTCTCCCCTGTTTGAAAAAAACTGAGCCACAGCTTTTGGCATGAATTATTCTGCCACCTTCAGGTTGAACTGGGCCAAGGATGAGAAATGAGGGGAAAAGAGAGCCAAACAGGGCTTTTTCTGGTAGCAACTAAATGACTACCAAAATACAGCAGTATGCAAAATTGTGCTTACTTCCTCTAGTAGCAGACAGTTCCTGTTATAAAATGGATTCTAGAGAAAGCAATGCTGTGCTTATACGTTCTTAATAAAAATAGAAAACTACTGCTAACTCCCCACACAAAAACTGCTGAAGCCTTCCAGAAACATTACAGTTCACAGAAGGAATACCTGTCCAGAAGGTCTCAGATCGCAGGCTATTCCCTGAGCCATGTCCCTTTCTTTCTTAGTTTATCCTGCACTATACAAAACTGTCTGGAATTCATTCTTTAAAGGTTTATTTATGGCACATAGAGACTGTTTATGTGAAGCAGAGTATTTGCCTATTTCCCTCTTGGGACAGTGTTTAAAACTACAGGGATATTTCCCTCTCTGGCACTTTCTGAAATACAATTAACAATACTGGATCTTTTTCCTTTTTAACAAATCTGGTTTTTATTTAGAGAAGGGAGGAAAAAAGTAAAGGGTCTGAAGTTTCCCAACAAATTATTTCAAGCCTTTGAGAAGACAGTTTTAGGCTTTTTAAATAGTGTCTTTGTTTGAAATTCCCCCTAACCCCCACCCTTTTGCTCTCTGACCATTAAAATGTGGGTTTTCTTCCAAACTAGATTGCTCAATTAAAGCCCTTCTTTTGTAATACCCCAATGCTCTAAATGGAAAAGAGACGGCTGTAGGCCACCTTGTGAAACCTTTTACAGGCTCCTGGGCTCTTTTGATCTTAAAGGGGGGGTGCAAAACACATCTATGAGGGTACCTGGCATTTTCAATATTGCTGTGCCACTCTCTAACATGTGAACTTAGAGAGTAAGGGGGAGATGGGCTGGGGGAGAATGCTGGGCTTTTGTCTTTGCATTTGTGAAATGAGCGATTACCTCCCCCTTCCTTCATCCCAGAGTCAGGGATCCAATTGAGACAGCAGATGTGAAAATACTTTGAGTCCTTCTGAACAGACACCATATCTGGCAACAATGTACCCTCAGTGTAAACCTGAAGAGGCCCCCCTTGGAGATGTCTGACAGCCCGCTCCTGGCCGGGAGTAAGGAGAATCAAGACAATTATCCCTTCAATACTGAAGACATGGTTACCTTTTAGTCAGACTCTTGTGATTTCTGCTCAGGGAGAAGATTCCTTTCCTAAGCATATATTTTAACCATTATATGTTCATCAAAAAGAGCATATTGCCCTTTCTAAGTGCTACTAATAAAGGGATATTACTATGTTAGGAAACTCTGAATAAATGACATTATCTTATGAACCCCAGACTCCATTAGGAGAACTCAAGACACAGTAAAATGGTGACTTCCACAAACTGAGAGCTTAACTCTGAAGCCCCAGTTCCCCATGCCCTGCTCGAAACATTAAATCACCACACCTGGTGCTCCCTACACATCCCTAACACGGTTGTGCTGTTTAATTTGCTTCACTACAGGGCCTGATGAACACTAGAGGGAAAGGACTCCAGTCTGTTGTAGCTACAGTGCGGGTGGCATCAATAACCATGTAATGAGGGAACAGAACGGAGCCACTTCAGCTGCACAGAATCATGGTGCTTTTGTCTGTCTGGGCCAGTTTTCTGCTGGGAGCAATTTGCAAGGAATGGTCAGGTGTCTGTGTTTATTAGAAGGATGACGTGAAAAACAAGAAGTCCTCAACCTGCAGGAAATGCCTGCCTGATGCTGGTTTGCTGGGCGAACGCCAAGGGTTCTGGGGGAATATACTTTATCAAACGAGCCTGATCCAAAGGGTTGCAGAAGTTAAGTGGATACTTGTGGATATTAGCAAGATAGTGTTTCCCCCACGGTTTTCCCCTCTCTATTATAAGTACCTTAGTCTCCTGGGAAATGTGAAATTAAAGCAAGTTAGGCATTATGGCAGCGAGAGGAGGAGACTGTTCTGTACCGTTCTCAGAACACTTCTCCCTGGTCCCGACCAGCCACCCTAGCCATTCACCCTCCACTTGCCACCTCAGTGAGGCAGTCGCCTTACCCTATCTGCATCGAAATATAATCTGATCCTGACCAGACTACTGTCTCGTTACTTACAGGTCTGTTTTAGAAGTGAGTTGGACGACAATGGGTCACAGGAGGCCCACAAATGTGTTTTGTTAGGCCCACAAAGTTTTTAAAAAATAAGAAACTTGAATTGGTTGCCAACATTCAGAAAACCTGGAGATTCCATATTAAAAATCCAGATTTCCGGCTTCTCTTTTAAAAATACGAAGATCTGGCAACATGGGCTCACATTCCCTCTCAGGACAGCTGCCCCATGAAGTGCACTCTGGCTTGCCACAGTCCCCGCACTGTCACTTGAGCAACCAGCAAAGGCCAGGCGTGCAGGCATCAGGATCTGGGATTCCAGATTTATTGCTCATCTGCTCAGGTCTCTAGCCGTTCCTGTTCAGGAACAGAGACCACTGTGTAGCATCTGAGGGGAGGTAGCACAAGGCAGTGGGAGAGTGGGAGATGGTGATTAGTGGAAAGGGAAGGGCTTGATACACTGCATTCATGCACAGCAGCAGAAAGAAGCAGAGCATGGGTACAACTGGCAGGGAGGCACGGTAACAGCCAAACTAAGGAAAGACCACCTAATGATCGCCTGCTTCTCACTCCAATCACTGCCAAGTAGCTACCCAGGCTTGAGCAGAAAAACACTTTGAACTTCAATTTCCTGCCTACTGAATAAGGCCATACTGAGAACTCACAGGTCAAAAATTCCCTCAATTCCTTATGTTCTAGGGCACAGCACAATTAGCGAAAAAAAGTAGACATTAGTCACATAAGACTGGAATTGAATCCCAGCCCACTTTCTTACTTAAAATATACCTTAACACTAAAAATGAAGATGGTGTGCTCGCTTGGGCAGCACATATACTAAAAATGAAGACGGTGCTCAGACGGCATCTGTCAATGGCTGGCACATAAGGTCACCTCTGGGGGAATATGAGGCTGAGCCTTCCCCGAGGTAGCAGATATTCCCAGTGACAGCTACCACAGAGCAGCAAATACTCGGGGGGGAAGAGAGAGCTAAGAGGGGCAGGTCATGGGCACAAAAGGAAGGTACTGCTTTGGTCTTGGGTTTGCCCTTCCTGAGTCTGGAAGCCAGGAGCCACACAGAGAGCAGGTGGGTTTTACACAATTCCCTGTATTTGCTCTCTTTAGTTACTCCTTGATCTTTAGCAAAGTCATATTCAAACATTAAATAAAAGGACATACATGAGTCAATATACCTCTAAATAAGGAAACCTATAAAAATGCCTGCTAAATGCTGATGACAGAAAAAGCACATAGTAGACATACTCATTCTTTTCTGAAGAAAGTCATACTTGAGAAAGTCCCAAGGCCAGCTCACCTTGAGGTCCAGTGGCAGCTTGTTGGAAGTGAACACACTCAGCTTGATCTGGGGGATACTGATCTTGAGATTCTCAAAATAGTAACGAATTGGTGTTCCGCCCTGCTCGACCGTCTTTTCATGGAGGTTCTCATCGTATTTTTCTACCTCTGGTACAAAGAATTTAAAAAAGAAATCTTCTTAATCTCGTGGCTCGAATACTTGTATTCTCATTGAAAATTCATTAAAAATATAAACATCTCTCTCTCTAGTCTTTGAGAGATGAGTGACGTGTACTGCACTTTTTGTTTTGTTTTGTTTGAGACAGGGTCTTACTATGTAGTTCAGGCTGGCCTTGAGCTCGAGATGACCCTCCTTCCTCAGCCTCCCAAGTGCTGGGATTTACAGGTGTGCACCACCATCCCTGGCCTGATGCTACTTCTTTATAAATTTGTTTCATATTTATCAAAAAAGTAGACTAGTGTCAGGCATAACACATAACTATAAACCTCAGCTGTTGCAGGGATGAAGCAGGAGGAGCACAAGTTCAATCTAGACTGGACAATGTAGTGATTTAGCAACACCCTGTCTCAAAATAAAAAAATTAAAAGGGCAAAGTATATAGCTTAGTGTGAAGGCTCTTGAGTTCAGTCCCTAGTAACACACACACACACACACAAACACACACACTCATTTCATGAATGCACGAATGCACACACACATCAACTAGCCTAGTCTCGAAACTGGTGAGTTAGTGCCACCTGGCAGATACCATCTTTAGAAAAAATAATCCAGGTGGGGAAGCCAAAGATCAAAAGAGTGTTTTCGTAGGCCACGTCCTCCTGTAACTACTGCTGTTGCCTATGATCCAGATTATCTAATTATTTCATAATATGATATCCAAATAAGGATTGAGTACAAGTGAATCATTATGAGCAAGATCACCAAGTAAATAATGAATCTGAACGAAACATAATGCCACTAGAAGAACTGGGCTGAGGCTGTTAAAAATGACACTGAATAAGCAGCATCCTGCACAAATGGCAGGCATAATTTATGTGGAATAATCAAGGCAGAGTTCTTATCTGCCAACCCATGAAGAATTGACATGGGCTCGAGAATAGCAATGTGCTCCTTGCATGTACCCGCATGCTTTTAGGCAGCATGTTTTGCCTCAGATTTTGCCTTAGAAAGAAAAAAGAGATTGCACTTAGCAAACAAATCTACAGACTAAGCTATTATTGGTTCTACATACAGAAAAACACTATTATAACAGAGTCCTGCCTCTCTGTGCTCAGGAAGTAGAAGGTGCTATTGAAAACAGAGGCGATTCTCTGATGAAAGGCAGACAAGAATTTTGCAAAAGTCTAAATCTACTATACAATTCTTGGGGAAAATTTTATTAGGGCAACTTATAAGAACATGTGCAAGAAAAGCATGACCAATTAAATTTAAAGCAAAACTCTCTGGGCAAACATCAAAGCAGAATGGAATGGATACGTGGCCAGCAGGCTTTCAAATGGCAGTCAGAATACAAATGGACATTTAGGTCCCAACTCAAATTAGCATTAAAGAGACAGAATATAGCTCTTCCTCTCTCAAATGCTCTCCACCTACCCTGCACCCCGCTTTTTGCAATCCAGAGATTGAACCCAGAGCCTTGTATGTGCTGAGCACAAGCTCTACTACTGTGGGGTCACCACTAGCCAATCCCCAAATACTCATTAAGCTTAATTCTAAGTCTAGGATTAAAACACCAAAAGTATTTTTCTTACATTTTATGTACATTTATACACACATTCACAGGGAATTTTTTCTCTAGTTACCATGAACAAACAGAAAAATCTAAATTATCATTTCTTCACTTTAATCTATTTAGGCTACACTTCAAAAGGATGAGCATTATTGACTTCTAAGCTGAAAGTCCACCTAAAAGCAGAGGGAAAGGCTATGATAAAGAACTTAAAATGAGGAGACAACAGCTAAATTACCTCTGTAAGGCAGGAGGATAGTGCAAGTTCAGGGCCAGCCTGGACTACATAGTGAGACCCTGTCTCAAAAAACAAAAAAGCCTTCTGTAGCACTGCTGGAAATGTAGGCTTTTCAACAGCTTATTTTACTTCACTCTCCAAAGAGAGTAAAGTAACTAGAAACCTTTATAATTACATTAAGGCACAAGGATATGGATGTCAAAAGTCACTAAATGGAGATTAGCTTATTTTTTTTCCTCAACTAAACTAAAGGAACTGCCAGAGGGATTTCTGATTCTTGGCCCTGAGTCTGTTTAATAAACAAAGGTTAGGCAACAAAGTGGTTTGCCAAATGACTAACATCATTTCTGTTACACTAGAGCAGATGAATCGAAAAAGCAATGCAAAGCTCAGAGGAATAGTACACTGCTGCCCCATGGCTGAGCACAGGTGATTCGAGGAAACCCAGACCCACTCGTGGCTGCCTATTTCATGGACACAACTCAGATAACAAGCGACACTTTGAGAGGGACAGCTGAGAACCTCAGCAGCTCACTTCGGCTATAGAGTAGAAAGGGACTTGCCAGGCATCCAGAGGGGCAGGCACCTGGTTTTACAGATGCAAATATTCCACCCATGAGTCAACCCCACAAACAGACATTTACCTTTACCTGACTCTGCTTGGTCATAGCCAAAGAAACTCAGCAGTTTGAGGAGCAGTTTCTCTTCAATTTGCACTGTGAATCTCTGAGCTGTGACTAACAGATGCTGGAGAGAAAGAAATTCTAGGGTGAGCACCAGAGGAACTTTCAAGTGTACCATTAAGAAGGCTCCCAAAGAGTCAGATGCAGTAGCCCCTGTAGTCCCAGCTACCTAGGAGACTAAGGTAGGATTGCTTGAGCCCAGGAGTTCAAGGCCATCCTGAGCAACACGGCGAGACCCTGTCTCAAAAGAAAGAAACAAGCAAACAAAAAGAAAAGGTCCCAATGAGTAATATTTTTTACTCATGAGACTTCATGATAGTGCCAAATTATCTCTAGCTTATTTCCCCATAACTGTTACAATTAACCAAAAACTCCAGATGTTTAATAGACAATTCACCACCCTGCTGCCGGTTCCCAAAGCATCTGGGTCTCATTAGTGAGGAATACAGCTTCAGATGCACTGTGGTGGGTGAATTTTATGGGAATGTGCTCACACGGATGGCAGCTCATTTAAGGAGCTGCATGACTGGGTTTATGCTGAGGGCTACTGCCAAGCTCGGTCTCATGGGCACTGGTGATAAAGGACCAGAAAGATGGGAAGCGGCCCTTTACTTGGCACCTGCTTTCCCAGTCTGCTGCTGTAACTGCAGGCATATGCAGGGAGCCCTCTCCAAAAGAGCATCTGTCACTTTTGTACTAGCTGCTTTTGGTACACAGCATGGCAGCTTACATAACAGGATGTCAATCCTAAGCTCAGACCCCTTATATATCTTTTCCAGTGTCTCTGGGCCTCTCGACTTTAGAGACTATATGTGAGCAATCTAAAAGATGTCATACTTTCCTGCAGACTTGACTCAGATGAGCAAGACCCCAGCCCCTATAGACTGAATACTATCAAACCACCTGAAAACACAACTGTGCCAAGGAAAGGAGTGCCTGTCTACTAAGGCCACGTGACCTAACCCTAGAGGGCGACTTCCATCTGCACAGCCGCTCTGAGCCTTGGCTTGGAGAGAACCAATTAGCCTCCCAGGCGGCACGGCCCCACAGCCCACCTTGTAGATGTTGGTCAGCGCGCTTTTGCTAGGGAACTTCACCGCATTGACCTGCACGGCGGGGCCCGGTTCAATGACCTCATTCTCACTGCTCAGGGGAGTCACATAGAGCATGAAGGGCTGCGTGGTACCGATGAGCTGATTGTCCACCTAGACACAACAAAAGCAATAATAGACCAGTTGGTCAATTTTCACATTTTTTCTTTGAGCGGTGCCTCAATGCATGCAAGCTACTCAAAAATGGAGCCTGGTCATTCTACTCTACCTCAGTAGTAACTGGGAAAACACACTGGCACAGATGACCAGTAATAATCGGAGGAGTAACCATGGACGCTACCCTTTATTAGGTGAGTGTTCCACTAAGAGAACAGATGCGAAATTTTCCCACCACCAAAAAATGTGATAATGCATATGCTAATTAGCCCAATCGAGCCATTCAACAGTGTATACATACTCCAAACACCATACTGTACATAACAGACACATTTTTATCTATCAGTGTAAAACTTATTTACAGAACTGAAATCTTTTACCATCTGAGTACCACATGTCAGGCACTACTCCAGCCACCTCATATATACTCCCTCATTACATCACCAGTACCTAGAGTTATTAGACCAAGGGCTTTGCTGCAATTCTTGCCGCAACTTCTAGCACACTGTCCCATTTTATAAATGAAGATGCTCAAGCAGATCGATGATAAAATTGGAACCTGAATCCAGGTCTGCCTGCCCCCCCCAGCCCATGCTCTTAACCACTATGCTATAGAAACCTCTCTCTCCTTCCAAATTCCATGAAGAAAATTAAAATTAGAGTGCCAGTAGCTCAAGTGGCTACTAACCAGGAATAGTTCCCTGTCCTAATGCTAACTTCTGGCTCAGTAACGCCACACAAAGACATCCACCACAGGAAGCAAGCCTGCGCTGGGACGTTTATAGGCCAGGAGGCTCACAGCAGGACAGCCATCATTGCTTTCTGCTTCACGTTTTCTCTACACTGATACCTGATCATCTAGTTCAATGAACTCTACTATGATCTTTTTAATTTCTATTTTGGATTTATTCTGCCCTTCTTTTTATAATTTCTTTAAATGACTGGAGTCCATTTCTAACCCGCCTCCTTTTCTAACAGAGTATTTAGTGCAATCGATGCACCTCCAGATTACTCTTGTGTCACTCCACAAACTTTGAGGTGCTGTGCTTCATTCAGCACAATGTCTAATTTTGTTTTGATTCTCTCTTTGATCTATGAGTTACTTAAAAATATTCTAGTTTTTCAAATATTTGGGTATTTTTCCAATTGTCTTTCTGTTATCTCTACTCTAATTTCTTGTGGTCAGAGAAGATAATGTGAATAACTTAAATCTATTTAGACTTGCTGAGAATTGTTTTATAGTCCAGAATGTGGTTGATTTAATCTAGTTATCTGACCGTGCTTTTCAAGCATATCAAGTATATCTTTGATGACTGTTTATTATTCAGAAAGGAATATCAAGATCAACTGCTACGATTCTGTATTTGTCTAATTGTTTCAGTTTCTGCTTCATGTATTTTGAAGGTCTGTGATTAGGTATATGAATTTTCATGTGTATTGTGCCCTTTTGGTTAGTTAACTCACCATTAGGAAACTAACTACCTTTATCCTTGGTAAAATGCTTTGCTCTGAAATGCCTGATACTAATCTAGCCACTCCCACTTTCTTATAACTAGTATAAGCAAGGCATATATTTTCCCATCTTTTTTTCCTTTTAACCTATTTGTCTTTATAGCTAATGTGTGCTTCCTGTAGGTAGCATATAACTGGGTCTTGCTTTTTTAATACTGGGGTTGAACTCAAGGCTTTGCACTGAGCTACATTCATTCCCTTACCAGCCCTTTTTTAAAATTCTGAGACAGGGTTTTGCTAAATTGCCCAGGATGAGCTTGAACTTGAGATCCTCCCACCTCAGCCTCCCACAGTGCTGAAATTATAGACATGTGCCACTATGCCGGACTGGGTGTTTCTTTTTCTTACAATCTGATCATCTCTACCTTTTGACAGGGGTATTTATTATACTTATATTTAATAATTGACATAGCTAGGCTTGAGTCTTCTATCTTGATCTTTTGCTCTATTTGTCCCATCTGTTCTTTTGCTCATTTTCTTGAATGGGCAAAAATTATTTTTCATTATTCTATTTTATCTCCTTTGTTGGATAACTAGTTACAACTCTTATTATCTTAAGGTTTATAATATTTACCTTTATCAGTTTACTTTCAAATGATATCATATCACTTCATGTATAAGAAGATTGCAGTAATTTTCTCCCTTTAGCCTTTATGCTGATGTCATAAATTTTTCTCTTGTATGTATTAAAGACTCCAAAAATACAGTTATTATTACTATTTTGTTATTGTTGTTACCAGGAAATCAAACTCAGGACCTCGTGCTTGCCAGGCAAGCTGTGCCACTGAGCTAAATTCCCAGCCCTGTAGTCATTATTTTTGCCTAAACAGTCATTTTATCTTGAAGGGATTTAAATAAGAAATAATCTTATCTATTTAACCTTGTAGTTATCTTTTCAATTTTCTTCATTATTTTGCCTAGAATCAAATTTCCATCTGGCACCATTTTCCATTTACCTGAATGATATCCTTTATTAGCATTTTGGGTGGTGCAGATCTGCTGACAACAAATTCTTTCTGTCTAAAACAATTTCATTTCACCTTTGTTTTTGCAAGATATTTTCACTGGGCATAGAATTCTAGAATGGTAGTGTCCCCCTACCCTTTCAGTACATTAAAGATGATGCTCACTATCATCTTGCTCGCATTATTCTCAACAAGAAATCTATGTCATCCTTATCTTTGCTCCTTTGTACATAAAATGTCTTTTTTTTCTTCTTTTTCTTCTAGCTGCTTTGTCATTGGATTTGAGTAATTTGATTACAACATGCCTGGGCAAACAATTACGTTTCACAATAGCAGCAGGGGATAGGTAACAGGACCTCCTCTACATACTAAAATCCACACATATTCTAGTCTCTTACATATAATGATGCAGTATTGTATATAACCTAAACAAAGCCTCCCATAAACTTAAATCATCTCTATGTTACTTTTAATATCTCTTAGCTGTTATACTGCATTGTTTAGGAAATAATGACAAGGAAAAATTCTGTACAGACTCCATCTTTTCTCAAACAGTCTTGGTGTGAGGCCATCTAAACTCTCCGAAGTGGAACATGGATGTGGAAGGCTAATGCAGTTTCCTTCAAGGCTATGTATTATATCCCATCCAGAACAATTTTTACTTTATTATAATCTCCAAAAGTCTGGGTACTTTTTATACGTTTTGCTTAACTTTTGAACACAGAATTTCAGTCACATCAACTGTTTTAGTGTCTTCTGAAATTTTGATACCTGTTCTCCTCACTACAGAGTGTGCTTTCCAGCCTCCTTACACACTGATAATTTCTGACAGGAGGCCAGTCTGCAAACTTTACCCTTTCGGGTGCTGGATATTTTGCACTTCGATAAATCTTGAGCTTTGCCCAGGGATACAGTTAATTTATTTGGAAATAGGCTCTTTCAGGTACTCTTTTTATGATTCACCTGGCAAAACTGGAGCAGTCTAGGCCTTATTCACACTGGAGGCAAGAGCCCTCTCAGCATCCCTGTAAATCTTAGTTTGTGGAATCTGGCTGGGGACAGTGGGAACAAGCACCATTACCACCCCTGTGTGAGTAGCAGGCTCTGTTCCCTCTGATCCTTTCAGATGAGTAGTTTCTTTACACTGATCAACACTCTTACCAATATGTGAGGAGGGTGTCGCTCCATAGGCCCCTCCATATAGTGTTTTCTTTCTCACTCTCTCTCCCCTCATGTACACTATCCTACAAACTTAGCTGCCTTGATCTGTCTGGACTCAGTCCTTTTTTTTTTCAAGTCATCTACTCTTCAGGGCTTGTTACATTTTTTTGTTCATTTTTCTACTGGCAAGATGGAAAATGATGGGGTCACCTTCCTCTGTGCCACACAGAGTTATCTAAGTGATTTATGCACCAACTGCTATATTCAGAATTATACTGGATAGAATCATTAATGAATGAGAGAAATGTAGGTGGACACATCCCATTTCATAGGATGATATTTTGAAAGTCACTTGATAATTGTTCCAAAACAATTAAGAATTGAGAACACTAAACATTAAATCCATTTGGGTGTTCAGCAAGAAAACAAGGAGATAACAAGCCTGAACCTCCTCCCTTACCTGTACATCCTGTATGCTGAGTTCCAGCATGTGACTGGTTGCCAGCTGTGTGTAGTGCACATTGATTCCCATAAGACTTGCAAAAACCAGTTCTTCTGGGACCTTATTAATTAAGGACACACCAATTCCACCTTCTAGCCTCACAAGCACCTAAAGGGGAAAAAATATGGCCCACTGAGTGCTTGAAATATAGCTCATGAGAGTGCAAGGAAATGACTAGCTTTAAGTCTCTGTACTCTTGACGTCTGAGCAGATGAGAGTCCAGTTATTCACTGTTTTGGCTCACACACCATCACCTCACTAGAAGCTCTGTTCTTCAGATACACCCCACTTAGAGAAAACTCCACAGTGACGTGCTGATACCTCAAGCAGATGACTCTGGACAGCCTGCATCACAGGAATATAACTGCTGGGGAATCTCTCCTTATCTGGGCCACAAGCTCTTAGTAGGCTGGCTATTCAAGGCACTGCCACATCTGATGCAGTGCTTCACAAATCCATTTGATTTTTTAAAAATCATTAAATAAGTACCAAGTAAATGTGCCTTTTCATGTTCTCATCTTCTTTTAAATGTTTCATTATCTTTCCAATGCCCAAAAAGGAAAAAGAAAGGAAGACACTGAAGTCAGCTGGAGCAAAAAATACCTAGTTTTATTATTGTTATGGCTTATATCTGGATGTCCCCTCAAAGCCTCATGCGTTTGTAGGTGCAGCTTTGGGGGATGACTGGATCATGGGTGTGTCATACTAGATTAGTCCACTGATTGGTACAGCATGGTTTTGAGTGTGGATGATGGACTTACTGAAGAGGGAAGGCCCACCTTGGGTGTAGGTGGTACCAATCAATAGGCTTACAGCCTGAATGGACTAAAAAGGAAGCCTCAGTGCTTCCTGCCTGCCATGCCATGGACTGTTTCCCTTCTGCAATGTCCCTCTGCTGTGCCACCCTGCCTTGGAACCATCTCACTGCAGACTGAAACTTCTACAAACTGTGAATTAAAATAAACCTCTTCTCCTTTAACTTGTGGGTGTTGGGTATTTTGTCCTAGCAGTAAGAATGTACCTATGACACTTATTCTTTACCTTTACTCCTACTTAAATTCAAATTGTCTAGCTTGTTTCTTTTTCCATCATCTTACATGAGCAACATTTGTTACATTTTGATTCCCTATAAACTTTAGCTATCATTTACACAACACAGTCGCACATTCCTGCTGCAATAACAGTAAACACAGTGAAGCAAAACCCGTAATTAGAATTTCAGAATGAAAACACAAAACCACAAAGCAAAATTCTCAACAAATTGTTCATCACAGAAATAAATCATAATATTAAAACTTACTTCCAATTCCTGCTCTGTATCTGGATTCCTTAATTTCTGCAGTTCCTGTTCAGTAACAGGAAGTTCATCCACTTCATATGATGCACGATCACTTTTCCTCTGGCAGAAATCTGTTATCTGCAATCAAAACACAACACAAAGAGAACGCACACTTCCACACTGAAATCCATCCTAACTCATGTGAACTGTGTAGGTCAAAAGTCACTATATAGCTGGACATGGTGGCACACAACTGTAATCCCAGCTACTTGAGAGGCTGAGGCAGAAGGATTACAAGTTCAAGGTCAATCTGAGAAACTGTGAGACCCTATCTCAAAATAAAATTTTAAAAGTGGCTGGGATGTCACTCAGTGGTAGGTACTTTCCTAGCATGCATGAAGTCTTGGGTTCAATCCTCATCTCCATTAAAAACAAACAAACAAACAAAAAACATTCCACTGCCTGCCTCGCAAGCGCAAGGTCCTGAGTTCGATCCCCAGTACAAAAATAAATAAATAAAATAAAACAACTATTTGTCCAGGAATCTTATGGAAGCTAATGATTCCAAAGCACTAAGGTTAAGATTTACATAATAATGACATAAACTTGGTTTTAAGTCTACCTGGCAAACTCAAGCTACAGACCTGGAGAATCTCACATAGGTGCCAAGTATCTCCAGGTGATCTAGAATTATAGTTCAAGTCAAGCATGAAAAGCTCATGCTCATTGATTTCACTTTTGCTATCAGCACAGACTGCTTTTTAAAGAGGTTCTGTAGATTGTGATATATCCTCTCACAGAATTCACTACTACATTCCAACATCTTTTTTTCTTATGCTAGGACTAATAAATCCACATTGCTTCTTTGCACTTAGGATCCATGTTTACAGTGACTTTGGGGCATCTTCATGTAGCTATCGTAGTGGTACCGTTAGTCAACAAGTCCCAAACTCAACTCCTCACTTCCCCATGAGGTGCCTCCATGTTCAGCTCTTAGTGACCTGGATTGTCATTCTTCTCAATGCCCAAGTCAGAATTCTAGAGGCCATCCTTGAATTCTTCCTGTCCATCATCCCTACACTTCATCACTAAATCTGGCTGATGCCACTCTGAACTGAACCTCGTTTCTCCCTGTACTCACACCCACCCTGCCATTTTTTTCTAGTTCAGTCACCATCACCTCTCATCCACATTACTGCCAGAAACTCCTAGCTGGTCTTTCCCTAGTTCCATTTCTGCCCCCCTCCAGTTCTGTACCTTCCCGCCAGAGTGAGTTAACTAAAATAAATCCTGATCATATCAATCTCTGAATCCTTGCTGATTTAGAAAGACTACCGTATCTTAAGTGTGTGTCTCAAGCTTTTAATAATCTGGCTCCTGCTTCTTATTTCTTACCATATGCTATATGCCAACAAGGCTGACCTTCACTAACCAACTTCCCAAATACTACATAATTTATTTATTATTTTTATTTCTCACTATCTCCTCCAAGAGTGTAAACTCTAAGCAGGCAGAAAATTTTGTCTGTTTGTTCAGTGGCATATGCTTGGTACTCAGAACTGTGCCTGACTTTATAACTACTCAATAAATAACTGCTGAATGAATGTGCTTGTTCCTGAATGCAAAGCCCCTCTACCATTCCCTATTTGGTCAACTCCCTTCAGTTAACTTCTAGTGCTCAGTTTAAGTATTAATTCTCATAGGAAGCTTACCTACCTCCAAATCCAGGAACACTAATCCTTTCTATTTACTTTCTACTGCTACTCCCATAACCTATTTTAATTATCTTATTAGGGATTTTAATTTTTTGTTAATGTTATTATTATGTCAATTACTTAAATATTAGTATAATAATAACAACATTAACTGTATGATTATCCATTGTTAGCATTACCTTCTTTAATTCTTATACTTTCTACATCCAATTTTTGTCTGTTTTTTGGTACCGGAAATTGAACTCAGAGCCTTGCATTTGCCAGTCAGGTGCTGTGCCCCTGAGCTACATTCCCAGTTCCTACATTAGATTTTATTTATATTTTGCTTATATTTATATTTTTATTTCTACTTTAATTTTCATAATAATTTAATGGCATATATCTGTCCCCATTTTATACAAAATAACCCATATCCTCAGAATAAAACATGTCCAATAAATATTTGATGAATAGTAATCATGGGAGGCTGGGGAAGGACACAAGATTCGTGTCAGTGCTTGCTCACCTGGAGTGCTCTGGTTGGTCCATCTGGGATGACTCTGATAGATAACATTCCAGAACCAGGCCTCATTTTTTGATTAATAAATTGTTGCTCAGGTGGAACTGGCCCCAAAAGCTCCATAGATGTGTCAGGACCAAGAACAACTTCAGCTCCATCAAATAAACCAGAAAGTCCTCCTCTGGCCTAAAAGACATTGGAGTAAAGACGTACAAGAAAAGGCAAAGGCACCAACTTTGATAATTTAACATCACTTGAAACAGGTTTCTAAACTTAAATTCTCTTTTGGAGAGTCATGATCAATGTATAGCAAAATATCTGTTATTTGTTCAGCTTTGCAGATGATAAAAAATAGGATTATGTGAGTGAAATGGAAAGTTACAGTACATGAATTTGGGGGGGTTACATACATACCCAGAGTTAAGAAATAATTTTATGACTAGAATATTTTGGTTTTATTCTGGCATGTAATAACTTCTAGCCATTAAAACAACAACAACAACAACAAACTTTTAAGAGTAGCCAAAGGCAGCTTTGTTTCTAGTACTCTCATTAGGATTCATTTAAATATCTGAAATATTCTCAAAATAAAACTATCACTCAAAATTCCAGTAAGAAGAAAATTCTTGAGTTGAAAATCTTCCCCAAAAGGCCAATGGCTAGAAAACCAACCCAAATAGTCCAACATTAGTATCAGTTCTAAAATGAACATGGTCCTGGGTGTTCCCCTGGATGCTTCATGTACAACCTTTGAATAAAGGCACCTTCTCGTGCTGGGCTCCACACAAAGGACAAGTTTCTAGGACGAGGCCTGTGAAAGCACATCCAGGCCCAGAGAGGACAGCACAAAGAATGTTTAAACCATTTGTTGATTTTTTTAAACACTGAATAAGTAAAGGGAAACCCTGAGCTGGGTTTGTACAACAGGTTTCAGTACAGAGGAAGCTCTTTATGGCAACTGCAAATTCAGAAAGTGCATACACAATCTAATGAAAAAGCAGTGTCAGAAAATATTTTAATGCCTTCCATTACTTTATAATAATCAGCATACGAATGAAACAACCTTGTTTCCTTAACCAAAACACAATCTGCTCTGCTGAATACTGTTATGATGGGGTCATTCACAAGGAGAGAAATGATGGGACAGATTCAAGAAACAACAAACAACAGAAAGAGATTTGGGGGAAAGAAAATGCTCCAAAAGAATGGGAACTACATGGGCTTTGGAAATAAACTGGAAGTAAAGTCAGGGTCAGACCCAGAACCCACCAATTATGACAAGCCCTGCTTTGCCTCTGGAAGTCTGACTGTATCGCTAATTGAAAATCGCAAATCCATTCCAGATGTGTGCTTCATATAAGTAAGCAGCTTGCCTTTGATGAATAAAGCTCAGGGCAATCGAGATAAAGAAAATAAATCTCACCAAACAGTGGTCCGAGGCTCCACACAGTTGTGCACACTACCCCGGACTACAGGCTCCCTTCCACTGGGGACAAACACACTCACTGTTCTCCATCAAGGGCCTGATGTTCAAGTATTTATGTTTTGGGTGAAACCTCGGGTTGAGGGAGAAGTGCACACAAGTCACTCATGGTTTCTGTTCTATGCTCAAACCGCTTGGTCACTTCCCTGCTGCTTGTCTCGATCCAGAGTCCCATTCCCAGCCCGAAGCTAGAAAGGATGGAAAATCTAAACTTTTGGTCATTTTCCAAAAACATATTTGTTTATAAAAGCACCTGTGAGTTCAGTATGGAACAGACTGGCTGAGTTAAAGACAGAGGAAATTAAAAACTTCTTTGGGTGCCACCAAGAATTCAGAAATAAACAGAATCAAGAGTGTGCCGAGGCCACGAATGCTTGCTGTCCCCTAGCACACATTACAGAAGGTTTTTACGTTAACATCATGGATCTAAAACTAACCATCTAACCCAGTGTCGGGCTGTCAGCTGATACGTTTCTTTCCATCGCATAGTGATCATTTTTACTCCTCCTGCCCCTTCACTCGCTCTTTTCCCTCTTTCCCCAGATCCCCTTCCATTCTCCAGTGTCTACTTTCCTGTTACTTAACATGGTCTTTTTTTTTTTTTTTTTGCTCTTTAAATTATTTACATTTTGGCTTTCTCATTTAGAGAAACCACGTCTAATATATCATCTCGAGTTCCATCCATTTTCCTACAAATGACTCAGATTTATCCTTCTTTATGTCTGGGTAGTACTCCATTGTGTACATATACCAAATTTACTTTGAGCATTCATTCATCAGTTGATGAGCATATAAACTGCTTGCATGATTTAGCTATTGTGAATTGTGCTGCTATAAACATGGAATGCATGTATCACTACAATACGATGACTTCAGCTCTTTTGAGAAGATACCCAGAAGAGGGATAGCTAGGTCAAATGGAATTTCCATTTTTAGGTTTCTGAGGAATCGCCACGCTGATTTCCAAAGTGTACTAGTTTATATTCTCACCAACAATATAGAGGGGTTCCTTTTTTCCCCCACAACCTCACCAGCGTTTGTCATTTTTTGGCCTTTTTTTTGGAGACAGTTTCACTGTGTAGTCCAGGCTGGCCTTGAACTCGCTATTTCACTATTGGTGCCCAGGCTGGCCTGGAGCTCAAACTGATCCTGATGCCTCAGCCTCCCAAGTGCTGGGATTACAGGCATGCGCCACCGTACTTGGCTGTACTGCTTCTTTTAAGAAGTGTCTGTTCATTTCAGTTGCCCATTTTCTGACTGGACCGTTCAACTAGGGGTTCTAACTTTTTTTAATTCTTTCTGTATTATAGACAATAGTCCTCTTTCAGAGGAGTAGCTGGCAATTTTTTCCATTTTGTAAGTTGTTTCTTCACTCTGTTGGTTGTCTGCTTTGCTATGCAGGAGCTTTTTAATTTGCTAAAATCCCATTTGCTGATTTTTGGTGTTATTTCTTGTATAACTGGGGTTCTGTTCAGAAAATCCTTGAGCCGAGGATATAGCTCAGCAGCACAGCAACTGCCTGTGACAAGTGCAAGGTCCTGAGATTGGTCCTCAGCACCAAAAATAAAAAAAAAAAGAAAAGAAAACCCTTGCCTATGTCTATGCTTCAAGAGTTTGACCAATTTTTTCTTCCACTTAACAATTTATCGCCTATAAACTAGTTGATGCCTTGCTTCAAAGAAGCCTCAGAAGTTACCAACCTGGACAACGAGCCCATGCAAGCCACAGGTCAGCTTTCCTTCTCGGAAACTCCATGTCTGGGTCGTGCTTCGCCTGCGGTCGGGCTTCCTTAGCATCAGTGGCTCATATCTGGACAAAGAGAAATGCAGTGAACCCTCTGGATCCATAGTCTCAGGCATGGAGAGAATGTGAGGACCAAGGTTTGCTCTTCTCCCTCCTGGCCCCTCCACCCTGGAAATCTAACATGCAGTTAGCTTCAGTGGTGTGACAGATAGGAATTGCTAAATGAGGAAAGAGGCAGAAAACGAAAGGGAAAGCAACAAAGAGGGGACGAGAAGTGATAAACCCTTTAAGATGAGTAAGACAAGTTCCTTCACCCTCACAATGACAGCACCATACAGCATAGGAACACACCTGTTACACACAGCGTCCACACAAAAAAATGTACACACACTTCAGGAAAAGAAAAATAGTACTATGCTTTTTCAACAGTCGGTGTTACGAGCATATGGTGGACCCTAGAGGATGCCGTATGTCACAGAAAACACACTACACCACTGGCCCTTAGAGAAACAATTGAAAATGAATGTGCAGTGATCCAATGACCCAGGTTCCCCCAAGCAGCAGTTTGCTGTCATCTGGAAGCTCATGGCCACCATTCTGACCACCTCTGGTGACAGAAGAGGCTAAAGGTAACTTGTATTAGTCACATGATGTATCAATAAATTTGGTATTAAAACATTTATACCAGTTTTTCTTTTCCTGAAGTAATAAATTTTTTAGTGGACTCTGTATATTTAAAATCTCAAGTCTTTTTTCTGATTTTGTTTGTTTGTTTTTTGAGACAGGGTCTCACTATGTAGTTGAGACTGATCTGGAACTTACTACGTAGCCCAGGCTGGTCTTGAACTCACAGCGATCCTTCTGCCTCAGCCTCCCGAGTGCTGGGATTATAGGCGTGGACCACCACGCCCGGCTTCTGCTTTATTTTTAAATGCTTTTATTTTGTGTTTTAACTTATAATTATTTCTGGAAGTGAATAAAGTGTTAACTGAAAACAAGTCTGCTGATTTTATGAGGAAACTAAGGCATAGGCAAAGAAAATAACTTGTTCAAACTTAAGCTGACATGAATTCACAGATTCTTTCTGCTTTATTTTTAAATGCTTTTATTTTGTCTTCTAACTTATAATTATTTCTGGAAGTGAATAAGGTGTTAACTGAAAAGTATGCTGATTTTATGAGGAAACTAATGCATAGGCAAAGAAAACAACTTGTTCAAACTTAAGCTGACATGAATTCACAGATTAATTCATTAAAATACGTTTGAATAGTTTCTTATTAACTTAAATTTCTGTTCTCAAAAGATTTGACAAATTATTAGAAAGATTTTTTTTTTTAATTTCATTTCTAGGACCGGGGATTTAGCTTAGTGGTTCCTCTGACTGCCTCACAAGCACAAGGTCCTGAATTTGATCCCCAGTACCGAAAAAAGAAAAAAGAAAAAAAAAAACAAAAACAAAAACAAAAACAAACCTCACTTCTAGGGAGAAAGGATGGACTAGAAATTTCAGTAAAAGAAATATCTTTCATAATATCCTTTGTATTAATTAGTTGAGGCTTCTTAACATCTGCATGGATGCTGCCATAACTGCTTTACAAAATTAAATGAAATGTCTAACACTCATATTTGGGGATTGACAGGTGTCTGTCATTGACGAAAAATACAAATATGAAAATACAAATGTGCCAGGCATAGGGGCACGTGCCTGCAATCCCAGTTACTTGAGAGGCTGAGGCAGAAGGATTGCAAATTCAAGTCTAGCTTCTGCAACTTAGTGACTATCATAAAATTAAAAAAAAAAAAAAAAAAAAGTTGGGCACGTAGCTCAGTGGTAAAACCCTGGCCTTTTTTGGGTTTAATCCCTAGTACTACACACACACACACACACACACACACACACACACACACACACACACACACAGCTTACAAATATAAATTTTCGTGAGCTGGGCGTGTTGGTGCACACCTGTAATCCCAGCACTCAGGAGGCTGAGACAGGGGAATCGTCACAAGTTCGAGCCAGCCTGGGCTACACAGCAAGATCCTGACTCAAAAACAATAAAAAAAAAAATTGATCTAGAAAATTACCTGTTGTCAGTTACTGCAGCGAGACCAGCAATATCTAGGATGGCCGAGCCCTCAGTGGAGCGGGTGGCTGAGGGCTTGTTGGGGTTGTGAGGAACTGCAGAGCCCTCGTGGGCCAGCATTCCTGTTCCTGTCATCCTCCACAGCTGAGAACGCTTGCCTGGTTCCTGGTGAACAAATACACAGAAGATGGAAAGAGCCACCTTGTGCAGCCAGGCTGGCTCCTCAATGCAAGAGCTCCCTATATGGGCTGAGTGAGCTCTTAGATGGGAACTGTTTTAGACATTTCCACAGCCTGCAAAGGCTTGCTTCAAACATGCATCACTAGGGCCAGGGATTTAGCTCAGTGGTGCCGCTGCCTGTCTCACAAGTGCAAGGTCCCGAGTTCAATCCCCAGTACCAAAACAAAACAAACAAACATGCATCGCTATCGATCTGAAGTTGCACACTGGATAAAAATAGGCTAAACTCTTGAATCAGACATCCAAAATTACAAATAGATTTTAAAATTTTATATACCAAGTATTTCTAACTTGCATAAAAGTTTCATTTTAAATGGCAAGGCAACCTCCTCTGCAGCTCTACCGCCATGCTCACTGCTCTTCCAGATGGTGACCCTCAGCAGCCTGCGCCTCACAGAAGGATCTGATCCCGTAAGGAGATGGTACCACCTCAGAATCCAGGGACTGGCCACCCTTGTAACTTGGAGACACCCAGAATTTACCAGAGTCCCCATCCCTCCCCTACGTTTAGAAAGGAAGCATATCATAGTGATTGTTTCTAATTTTTACAAGTCAATTATATTCCAACGCTAAACTGGTTGTAGTCAAAGGTTATACTAGGTTGACTGATGTTCATTCTAGATCTATTTTCTCCTCGGTAATATTGTAAACAGCAGTTAGGCTTCCAGGTCAGTCATAATAAAGTTTACATAATCCATTACACACTAGAAGTAATAATAATGCTTGTGTGTGCCAGGTATTGGTCCAAGGAACTTACGCATAATAACTCAGTTGGCCCTGAAAACAATCCAGTGAGGTACATGCTGCTACAGTGCTTACTTAACAGATGTGGAGGGCAAGGCTCAGTGAGACAAAGTGACTTCCCGTGCCACACAACTAGGAGGTGCTGAGGCCAAATCTCAATCTCCATAGCCTAATTCCAGAGCCTGAACCTTCGCCACTCTGCTGTGCTGTCTTCCTGCAGCTAGAGCCATGGGATCCCTCACTCCTACCGGGGAGAAGCCCAGCACAGCAGCAGACATGTCTGTGCCCCACACTTCATTCACATGCTACAGATGTTCTGGAAAGACAGATTTAGCGTTCTATATTCTACAAAGTAGAAACCACCGAGGTAAGAAGTGTGAACATCAGAGTCAGAATGCCAGGATTTGAGAGCCCGCTGCACAGTTTATGAACTGAGTGAGCTTGGACAAGTTACCTACTGTCCTAGAGCTCCTATCCTCTGACATTCCACAGAGCAAAATCTAGCTCTTCGGGTAGTAAGGACAGGAGGCTTAGCACACTAGGCAGGGGTATGACCTCTACAACCATCTGCTGTGTGTTAGCACCTTAGTCTTCCCAATATGTCTGGAAGGTCAGCAGGGAACGAAGCACAGAAAGGAATGGGACATGCCAGACCACCACCAACCACCCCTCTTCTTTGTGCTAGGGATGGAATCCAGGGCCTTATGTATGCTAGGGAATTATAGCCTCAGCCTATTTTCCTTTTATTTTGAGGCAGGGTCTCATGAAGTGGCACGGGCTGGCCTTGAACTTGTGATCCTCCCACCTCATCCTCCGTGTAACTAGGATTATAGCCATTAGCCACCGGGCTCAGCTGACATCGTCTATTTTTTTGTGCCTAAAAGTTGGGCCTGAGATACACAGTGAGTGCAAGGCCACACTGGACTACATAGCAAGACCGTATCTCCAAAAAACAATAACAACAAAAAGTTGGTGCGCCAGAATGCAGACCTAGAAAGGTACTATGCTCTTTCTGGCTCCTGTGTCTACAGAGATCCAAATGGGCCATACTTTTCCATCTCTCTTCTCCACGTGTCTGCCTCTTTGTTCACAGAAAGAAAATACAACACATACAGTACGAAACCTACACAGTGTACTGCAGGTGCGAGAGATGCCCAGGTGAGATCAAGCTTCCTACAGAGTCTCCTCTACCGCCTGCCACTGTGCACCCTGTACCCATCATAAGCTGGAAACCACCAAAATCCCAACTTAAAAGCCAACGTGCACCATCCTCCTCCTTTCAGTTCCTCTCCTTTCTCCCCTAACAACCTAGTTCTCAAACCTGCAGAAGGGACTGATGAAGGCCCAGTCCACAGTGGCAAAGGGTTGTGCTGGCTCCTGCCAATTAAAACCTGTCAGAGCCTCACATCTTCAAAGCTAAACAAATCAAGGACAAGCTACATAGCCACTGCTTGGAATATCACTCTAAATAGGCATTCTCCGTCAGAGCTCATCCTGAATGATGTGATATAAATTGCACACAATCCTTAGAAGACATCACACAGGTCAGGGTGTTTCAAAATCCACGCACAGTGTACGTGTACAAGTATTCACAAGCAAAGAAATGTGTGATTACACGTGCGGCTCCCCTCCCCTGAAAGCAGCTTCAGTGGCTCGGTGTCCCCCAAATCCTGTATACCGTCAATTTCAACAATTTATCAGCAGTCTTTCTCTAAAGTCACTATTTCTAGTACTTCTAGCCAAATATTGCTGCCTTTCTCTCCAAGTCTAGGCCCACTGGTAAAAACATTTCCCTAAACTCACTTGAAAAGAATGTAAAACTGACATTTATGTTTTTATGCTGATTTTAGCAGCAAGCATTAAAAAGAGGAAATTTGTCAGTGTGACTTTTTTTTTAAAAAAAAATTCAGTTTAAGGGAAAGATTGGGGAAGTAGTACAACAGAAAAATAAAGTAATGAAAAACACAAATCACAAATTCGAGAATAAGGTCCTCCAAAAGGACATGGACATGGGCTGGGGATTTAGCTCAGTGTTCCACTGCCTGCCTCACAAATGTAAGGTCCCAAGTTCAATCCCCAGTAAAGAAAGAAAGAAAAGAAAGAAAAGAAGAAAGAAAAGAAAGAAAAGAAAGAAAAGAAAGAAAAGAAAGAAAAGAAAGAAAAGAAAGAAAAGAAAGAAAAGAAAGAAAAGAAAGAAAAGAAAGAAAGAAAGAAAGAAAGAAAGAAAGAAAGAAAGAAAGAAAGAAAGAAAGAAAGAAAGAAAACCTTTAAAAGGACATGGACAATAAGAAGGGCCTCACCACGAGTTCAAATCTAGCCTGGGCTACGTAGTGAGATCAAGGCCAGCTTGAACTACATAGTGAGACCCTATTGAAAGAAAGTGAGAGGAGAAGAAGGTGGGGGGAGAGGGAGAGGGAGAGAAAAAGAAAAAAAAAAGTAGGCAGGGAGGTGGAAAGGGAGGGAAGGAAAAAGGGGCCCAGAATTAGAGCACAGGCCTCACAGCAGTGCTCAGCACAGCACTTTGAAGTGTAGCCTTCAAGAATCCCTGCCCACACCTCAAGCAACACAATTAACCCAAGTCATTATTTCTCTTGTGAAACACTAATCTAAACTAGGTGACCTGCCAGGTATGGTGGCGCAGGCCTGTAATCCCAGCACTCGGGAGGCTGAGGGAGGAGGATCACTGTGAGTTCAAGACCAGCCTGGGCTACTTAGTGAGGTCCAAGTCAGTTTCAACTACGTAGTGAGACCCTGTCTCAAAAACAAAACAAACAAACAAAAATAAATAAATAAATAAACTAGGTGACCCTAAGTACCCTTCCAGGCTACAAATACTTTATTTTAAATTCCAATCTCTAAGCTCTTACCTTCTTCTTCAAAATCACGCGCTGTGTCTTTGGTGAGACATCCAAGACAAGCTCTGCAGAGGTAACAGCCTTGTTAGAGGCCACAGGCCTTCCAGTTCCCTCCTGCAAACTAGATAAATAAATGAGCATAAAATACATGCATACCACACATGTTCAAGTATTCTAAGCAAATCATGAAATCCCTATTCAAGAAGAATGTTTCTTAAAGTACAGAAGAAAAAGTCTTGACTTGAGAGAAATAGAAAGATTAGGATTGTATTTTTTTTTCCCTGCATGGTTCAAATACTCTTTCTAAGACGACATATGCTGACTTTTCCTTCTCTTGATAATTTTACACCTAAAAATTCAGACATAAAAGGATGATCATACAGCTCCGGGGCAGGGGGATAAAAACAAAACCCAAGACAGATATCCCAAATGACAATGAGCTCTACTTTGCCGGCAGATCAGCTTTATTGCATCCCCAAGATGGCGAGAAATCAGAAGTACCTTCAGGATGGAATGAAATCCAAAGGGTAAAGAACACCTTCCCCAACTCAATTCTACCCTGTTTCTCTGGGGCTTTAAAATCCTGAGCTTTAGGGAATGTTTCAGCCTTGTCATACTTTATGGTGTTAGGGTAGGGAACTATTTACATATTTAGCTACTACTGCAAAAGGTACTGATAAATTCAGAGTTAAAAATTAGCCTTCATGACATCAAAAGCATCAGCTACAAAAAGAAATGAGTAGATGTTACCAAACTGAAAAACTTTACTTCCTCAAAGGAGACCTTCAACCAGCCGGGGCTACATAGTGAGCTCAAGGCCAGCCTCAACTACCTAGTGAGACTCTGGCTCAGAAAACAAAGAAAGGATACTGTCAAAAAGCAAAAAGACACCTCTCAGAATGGGAGATGTACTTGCAAATCATATACCTGATAAGGGACCAGTATCAGAATATATAAAGAACTCATAATTCAACAATAAAAAGGCAAATAAGTCAATTTTAAGATAAGCAAAGAATGTGATTTGACATTTCTCCAAAGAAGATATACAAATGGTTAATATGCCCATGAAAAGATGTGCAACACTGTTAAGTTATTACAAAATGTACAATAATACACATCAATCAAAAAGAAACAATGCAAATCAAACTCACAATGAGCTAATCACTTCACACCAAGTAGAATGAGTAAAATAAAAAGTAACAGACAAGGTTCTGGTGTTGGTGGGAATGCAGAGTGGTAGAACTGTACAACAGTTCAGCCACTGTAGGAAAGTCGCCAATGCCTCAAAACCTTAAACAGAATTGCCATAGAATCCAGCAATTCTAGCCCTGGGTATTAACATGAGAGAACTGAAAGTAGGTATCTAAAGAAATATAGGTACTGGCATGTTCAAAAAAGACTACTCACAATGACCAAAAGGTGAAAACAACTCTAATATCCACCAACAGATGAATGGGTAAACAGACAGCACTATATTAAATACAGTAGAATATTACTTGGCCATAAAAGTATTAAATACTTTTTATAAAAAGAATGAAGTACTAGGGAATGCTATGATGTAGCCTAAATTCAAAAACTATGCTAAGTGAAAAAAGCTGGACCCAAAAGGTCACTTACATGATTTTATTTACACGAAATATCCAGAGAAGGTATATGCAGAAATAAAGATTAGTGGTTGCCAAGCTCTGGGACGAGGGGAAATGTGGAGTAACTGATTAATTTGGGATTTCTTTTGGGAGTGATAAAAATGTTTTGGAACTAGGTGGAGATAGTAGTCAACAACATCAAAAATGTATTAAATGCCACCGGACTGTTCACATTATAATAGTTTTATTTTATGTTATGTAAGTTTCTTCTCAATTTAAACAAAACTACTCCAAAAGATTGCTCAACTCTTAGGGCATCAAGAGTATTCAAATTTTGCTGTTAGATTCTGCACACCAAGATCCCAGGAGCTTCTCTTTTCACCTGCTCCATACCACTTAACCCTCTGAACTCTTCACCTTCCATTAGGGACCCTTCAGTGAAACAGCTTAGTAACTGCTAGCATCAGTAGAACGGGAGCAAACGTGGCTAGCAACCAGGTTCAGGACTGGTCTTTCAGGCATGTGCGACCTTAGGCACATGACACTGTTAAGAGACAAACAACAAGTAAGCAAACATTGCCGGCTCACTTATAACAAGATAAACACCCCAGCACCATCATTATCTCAGGGAACTGAAAGAGACAAGGGAAAGAAGGGCTGTCTCTGCAACTCCAACCGTCAGTGAAACGCAAACTCCAAGCAGATAGCAAGGGTAAGGCAAAGCTGGAGATTATTCTGTGGGCCAGAAGGACAAATAAGAACCTCATTCAGATGCAAAATTATTCAGAACATTTTAGAAAGGAGCATGACTTTCCCACTCATCAAGGGATTTATTTTTATAATGTTAAAGATTTGGCTATTTCCCATTTCTTCACAGATAAATTTTAAAGGTGGCCCTGTAACTTCAGCACACAAATAGCTATAGCTGTAAGCTGGTAGAATAGTCACTGTTTGAAAGTCCAGGGTTAAATATTTCTCATGTGCCAATCTAACAGCAGAATTAGAACAGGCTCAATATTCTTTTTTTTTTGGTACTGGGGATCAAACTCAGGACCTTGCATTTGCCAGGCAGGCACGGACCACTGAGCTAAATCCCTAGCGAGGCTCAATATTCTTCACCTGAGTTTTCTAAATGTAACTATTCTAACAGCCATGAAGATTATAAGCAAAACAATTGGAATCACTGTGAAGTTACACTGCTTATATCGGGCTCTAGGTGAATACTGAGGTAAACCCTCATGCTTCTGCCTAAGCAGTGTTTTCAGAATCATGATGACCAATTATGAGGAAGATCAGTCAGCTTCAAATAAGGAAAGGGACAAAGCAAACTAATAAAAGAGGAAAAAGAAAGTTTAAGAAATAAAAAAAATATTACTTTCACACAAGAAGAATACATCTAATACAAGAATAACATCTAATAGCAGAAATTAAATATTTAATGACATCTTATAGAAATTAAGTAATGAAATGCTGGGATGGATTAATGGGGGAGGATGTTAAAAAGAAAAGATTCTTGCCTCTTTGGGTAACTTTAAGCTGGTCAAGGTAAGAGTTTAGGCTAAAGGACCTCCTGAGTTAGATCCTGGGCCTAGCATTCATTAAAGAATGAAGAAATCTGCTATAGTTAGTTCTCCACAGAAACTGCTTAAAATTTAAAGCCAGTTAATATAGACTCTTCTGCCATTTTATAAGAATAGCAATTTCTTCCAGAATTACCCAGAGAATGTATATGTAGCAGCGATATAAATGAAATTTTCATAATAAAGCTGTCGGTTATCCTGGAAATCATTCATGTTGCAGCTGATCTCCGAGGAGCCCGCGCCCTTCACAGTGAGTGTGATGAACGGTGGCAGGGTGGGCTCGTCCCAGGCATAATCCAGTGACGTCATGGGCTTCACTTCAGTTCGGAGCCTGGGTTCGGCCACACCATGCTGAGTGAAGACAACAGGGACCTAGAGGAGGAAGGGCAGAGGACAAAAAGACTTCACTGAGAGTGGTCAGACTGGAAAGTGAGCCGGGGCTTCTGAGCATAAGCTCCAGCTCCTTCCCAAAGGAATCCTACACAGGAATAATCACCAGAGAGGCTAATCATCTCACCTCCTCAGATCTTTCCAAATCTTCCCACAAATTCCAAAAAGCCCACTGATGAAGGACACAGACAATAGCCTTCTGGATAGAGAGCTTTAAGGAGCTTTGCCAAAATACTAAAAGGAAGCAATTCTACCCATCCAGTGCATCTTTTCTATCCCAGCCACCTGTGATTATACACTATTCACAGAAGTGAAAAATTTTGGAATTTGCCTTTAGAAAAGTCACATATTGTAAGCCATACTGTTATTCAGAGAATCTAATGATTTCCATTTGGGGTCTACTTGGACAAGTTATATAAATATTCACTGTAACTAAACAATAAAATTGCCCATTCCCAATGTCATTGGGCAGTTTTGAGGCCTTTCTCTGCCTATATGGAATGACTAATGAGAGACAGCATGTCAAGCAAACAGTCTAGTTAAAATAACTGCAGAAACCAGCTCCTGGTGCTAAGGATTTCTAGGGTGGTCCAGCTATATATAGAGAGCCTATCTGTATACTTTCTTCAGTTTTGTTATCTTAAAGGCAGCATAAACCTCACCATCCCACACATGAAGCAGCACAACTGGCTCTCAACCCCACCTGGTACCTTAGAAAAGTTGTCAATTCGGAAAGGAGGGGGCAACTGATCTGTGTCACTGAAGGAGATCCTATATGTAGCTCCTTGGAGAGTAATTTCCACTCGCAGGAAGAAGCATTTCCCCAGAGTATCTCTGCAGAACAAGGGAACAAGAGGCTTCATTAAAAGGAGGAGAGGAATAGCAGCTTCTTTCGTGCTGCACTGCTCATAATCACAACACTGTGCAGGTACCATCCAGCGCCACTGAGCCTACATCCCACTGAGGGTACTTTATCATACTGAAAATGCAGAAACTGACGACACAATTGCAAAGTGGTGATTTTTTTTTTCTAATTCTTTCATCTCTTCAAGATTAACTAACATTCTTCTGTAAAGACAAGTATGCACATAACACATGTGTGCGTGTGTGGGTATATACATTTACATGTAGACTATCCCTAGAGGGAATGGAAAATGAATTCATCTTTACAGAAGAGTATCAGTTAACAAATGAAGAAATGAGAAAATTAGATCACCATTTTGCTGCCACCAATGTAATAACTGATTTAAGTAACAACTATCAAACATCCAGGGAAAGGCTTTTGGGAAAAAGAATATTCAGTCTTAAAGGATTTCCCAGTAGATTACTCTTCTTGACAAAATAAGAAAAATGACTTTACAATAAAGAGTCCTGGTGGACACACCTCAACCCAGTGATGGTCACACCTGCCACACCATCAGTCGTGGGGCCTTCATGCTGGAGGCCTTGTGAGGTGATGCAACAGGAAACACACAGTGTCCTACAGGAAGTACTCTTAACCAAAAAGGCCTGACTCAAATCCACAGAGGAAACTATCAGCCACATATAGAAAACAGGACATTCTACAAGAAACCACTGCAGTGTTTGATAATGTCAAAAAAGACAAATAGTGGGAAATGGGACCACTCTAGATTAAAGTAGATGAGAGAAAGCATACATTAGCCAGGTAGGATACATGATCCTAGTCTGATCCCAGACTAGAGAAAGGAGTTGCTATGAGGCCATTTTAATCATTAATTCAGTCTATGAAGACTATTTATTAGAAAACATTATGTCAATGTTAATTTTCTTTAGTATGTAATAACAGTATTGTATTTACTTAGAAAAAATGTCCTTGTTTTTAGGTGGCTACTATCAAAAACACAGGAAATAATAAACAACAATTGTCGGTGAGGTTATGGAGAAACTGAAACCCTGGTGCACTGCCTATAAAAAAGTAAAATGCTACAATCACTATGAAAAACAGCACAATAATTCCTCAAAAAACTAAAATTAGAATGACCATACAATGCAACAACTCTGTTTCTAGGTCTATATCCAAAAGAATTGATAGCAATTTTGAACAGGTATTTGTATACACAGGTTCACCTCAACATTAGTCACAATAACCAAAGTCAAAAGCAACAAAATGTCCATCAGTAGATGAATGGATATAGAGAATGTGGTGTAGACACCCAATGGCAAATTATTCAGCCTTAAAAAAGAGGGAAATCCTGACACATGCTTCTACATGGATGAACCATAAGGATGTTGTGCTAAGTGAAATAAGCCAATCAGGAAAGACCAATGCTACATAATTCTATTTACATAAGGTGCTTAAAGTAGTAAGATTTCTAGACACAAAGTAGAATAGTGGTTGAGACATGCCAGAGACAAGGGGAATGGGAATCTATTATTTAATGGGCACACTGTTATCAGTTTTGCAAAAGGAAAAGAGTTCTGGAGATTGTACAACAATGCAAATATACTGAAAAGTGAACCATATGCTTAAAAATTGTTAAGATGGTAAGTTTTATCTTCTCTGTGTTTGAACACAATTATATATAATAACTTATATAATTCATATATAAAGCCAGGCACAGGAGATCCAGCTACTTGGGAGGCTGAGGCAGAAAAGAAGACCACTTGGGCCCAGGAATTCGAGGCCATGCTGGGCAACATAGCAAGACATTTCTATCCCAAAACAAAAGCAAATGTTTAAGGGCAACTTAGCAAGACCCTGTTCCAAAATTTTAAAAAAAGACTAAAGATTAGCTCATTTAAAAGCCCTGAGTTCAATCCCAGTGGTACCACAAAATAAAATAAAAAGCATTTGATTAAAGCAGAAAAAAAGATGAAGTCATCCTGGATTAGTTGAGGCTATATTTTGGTTGATTTTTTCTTAAGGAGGACCTGAGGGTCACTGGCTTGGTCTTAGGAGGTCAGATTTACTAAAACAGCACTGAATGAGAGAAGAGCATACAAACGTGTGAGACTAGACAAAGACCTCTATAATTAGTGTCACCACCTAAATGTAGACAGAATTTTCAGAACCACAGCCAACTGTTATATAAGCTCAGTGTTACCCCTTGGACTCAGCCTCTCAGACCACAGCATTTTGCACAATGGTTAAAACTGCCAAGAGCCTCTTTCACTTTTTCCATCAAAACACTCACTCAGAACTTCATCTGAGCCAGAAATATCTTTGCAAGAGCTGTGGGGGTTTGCTGTTTATATTACTGCACCTCAAACAAGGCTCCTTTCTGTCTATATTTAGACCCTCAAGCTTACCTCATGTTGATATGGAAGGAATTATTCTTGTTGACTTCAAAGCCTCCAGACCAAATACAATTGGGAACATCCATCAGTCTGACACACAATAGCTGATCGTAGTCATTGCGAGGCCAGTGGAACACAACACTGGAGCCAGGAAGGGTAGAAATGTAACCTTCAGGATTGGCTGTTCCCTGAAACACAGGGCCACTGGCTTTAGTCAACAAGTCAGTTCGATTCCATATTTTATTCAGTAATATCCAAATGTTTACTGCGCACCTACTCTTTGAGTCTTACTCTCCCAGGAGCTGTTCAATTTACTTAACAGCCTTCATGGGACAGAAGCTTTATATAAAGTACATTGTAAATTATAATAACTTTTAAATAAGTTATTCCTCAAAAGCAAACTCCTTACCTGTCCTCTGGCAAATTCCCTTTGTGCAAATGCGAGCTTGTGAGATGATTTATTGTCTAAGAGGTAACGGGGGGCAAAGATGACCATGCAAGTGTCAATATAGCGACCTCTGCCTTTCTTGACATCAATACCTACAAATAACAAAAACAATTTATTTCCATTTATTAATTAGAAGACAGCAAATTCTTGAACTGACAAAAAAAATAAATAAAAAGACTTCATAATTACTTAGTTTCTCTGAGAAAAGTTATGTTACCCAGAAAGGACATCAAGCCTTTCAAGAATACCAAGTGCATACACAGTTTTATCCTTTATTCCCATCAAAGCCTCAAAAACTCTCAGGGGCAATATCACTATCCCCATAATTCTGTTTTCTCTACAAAGGGTCTAACACTGTAACAGCAACTGGTCTGGTCACGCACACCCTGGATTTCCACATGACACTAACTACCATGCAAGCTTCGAGCAACACGCTTTTGCTTACACCTAGGACATAAAACTTCACACTAGAGAACCTGCTTCCTTTACAGGACAGAGTGGAAATTTCAGGGTACTCAGCTGGATTTTGTACTGCCAGAACTCAATCAACTCTTCTCTAGTATTAGAATCCAGTTCAAACATAAGGCTAAATATTTTAGAATTTTTTAATTCATAAAATAGGTTTTCAGCACCTACTATGTACTGCAAAAAAACAGCAAAACAGAAGAAAATTTCAAAGTAACAAGTTGAGATTAAGAAAAGTGAACTAATACTGAATTATCTTTAAAAATATGATGACTGTTTCTAAAATAAGAAAACTCAGGGAGACAAATAATTCACTCAACCAGACAATAAATATAGCAACTATTGTGTAGCTGAGCTCTAGCTACATACCAAAAAATATTTATAGTAGAAATAATAAAAATAACAATAGTAACATTTACTGAACTCCTCATGCATGCTAGGTCCTGTACCAAAGGCTATAAATGTAATCCTTGTAATAGGTATTTTAATTTCTTCCATTTTACAGATGAGGAAACAAAGGCATCAAAAGCTAAGTGACTTGCCCTAGGTTACAGCTAGTGGGCAGCAGGACTGGGACTCAATCCCAGACAGCCTGCCTTTAGAGCCAGCATACTATGTGGCTTGCTTCTATTGTGATGGGACACGATGAAGGGTCCAACTCAGCAGACAGCAGACATGGAGACAGCCATAAACATGGAAGTTTCTGCCGTCTAATATGACAATCAGGTACGCTGGGTTTTCCACCACAATCCCTATTACAAATATCCCAGTCCGTCAATGATTCTAGTTGTTAATAATGTGCCTGCATTGGCTTGAAAATTCTGGTGTTGCTTTAACAGAAGCTTTGAAAACACCTTAAAGACTGAACAGATCTCAAGAACAACAACCTCAGAAACAACAGCACATAGTACTGGGACAGGGAGGACACCTTTACCTTTCTTTCTGTGATACAGAGAAGGTTGTCTGAAACCGAGTTATGAGAGCTAGCTGATCTCAAGTAATACAAAGTCTGCTTAGAAAAGATGCACCACAAGAGTCCAGCACACCCTATAATGGTATAGATGATGAATTTTCAGAAAAAGATGGGCTTTTTTTTGACTTCCTTCTCATCTTGGATTGCCCTGGCGGACCACAATAAATCAAGAACTACAAAGATCAAACTGCAAAAAATTTTTCTTTTGGAGGTGTATGTGAGGATATCTGGCCAGACCCCACTGGCTTTTCAGTTTGAGATTGTACTTTAAAAGGTCCTGAAAGATGGCTATTTATCTATCTAATTCTTCAAAATGTTCAAGTAGGCGATTCCCCAAATTTCTTTGACAATACTTGCCCGAATCTTGTCGACCTTAAGCATTATAGAGGCCTAACTTCAAAACACAGTGTTGTCCCTAAATATGTACACCATGAGTTTCAATTAATGTGTTTAGCACAGAAGTTTCTACATGCAATCACTGAGCCCTTCAGACTGGTCTGCTCAATCAGCCTCTCTGTAAGAATTCTTGGTACTAGCTGCTCTAAAAGGAACAAGCTCCATTCTCCTCCTCCTCTTCCCAAAATTTGCGCCAGCTAAAGTCTCCAGCCAATTTATGTAGCTTGCTTTGTAGAACATAGCAGGGGCAAGATATCCCAGCAGAAAGCCAAACCCAGCATGAGGCGGCATTTTCCTATTCAAAGGGTGGAGCAAACAAATGTGAGGGAAAAAGTATCCTTAGCTGGAGGATCAAATAAAGTTTATTTCTTCAGAAAATCTTAATGTCAACTGTAAGGAGGCAGCTCACATATCAAGAGAACATAAATATAAATCCTTGTTTTAAAAAATCTGAAAAGGAAATTATGCTCAAAAGACTCTTACTAAGAAATCATAGACCACTTAAACACATCCCTAACTCTGCAAGGGATTCTGGGTAAAAACTTAAGTGCTACCACCTATAACAAGGCTCTTTATGTCTGCAACACACAGCACAGCATTTACAAGCCAAATGTGGCTATTTCATTTTTTGGGGTGGGGAATAAGACGGGTTGTCGCTACGTAGTTCAGCCTGGCCTTGAACTTGCTATGCAGCCTAGGCTGGCCTTGAACTCACAGTGATCCGCCTGTTTCAGCATCCTGAGGGGTGGGAGTGCTGGAATTACATATGGGTACCCAGTGTAGCTATTTAAATTAAAATTAATTACACGTGAACAAATTGAAAAGTTCCATTTCCTCAGTTGTACTTGCTATGTTTCTCAGGAAAGTGCCCTGGATTTTTCAGTAGCCACATGTGGCTAGTGGCTCCTGTATTAATGCAAAATATAGCATGTCCATCATCACAGAGGTTCTATGTGACACAGCACTTCTGGATGATACAGTATGCCAACATTTTGGACTCATCATGCCTCTGAGGTCCCTGAAAATTAGATACGACAAGAAAGAGGCACTGTTAATATTTTAAACCTGAGGCATATTTAGATCAAATTGATCTAACCCTTCAGGAATCCTTCAAGTGCTCTCAAGTGGCCTTTGAAGCATATGGACACAGTATCCTCCCCTGCCCAACTCCAGAAGCTAAGTGAGCTGGGGGCTTCTAATGACAACCATCAAGTGCATTTTATTCTATTTTCTGCTTCAAATTTGCAGCCCCCCTATCTTAATTCTACTTCTAACCCAGATGTCCCCTTTGTATCTGGCCAAATCACTTAACCTCTCCGCTTTAGTTTCAGAAAGAACAATACTCTTACCCTTTTAGGGCCGGCAGGTTTTAATGAATGCATGGGAATACTTGGAGAATGAAAACCATTCTAAGTGTTCCCATTATTCCCTTGAAAAACAAGGACTCAAGCCAAACTGATACTTTCCTAATACAGGTGAGCCTGAAATTGAACAGCGACACAGAGAGCTCACAATGGCAGTGTTTAGGTGGCTCCTCAGATCCCCAGGAGAATAGATCTGCGTTGATATCAATCTAGCATTCAGAGAACAGATATCTGACCCTCTGTCAAATGAGAAAAGCAGTGCTTGTAGCCAGGCTAAACTACAGGGCTGGCTTATTCCTCCAAGCCTGAGGCCATAGGCCAACAGTTCCAATCCTCCCATTGCCCCAAATGAAACCCACCAATGTTATAGATCAGCCCTGGGCGGTTTCCTTGCTGGATGACTTTCAAAGCTCGGACACCACTACCGCCATCCAGGGAGAAGCCCTGACACCAGCCTGGCATGCCTTCCGGATGAATCCCCCTTCCGACTCTCATCGTGCAGCTGTGGGGCAGAGAAGCAGAGATGTACACATTCATCCACAAGAAAATCTTATCTACCTGTTCTAATCAGGAAGCGCTCATGTGGCCATTACCCATTCAGATCTCTATCACTGACACTTGTCCTCCGTCTCATGTGATTCCCAAGCACAGTGAAAAAAATCAATCAGTGGTCAAAACACTCCTTAGAGGTAGCTGCAGTACAAAAGGGCATGAGATGTACCGACGTCTCCCACTAAACACTTTAGAACACTAAGATTCTATGAGCACAACACACGAGGAAATGCTACAATCTCTACTGCTCCTCTAAAAACCAAAGATTCAAGAAAAAAAAAAAAGTCAGACGAAAGTATATAAGGAGATAGAGATACAGTGGGTTACTTCTAAGGACTAATACTATCACACTGGCAAAGCACTGTGTAGTTGGCAAAAACTATGGAACCAACTCCTGAATGTGTGCTCCAGCTCTACCACTAGCGAGCAATGTGTCCTTGGGTAGGTAACTCTCGCTCTGAGCCCCAGTTTCCTCATCTTAAAATATAACACTATTTCCTGCTCATCTCTAAGCCATTGGGATGCTGAGGAGAATCCAATGAGATGGTCAACATGGAAACACCTGGGGAATTGGGAATTCCACGGATAAGATAAACTCTCTGACAAATGTGAAGTCTTAGACCTCAAACAGTCAAAATCCTTTCAGGAACGGAGTAAGACTGGGCTTGCTGAATGTGTCAGGTTGCTGGCGGTACCTCCTACAATAGCCAAAACTCTAACTGGACTCCAACACTAATCTAGCATCCAGTCCTCCCTGGTAAACACACCTGTATGCACTGATGCGTAGCATTCCGAACACCCTCCTATGACGCTTTCAGCAAAATTCTATAGATAGCAGTGCATGGCATGTTACCAGTACAAAATACACCCATTGATCTTTGGATTAAGGGTATAAATTAAAAGACTCTTAAAAAAGCAAAATGGCAGAACCAAAAACAAAACTATATTTGTGTTCCTACCACACATTAAAAAGATATGTCATCTAATCCTAGCAATTATTCTTTTTCCCTGCCATGAAACACACAATGGCACATTCTGGATTTTAAAATCTTTTACAAACAGCCCCAGCTGGATTGGCAGACTGAAGGCTTCACCCAAGGGCTCGCCTGTCTCCGCTCTCATACCAGCTCCTCTGCTAGTACTAAATGTTCCCAGGGGAAGGGAAACTGTAGAGCAGAAATGGAGAATGTGTAGGTTTCTCTCCATTGGCAGATCTGAATAGGAGAACTACTTCAATACATGTAAAATAAAACTAGTTTTCATTATAAACCAACAAATGGTTTATTTTTAGTATCGAGTAACACAGAAATTAGATCCAAAAAAATCCCATTAGGTCATGGTTCTAGTTCTCTGCCAAGTCAGGATTGTTATCTACAGTATATTTCTACTTACACAGATATATTATAGCCTTTGCTAATTTCTCCCCTCGCTTAGAAGCTTATTTCCCCTTCCCATAAATAACCGTACTCACAGGTTTGGCTGCTCTTTGTCAGCATAGCAGAATAGGAGAGGGCTCAGGCTCCGGGCCAACTCATGTTCCTCAAACTGGCCGGCGGCGTCTGTCTTTGCATTGTCCTGTCTGAAGATCAGTGGCAACCCTTTAGGAAGGAGGGGAAAAGTTTGTATCAATCCCACCCAGTCTACCCATGAAAGATGCAAATGGAAAATGGGAGAAAAACATCATCAAGAGGTAAAACAGTAAAAACTGAGTTTACTTAGAGGGCTTGGTCCATCATCTCAAAGGACAGTTTGGAGCCAGGATTTAGCTCCGTGGTTCAACCACCTGCCTTGCATCCACAAGGTCTTCAGTTCAATCCCCAGTACCAAAAATAAAATTCAATAAAATAAAGGGACAGTTGTGACTATGATTAAGCAGGTATTCCAGAAGGAGAGTTTTAGCAGCTTAGACTGCTGAAGTAATCTATTTACATTGGCTTCACTTAGCTGAGCAAATATATACTAATTCCCATGACCAATGGCAAAGACCTCCTTGGACAGTCTCTTTGCGTACCTGTTTTGTTAATGAGCCAATAGGGGGAGGAAATGAAGATCTTTAAGGATCCTTCAGCTCGGCACACAATCCGGATGGTAAGGTTTAGCTGTCGCCGGTTGATGTCATAGAGTCGCATTCTCACCATATAGTTCTGGGTCCCAGGGGGAATAAGCAATTCTTTACAGAGGGGAAAGTTCTCCAGTGACACACCTAGAAAAGGTACAAGCCATTGGCTTTCTGGATCCTCACTTGAATTTGCCAAAATAAAAGCTAGTAAAACTAAATTGGATTTCTTTGGGAAAAATTATTAAGCATCTAGCTGGTAAAAATCTCAAAGGCCATTTTTTTTTCTGGGATGACCATAATCATGAAGCAAATTTTAGAAGGACTGAAATTACAGATACCACATAATGAGGATCAGAGTTCCGAGGAGCTACCAATAATAACGGTTATGATTACCAGGAGTTTGCTATACATCAGGCCCTGTGTTCAATGCCTGAAATATAGGACAGCCAGTATAGGGTTCTTAGCCAAACTCCCTGGATGCAGATCCCCAGTCTGGCTTTATCTGTGTGATGTGGAACAAGCTATCTAACTTCTCCAGGTCTCCTCTGCAAACTGTGGTAATAACAGCATCTACACAGCAGGACTATGATGAAAAGTGATGATTCGGGTAAGGCAGGGCCCTGAAGACCAGGAGCTCTGGAAAAGGAGAGGGGCTCAGGAAGTACCTAAAGAAACGCATTCAACAACTACTTAAAGGCGAAAGACCTATTTTCTTTAGCAAGAATATCACTGCACCATTTTTCTTTTCTAAATTAAGCTCAGGGGTTTATACAATACTGAAGTGCAATCTTGTCACTGTGGACACACTGCTTAAGTTCAATAAGTCTCAACTTCCTCCAGTGTAAAACAGAGACAACACCTGTCTCAACCTGAAGCGCATGTTTGTGAAGATCAAGGCGATAATACGGGGAAAGCACTTACGAAAGTGTAAAAAATAAATATCTAACTTATTACTTCAGCATGTCTGTGGCAGTTGTAAGGCAACACTGCCTACCCCTTTAAGTGCTTCAAATGATTCCTATTTTGACTTTGTTCACCTTATAACTAAAACTTACTTGTTGCCTTAAACATTCTAACCTCCATTTCTTTAGTCAAATGGGACAACTAACTATTCCTCAAGGGATCACGTGGGAAATAGCTAGCTTACATCTGAATAAAGGAATGTTTAGCAACTGTTTGGCCCTTCCCTGAAGAGATGAGACTTGACTTTGCTCATTTTATAGCCAGGAAAAAGCATGGTTGCAAAAGATGGAATGAATACCTGTAAACTCATATTAAGTGAACAATATAAGAGAAAGGGCTCTGCTGAGTGCTCCTGTTGTAAACCTTTAGGGTTATTCAGGTTTTTTTCAATTCATAACTGCCCTGAGGGGCTTATGAGCTGTCACAGGTGCCACAATTTCTCCAAGATGTTTACCAAACAGTCACAAAGTCATCATCAATATTTTCACAGGGTTATTCCAAATGATCCTGTGGCACCAGCCTTACCTAGTTCAATGTTCTGGGATGTATCAGCTGTGTGGAGGGCTGCCTCCTTGCCAGGCTTCAGAGTCCCGTTAATTGGCATTCCTTTCACATAAAAATCAAGTTCACAAGGCAGCAAGTTGCAGACCACCACGGTTGGCAGGAGATATATGGTATGCCCAGGCTGTCTAAAAATTTGTTTTGCACTGTCAGAGAATATGTTTGAGGGCATATAATCTGGATAGTTCTCTTTCTTTATAGCCACACAAAACCTATGAAGACAAAATGATACGAAAATATTCAACCTGAAGGAAAAACTTGAAGTTTTTCTCCTTAGCTAACATTAAAACGCTTTGATAAGTCAGTATGGTCAAATTTAGTCATTTAGTCAAATACAGCTAGTGAGATGTAATACACAATAAAATTGCGTCATTTTAAATGTTCAGCTTGATGAGTCTGGGCAATTATTTACATCTTTATAACCACCACTCAAAACAAGATGCAGACTATGTTTCTCTTCAGAAGGCCCCCTCATGTTCTCTTCCTGTCAACCAAGTAATCATTTCCTAGTATCTGTTACTACAGATTAGTTGTGTCTGTTTGTGAACCACATATAAATGGATCATATGGTGTGTACCACTCTGTGTGTCTGGCTTTATTTGCTATGAAGTTTCAACAAGATGCAGCCATATTGCTGTATGCATTATGTCTGATTCTCTTTCACTGCCTGATTATATGCCGTGGGGTGAATTATTATTTATTCATTAGCTTGCTGATATCCCATAGGGCTGTTTCCAGTTTAGGAATACACAAACTTTCTTGTAGAATTATTTTTGTGAACATATACCTTCATTTCATTTTAGGTAAAAACCTACTAATGGACTTGCTCATCCTTTGCTTTTATAAGAAATTTCCAAATGCTTCTCCAAGTTGGTTGTGTAATTTTACACTCTCACCAGCTACTTATGAGAGTTGCAGTTGCTCCCTATCTTTTGCCAATATTTGGTGATATCCATTTTTTTTACTTCATCCAGTACAGAGAGTAAAGCATGGCTCAGTAATCTTCCCAAATGATTAATAATGCTGAACTTCTTTTGTCTATGAGGAATTTCTATATTTTCTTCAGTGAATTGTCAGTTCAGTCTCCTGCTAGTCTTCTCATTAGGTTTTTTTTATTGTTGGTGTTCCACGTAAAAATCCTTTGGTAGGCATATTTTTCCCAATTCTGTGGCTTCTTCCTTTTATTGGATTACTGAAATATTTCTTTGTTGTTTTAATGCTTTTTCTGTATAAAATCTTTACTGCCCCAAAGTCTCTAGAGACAACAGATGTGAGTTTTACATTTCAGTATATGACCCATTTGATTAATTTTTCCAAATGAATACGGTACAAAGTTTATGTTTTCATACGGATATTGACTTGTTCTGTCAGTATCTGTCTAGAAGTCTTTCCTTTCACCTGCTACATTGTTTTGACGCCCTGACTGAAAAATCAAGACTCCATCTTGGAGTACGTGGGCCTACTTTGAATTCCCTTTATATTCCAATGATCCATATTTGTTTCCATGCTAGAAACACACTGTGTTAATGACTGTGGCTGGACAATAAGTCTTGAAAGCACGTTTTGTTTATCTTCTGGCTTTGCTCTTTTTCAAGATAGCATTAAATACTCTGTATTTCCATATAAATTTATAATTAGCTCCTCTGTTTCTTTAAATCAGCCCATCAGAATTTTCACAGGAATTATACTACTCTACTGTGTCTTCAGATCAATTTATTGAGAATCCTACCAATACAAAGTCTTTTGAGTCCGTTAATTTGGTATGTCTACTTGATAGGTCTTCTTTATCTCAGAAAGGCTTTGTAATTTCTAGGGGGTGGAAGACATACTTTACTTGTTAAACTGAGTCCTAGATATTTAATGTTTTCTAGTGCTACTGTAAATATTTTTCTAAAAATCTTATTTTCCACTTCTTTAGAATACAACTGATTTCTATAGGCTGATCTTGTACCCTGAAATCTTGATAAAGTAAGTCTAGCAATTTCCTATGTAGTCTCTGTATCCAATTGTGTCCTTTGAAAATAACAATTTTATTTCTCAGATCTTCATGTATTTTTAATTCCTTCTTTATTTATTCTTTACTGCAATGACCAGAAGTGGTACTTTATTTTTGGAGACAAGGTCTCACTATGTAGTTCAAGTTGGCTTTGAACTCATTTTATCACCCGACCTGGCCTCCAACTCAAGGCAATCCTCCTGCCTCAGCCTCCCAAGTGCTGGAATGACAGGTATGCACCACCACACCCAGCTTGCTACTATCACATTAAGTGCCCAGTTCCCAATCTCAAGAGAAAAATGCTTAATGTTTCACTGTCAAATATGATGTTACCAATACCAACAAGTATGTCACAGATGCCCTTTCGCTGATTTAAAATGTTGACTTCTTGGCTTTTTTTTTTGGTACCATGGATTGAACTTAGTACCTTGTGACTGCAAGGCAGGCACAGTGCCACTTAGCTAAGGCCCCGGCCCTGTTCTTTTCCTTTTAATGTCTGTAAGATCTGTAATAATGTCTCCATTAATTCCTTGCATTTGTGTTTCCCTCTTTTCTTGTCAGTCTTGCTAAAAGTTTATTAGATCTATGTATCTTTTTTAAAAGCCAATTTTGGCATTGTTCTGTTTTTTATTTCACTGATTTCCACTGTTTCTTTTTCTCTTTTTTTTTTTTATTTTTAAATTTGCTCTCCATTTTCTAGCCTTTGTTGTTTCAGAGACAGAATTTCACTAAGGTGCTAAATTGTCCAGGCTGGACTTGAACTTATAATCCTCCTGTCTCAGCCTCCAAGAATGCTGGGATTACAGGTTTTTTCTAGATTCTTTCTTTCTGGAGACAAGAGTTTCAGCTCAGGCTGGCTTTGGACTTGCAGCAATTCTCCTGACTCAGTCTCTAGAGTGCTGCATTTGCAGGTATGTGCCACGACCCAATGGCTCCTTTCTAGCTGCTTAAGATAAAAGATCATACCATTAATTTTATCTTTCTTATTTTCTAATAAGGATACTGAAAACTGTAACTTTCTCCCATAGAAACTGCTTTTGCAGTGTACCCCATATTTTAACATATCTATTACTGCTTTGGAGGGGTTTTGGTCTATTACTCAATTCCAAACATTTTCTAATTTCCTTTGTCATTGTTTCTTTGATTCCTTTGGGAATTTGCTAGGCATTTTACTGTTGTTGATTTCTAATATAATTCTATTGTGATCAGGAAATATATTGTATATGACTTTAGTTATATCTACTGACCTTCATTTTATGGCCCAGTAGATAGTATACTATGTACTTGAAAAGAAGGTACAATCTGCCCCAGCTATAGGCAGCTACCTAGGTTGCCACGTATTTGGGCACGTGTTACACTGCTGGGAGAATAGCAGCAGATAGCTGGTTAGCGTTCTGGGCCTGGTTCATTACACTTTCATGTTAACTATTGCAGGATGTCAGCACAGTTGAAAAAAAAAAAGAAGAAGGTACAATTTGAAGCTGTTGGCAAAATGTTGTATACGTGTCAAATGGAATAAGTGAGATACCAGCATTGCTCAAGTCTTTTGTATCTTTATTCACCTGTTTACAAGCTACTCAGAGAAACTGTTAAATAACCAACTATAGGTATGCATGTATCTATTATTCTTTAGTGTGTTAACAAATGGCAAATCTGGGGAAAGGATATATTGAAATTCTTTACACTATTCTTGTACTTCAAGTTTAAATTAAATGAATGCCTATCTTCAATTATAAAGAAAATTAACCCTAATAATGTCTCAAAGTAAGTTTATTAAGGTCTAATGGCAACAATCTAGTATTTTTTCCAACAATGAATCTATTAACATATTACTTACACTGTCTAGAACAGAAAAACACTACTTTAAATGATAGGCAATTTTGTTAAGTGCTCTAGATAGTCAACAGTAAGTGCATGACCTAATACTTAAAATCTTTTATTCAAAACATTTCCAGGCCCAGGATTTGCTTCCCAAATTAGATAGAGGAACTGGCTAGTGGGTTAGTATCGGTTTCTTCCCCTCTCTTTACACTGATGTACAATACAGAATTCTACTCGTATGTATGTGAAGAGCATGTTTGCCAGTGGTTTTGCCCATAAATAGTAGATAAGTAACCCACAAATGTTATCCCTAGAGATTCTCTACCCAGAGAACCTAATGAGTAAGAACTTACTCTAGGGCTCCAAATAACACAACTAAATAAATCAAGAAGGGTCCTTAGAGGAAAAATGCTGACAGAATCACTGAGAGGGGAAAAACAAGTTATGGTCACCACAGCGGTCTACCTACCTGAAGAACCGGCTCTTTTCTGTGTCCATGGAGTGACACTCTCGTTTGCTGCTACTAACCTCTGCTGTCTTCAATACGTTGGTCCAATGAATCGGGGCCTTACAGAAAAACACGCCCAATCCTTTGGGCCGGGCCTGCAGTCGCCAAGAAGTGAGGTGTAAAGGCACAGCAAACGAGTCCCCTGGCATGACAGCGGGAAGCACCACTGGCTCTGCCACAAAAACAAGGGTTAGCACTTTCAGGCAACCGTCCTCCTCCCCAAGGACAAAGAGCAGACAGACTGCAAATGCTGACTACCCAGACACACTTGCTGAGAAGGGAGGGTTAGAACAACAGTCAACAAGTATTTGTGGAGCATTTACTGTGTTCCACAAACTGAACGTACTGTCTGGCGCTGACGGGCTGTCCAGTCTCAGCTCCATTGGGGTCTCGAGTCTGTTCCGCACAATGAGAGCCGACCGGACAGTGATGACCTTCCGAGCGCTGCCTTCCATAGTCACCGCGAAGACCACCCGCACAGGTGGGAGTGAGGAGAACTGTGCAGAAAAGACAGAAGCAAAAGAGCTGTGCTTCTGAGCGACACCTCCACATGGTCTAAATCAAAGCACAACTACTACCACAGCTACTCAGGGAAATGGCCACTTCAGCTCTAAAGGGAGTAAGCATGCTACAGATACATACTATACAAAAACCAGCCAATCTGAAGTTTCTATAAAAATATTCCACTGAAATGTGACATCACAAACTGTTGCAAAGAAAACTATTCCTGGCCTCTAGGCACTTCACCTAAGATGGCAGTGAAAGCCTGTGCAATTTTCCAAACTTCCTGCTACACAGTAAGAAAAATCTGCTGCACATTACCCTCCACACCTGATGCCTCTGGGTCTCCACACATCAGCACTTGTGTGCAAACTATGGACAAGACTTATTTTCAACCTTATTGGAGTGCAATAAAATAAAGATCATCTGAGGCAACTAAAATTAGAAACACTGAGGCAGGACTTTGCTAGTCATTAAATGATTTATCACCTCTGGTATTTTCCTCCCACATTAACAATAGGTTAAGAAAACATTCCTAGAACACTAACAATGGGTTTGGTACTGCCCAAAAATACACAAAAAAACAGAAGCAAGTCTTAAGATGAAAACTGGTTTTTATACCCAGAGAGTATATAAGAAAGAACAGTCTGTTTTGGTGTGTCCTCCATAGGCACAGATAACTTCTTTTTCTCTAAGTGTCACTCAGTTTAGGCCTCAGACCCCTACAGAAAACTAACGTATGTACTTCAACACAAACTTTTCTTTCTTCACAATAATGCTTGATTCTGTTCCATAATCATTCTTTTGTAAACAGGATACCAAGGTTCAGAAGCTCAATATAATGAGAGAAATTACTTCTTTTTGACCCTGGGTTATAATTTTAATCACATATTTTGTGCTACTACCATGTGACAGGAAACCTTTTTATTAAAGATCCCACATGAAGCACACCAAGGAGCGGGGCTCTGAAAGCATTACTCTCCCAATGCCAGGACATGTACCAATGGTTTTTAGTGGAGAAACGAAGGACACCACATTAACATGTTTCATTCAGCGAACTTTTACATTAAAGCGAACAGTATGTGAAAATCAATCTAATTAAATTTAAAAAACAAAGTGGTCCAGAAAGACCCAGTGAAAAGGCAAAATGTAACTTTCTGGAGTGTTTTTAGAGTGACACAAAAACCTAGGCAGTTATCATCAAACTCAAATACAAGCTCAGATAAAAGTCAAGGCCAACAACAACTGTCTGAAATCACCATATTGTTGTTTCCAGGCTTGTTTTAAATTTCACATTTCAAAACTTGTGCTCTCACAGAGAAGAAATAATAAGCAGGAGCCTGAAAAAGTGTTTAATGTCATCTTATAATGTTTCAAAGCCAATGGGGAAAAAATATCTTACTATTTTTCCTTATTTACTTGCATGATCCAAACATGCGCAATTCATAGCCATACCAGGTCATGTTTCTATTTTAACTTAGAAAAGAAAGGAGACCTTGGACTAAAACATCTGCCTGCTCTTCTTTATTGTAACACCCATGCTCAGTCACACACACCAAGCTGTGGGAAAACACTTTCTGATACATTCTTGGAACAAGGAAAGAAGTCATCCATAGCAAAGGATAAAGATAAGTCCGAAGAGGCCTCTGGCCATCATCACATACACATGTGCAGATGGTACAGGTGCAGTGCATATCTCTGTGAACAACACAGCCACAGAAAATCATACTCACATAAACCTGGGGATGTATAATATTGGTTCTGCTGCCTGGGCTGCCAATCTAAGAAGAGAGATTCAAAAACTCAGAGTCAGTACAGATTTAAGACAATAAAGAACATTAAAATCAATGACAATGCAATTCGTATGAAAGCAAATGGTGTTCAAAAGTACTTTGAGGTAAAGTATTCTACTATGAAGTTAAAACATCTCTTCAAAGACACGGGTAAAACAATGTTTACTCTACAACCATTTGATGTGTGCACATCAACAAAAAAGTAATGAAGAGTCAATCCATTCAATGCCAGACATGAATTTAGACAGAAAAGTAATCTGGGGGAAAAAAGTTTGTTTTTTTTTTCCTTTCGGGAGTAGAGTTCCTAAGTCAGCTGGGGCATCAGAGAGCAACCACAAAAATGAACACTTGCAGAACATTATAGAATGGCATTCTCCAAAAATATGTTTTCTCTGAAAACAAGACTTGAGGAGAGTTGCAATAGCTCCACAAACTCACAGTCTCCACCTCGTCACTGGCTGCCCACATGTGAGTGCAATTATCCACGGACACAAGCCTCAGGCACAGACCCTCGTGGCAGCCACATCAACCACGAAGCCAACTCCACCTGCACACATGGGTCAGGGCCGCTGCCCGCTCCATTCCCCAGGCTGGTCCTGCAGCCCCTGGGCTTCAGGTTAGGGTAAAACTAAGGCAAGGCTATGCAAGCCTACATGTGATCAGAAAATATCTATCTGAGCAACCGAGGAGGATCTGAGAACACAGAGATAGATCAAGAAGTGGCATTATAAGAAATTTTTTAAAGTACATAAATTAGGAATACAAAATCAACATTTTAAAAAGTCAGTAACTTTTTTGTATACCAATAATGTACTAGCTAAGAAATCAGGAAAACAATTCCATTCACAATAGCTTCCCCAAAAAACAACTACAGATGAACCTAACCAGAGGTGAAAGATCTCTACAATGAAAATTACACAACACTACAGAAAGAAATTGAAGAAGACACTAGAAGATGAGATCTTCCATGCTCACAGACAGACAAAATTAACAGTGCTAAAATGGCTACTACCAAAAGTTACCTGTAGATACAATGTAATCCCCATCAAAATTCCAATGACATTTCCCACAGAATTAGAAAAAAGAAATTCTAAAATTCACATAGGAACACAAAAAACTCAGCATACCCAAAGCAATGCTTAGCCAAAAGAATGAGGATAAAGGAATCATAGTACCCAGTTTCAAATAATACCATAAAGCCTTAGTAATAAAAATAGCATGGGAATGGCACAAAAACAGACACAAAGACCAGTGGAATAGAAGAGAAGACAAAGAAACAACATCATACAATTACAGACAGCTGATTGCTGACAAAGAAGCAAAAACTTACACTGGAGAAAAGGCGGCCTCCTGAATAAATGGTGCTGGCAAAACTGGACAGCTACATGCAAAGCAGCAAAACAATCCCTACCTCCCTCCCTGTGCAAAAATCAATTCAAAATGGATTGAAGATCTCGGTATAGAAGGCCAGAAACTGCAAACACACACACAAAACAGGGAAAACACTCAAAGCCACAGGTATAATGGATGAAAACTTCCTGAATAGAACTCCATTAATTAGTACAGGAAATACTGACAAGAATCAACAAATGGGACTATATCAAATTAAAATATTTCTGCACAGCAAGGGAAAAAATGGTAAAAGCCTAAGAATGGGTGAAAATCTTTGTCAGATACTCTTCTGATAGAGGATTAATATCTATAATATGTAAAGAAATAAAAAAGCACCAAAAGCTCAAATAGCCCAATGAATTAGACACTTCTCAAAAGAATACATACAAATGGCAATAAGTGTTAAGGGAAAAAAATGTTCTACATCTTTGCAGTACTGGGGATTGAAGTCAGGACCCTGTACTTGCGAGGCAGGTGTGGTGCCACTGACCCATGTCCCTGGCTGTTCAACATCTCTAGCAATTAGGGAAACACAAATCAAAACCACACTGAGAGTCCTTCTCCACCCAACCAGATTGACTATTATCAAGAGTACAAAAATAATAAATGTTGACAAGGATGCAGGAGAAAAAAGGAACATGAATACTTTGCTAGTGGAAATGCAAATAAACACAGCCACTATGGAAATCAGTATGGCAGCTCTTAAAGAATTACCATATAACCCAGCTATACCACTCATTGGTACGTGTCAGAAGGAATTAAAGTCAGCATACATGGAAATACTGCATATTCATGTTTCTTCCAGTACAATTCACAACAGCCAAGATATGGAACCAGCCTAGGTGCTCATCAGGGGGGAATGGATAAAAAAATATGGTCTATATACACCAGGGAATATTACTCAGCCATAAAGAAGAAAGCATGGAACTGGAGATCATCATATTAAATGAGATAAAACAGATTCAGAAAGACAAGCATCATATATTTTCTCTAATATGTGGAATCTTTACAAAAATGACATGAAAATAGAAGGAAGACTATTCAGACAACAGGAACTGAATAGAGAGGGAGGAAAATAGGGCTTAAGGGGATGGATACAATCAAAATATATGCATTGAAACCCAGAGTTTTATAAAATTAACAGGCAGAACCAAAGAAATTTATTTTTTAAAAAAAGGAAATGAAGACCTCCTCCAAATTAGAAAGCATGACACAGTATCAAATATGATCAGTATAGTTGGCCCTTCATGTACACAGGTTCTGCACCATAGATCCAACCCACGTGGATGCCAGAATGGGTAGTCAGCCCTGTGATGGTTGTACCTGCACTGAACATGGACAGACTCCTTGTTCCTTGTCCTTAGTCTCTAAACAATACAGCATAACAATTATTTATTTAGCATTTACACTGTGTTAGGTGTAACCTAGAAACGATTCACAGTACGCAGGAGGATATATGTAGGTTACATGCAAACACTGCACCATTTTATATTAGACATTTGGGTATGAGGATTTTGGTACTGGAGAAGGGTCTGGGGTCCTGGACCGGCCCTGAAAGACTCTGAAGCATGACTGTATTCATGTGTGGCAGGCCAGTAAGTAGTCCATCCAGCCAGCTGAGGATAAAAGACATCTGCCAATTGAGATACAGTGATGTGCTACTGCCAGTTTTAAATCTTGTTTTCTACCAAAATTAACTATTGCCTGGCTTGTCCACATACTGATTATCATGTCTATGACTGAGCCAAAATAATCATTAAGTTTTCTTCCTACAGGCAGGGGAAGTAAAAGGTTATTACAGACTGAACCACCTAACAGCCTGGCTTTAATGGGCTGTGGCCATGGCATAACTGTGCCATTAAACACTCATTCTACAGCCACTTACTGTAGAGGAAGATGAATTTTTATCGGGTGCTGCATATCGGAAAAAGGTCCCAACTTTGTCCACTGACACGGGGCTCACTTGCTCCCAGCCATTCACTCTCACTTGCAGCTGGTGGATTCGCAGGTCATGGGTATGTCTGTCAAGCAGAACACAGAGAGGGAATTAAGCGCAGTCTCAGGAAGAAGGAAAGGAGAAGCCAAGATCCAATCTGATTTACTGTGTAATGACATAAAAACCCAGTCAGCTAAGCCATTCGGGGATTAACCAAAGCAGGGGAAATCAAGAGAATGGTTTAACTGGGTCTTATGCTTATGGCACAAACTGCAAGATCTGGAACACTGGAGCGAGAGAGGTATTTGCCCTCCCCTCATACAAACTGTGAAATCTGCACACTTGCCAGGGCTTTCCCTACCAGCACTCACCCCAACCTTTATAAAATAATGATGTCAGTGTAAACCATTTCACTGGGGTGGTAAAACGTACTAGCAATTAAATCATACATATAACCATACTCAGAAATGCATCCATTTTTTTCCCCTTGGTTCCTTTGTTGAATTGCCTACTTCTCTCACAACCACATTCAGTTGGCTCAGGCTCCACAGAACGACAGATGGGCTGGGGTGTGCAGAGCAGAACCCTCAGAGCTTCAGGCTGAAGTGTTCGGCTTAAATTGGAGTAGAAGGCAGCAGGGAGAACAGGAGGAACAAGAGGAAATTGCACATTTAATTCTATTTTAGGTTTTGCCTAATTCAAGCCAGAAGCCTGAAATGGGGGAACTGAATTTGAAGCTAACAGGAAGAGGGGAGGGAGACACAGATGGGGTATAGTGTGCCGAAGGGGAGAAATGCCAGAAAAGGCATCTATTTTGATGAATTCAAGCAGAACAGTGGGACCTGAAATGGGTTATAAAACATGGAAACTGAAACGGAAATGACAAAGAAGCCAAGCCCTCTCTGAGACTAGAGGCTGTCCTCATTCTGAGACCCTGTCAGCAGTCCTGTGGCTTCTTCAACAACAGGTGGAAGGACAGGACCACATTTGCCACTCACCCCTAGAAATGCTCCAGTGCCTTCCAGGGACCCGTGCCCCCCATAAAACCCCTGAAGAGCAGAGGTTCAAATCTTTGACGGCCAGGACTGACAAACACAGGGGCAAAACTGTGCAGGAGCACGCAGTGCCTGGCAAGGGAGGTGTCTGCACACAAAAAGCACATGACAACAAAGCCTAAAGCCAACCTCCTCCATTTCAGCTCTGCCTGAAAACAGGCAGAGGCTCAAACACTAAGAACTTCATCAAGTCTCAGCCTATTCGTAACTGCTGCATAGGCCTGCCACTGAAAAAGGTTAGCAGGGCTGGGGATGTAGTTCAGTGGCACAGTGCCTGCCTGGCAAGCCCGAGGCCCTGAGTTCAATTCCTAGTACCAAAAAAAAAAAAAAAAAAAAAAAAGGTTTTCCAACCTTTGAGACCTATGATCTCTCAATAACCAGATGTGCAACCTTTTCCCACATTTATTCCAATTCTTTGGCTGGCTACTTCAGGAGCACTTCAGCCAGCAGTCCCCCTTGAATGAGTTATTCTCACACTTCTTAGTTCCTCTGCTTCCTGAGACTTGCTAAAGTGCTGTGTAAAACACATGAATATGAACAATGAAATCTCCATGCTCTGAAAACATTTTTAGAACAGCACATCACCACTGGCTGTGGAAAACAGGCCAGGATATAATGAAGTTGGACAATTAATTCAATGTAGCCAGGCTCTGAGCAAGTGAAACACACACATTATTGCCTCACATACATACATGGCAAGTAAATGCACAACCAATGGAAAAAAGTGCATTTCAAAGATGGCAAGCCAGTCTATATTTCTAAAAGGAAACTAAAAAGACAAAACACTAGAGAAAATCATTTGCATTTATTTTCTTATTTTTAATAAAAAGAATAAACAACCACACTTTACCTGTGTCTTAACTTTCCTCTGGCTTCAAATTCAAAGGGAATCTCTTCACCAGTGAGGACTTCTTGCCACTCGCTGACATTGTGAGCATCATCCAGAAACGCCCCATTCCCTTCTGGAACCATCCCTGGACTCCCACTGTGAGAGAGCGCTGCCCTGCAACCAAACCAGAGGAAAGAGAAAGATACCCGTCCATCCTTCTCCTCACTCCCTCTCACAAGATCTCTGTGCTGCGGAGCAGAAACAAGACAGCACAACCTCGCTACAAATGATGACCTAAAAAGTCAGTCACCATGGGGACCTTCATGCTAGGTCACAACTTACTTAAATTTTTAGAAATAGCTGAAAGTTGTCATTACCTACTCACTACTCTAACAGTAGTCTGGTATTTGGACACCATGACATGATTTTCTCCTTTTTTTTTGGATTAGCAATTGAACCCAGGCCTTCACACTGAGCTACATACCCAGCCCTTTTTAAATATCCTACTCTGAGACACTCAGTCACTTAGCTGACTGGGCTGGCCTTGAACTTACAATACACCTCCTTCAGCCTACCACAGTGCTGCCATCACAGCCATGCACCATCCCCGGCTAAGGCATGACTTTCTAAAGGAAAATTTAAGTGATGAGCTTAACTTCTCTTGCAGGACACTGCCAGGCTTAGAGAAGGTGGAGGTAATCCAGTTCCAGTACTACTGATTCTGTGACTATTTCATGAACTTCAGGCCCTAAGATTACCATGTATTTAGAACACTGAGCCAAGATCTACACAACAAAGAGTTGGTGGAAAAACGTTTTTATTTAGCTTAGGTAAACTCTCATTTGTTCTCCAAACTCCACCCAGTCCCATCTGGGTTGAAGTGTGTTTCAAAAATGGAAGATAATTCATTAGGGGTGGAGGAGGATGTAGAATGCACTCAAATAAGTCATGGAAGAAAAATACAAAAATGTTTAGTTTAATAACCACATCTAGCTACTTTAAAGAAGAGATGGGCATTCGAAGACCAAGAATGGGATGCCTTTTCTTTCACACTTCCTACACACATCCTCACTCTGCTTGCCTTATGCTTTACATGTAATGTATACCAGGATCAAGATCATAGTTTGACTACTTCAGACATAGGATCTACTTCTCTGGTTGCAGATTCTACACAGAATTAGAACTTCCATCACCAAGGTCAGGCCAGCAGCAAGTTATTGATTCCAATATAAGCTCAGAGGATTCAGGAAGGGCCCAGCACACTCAGCTGGGCTGCTGCAAGACCTCAGTGGCAGGGCCGGGAATTTAGCTCAGTGGTTCTGCCATCTGCCTCACAAGTGCAAGATCCCAAGAGTTCAATCCCCAGTACCAAAAAAAACTTCAGTGGCACAGATGACCCTGGGGACAGTTTTAAGCACTCTTACCTGGTGGGCGTGGTGGTCAGGGTGGCAAACCACAGAGTACACCCCGTATGGTTCCTCAGAGCAAAGGGGACAAATGGCTGCCGGCGCTTTGGGGTTTTCACCTCTGCTACAACAAACAGAAAAGGCTATTAATGTACACCTCTCTCTTATGGTGGACACCCTCCCAGGACCAGAGACAGCGCTCATGGCTGTTGCTTGTGTGAAGGGGCTAAAGGCACAGCGAAGATGAAGGCACCACCTCGGTTTTGTTAGAAGAACAAACAGAGGCTCGAGCCCCCACACATATCCACAGCCCTGAAACTCCTAAAATACTGTTAGAAGAGGGCATCAGAGCAGAATTAGCTAGAATCAGGGGAAAAAACTGAAATGAACTCCTCCTCACAAGACTTTTAAACAGGTAACCCAGTTGCAGCAAGACATACCATGTGCACTATTTAAAACTTTGTTCAAAAAGCCTTTATTTAAGAAAACTTCTGTTTATATAAAGGTCCTTCAGCCATAGTATGCATAATACATCAAAATAAAAACATCCTTTGACATTCTCTTATATTAATAGCTGTTCTTGTTCAAAGCTTTTAAAATGGGATTTTTGCCCATTTTTTAATATGGACATGACCACCAGCTGATTCAAGGTAGGCAAACGTGGAAGCTAAGAAGGAGCACCAGCTACGGCTTCCCAGTGCCAAAAAGTCTCTCCTCAGGCAAACTGCAGAGAAACAATGACCAGTACAAAAATGTAAGGAGCCAAACTCTAGAGGCGACTGACTGTAAGAGAAGGTGCTCTAACCAGGCTGCCTCAGGATCCCTCTGCAGGCCCCTATGGCAAGGGCCTCTGTGGCCTCCACTAGCTTCACAAACTAAGAAGGCAGCGGCAGCAGGAACCAGCAGTCAGTGGCAATCAGTCAGAGGCTCCCAGCCAATGAGCTCACAACACACACAACTTACTGACCATAAAGGGCATAAGACATGACCCCATCTCATTCTGTGTCCTACCTAAAAGCATAATGACAGCCTGAAAAAGACCATGACCTGAATGGTCCAGCATCTAGACAAGAGGCAAATGCTACCACAGGGAGTTCCAGGGTAAAGCCAAGCTCACCTTTCAGGCCACATGCTCCCTGTTGATGAAATGGAGAAGGCAAACCACAACCTATCCTGCCTGTTGCGAGCTCTAACATGAGGCCTGGGCGGTGGTCTAAGAGCCAGTGATTATCACTGTCTTTTAAAACAATAAATCACCTCCCCTTTATATCTTTTATAGTCTTCAGAAGTTAACCACTTCAGGTTAAGGCAAGATACATTTGGTGTAGTGTCTCAGCAGAGTGTAACATACAGTAATCTGCTAAGGAGATGAGAGTCCCCAGTGTGTGGTCAGTCGACTAGAGATGCCCCAAATACCTCTAAGGGCAATCTCCATCTAGGAATATGCCCATTCCTCATTCCTGAAGCCTCACTGAGGTCTCCAGGACTGCCCAAGACAAGGCAGTGCTCATCAAGTAGAAAATTAGGGAGTAGCTAGCTGTGAGGCTGCTGACAAGAGCAAAGGGGGAATAAAAAAAATTTAAGAGCTGTCTGCAGGGTAAACAGAATTTACTGTGGGCTTTGGAAGGCGCCTCCCTCCATGGGAGCAAGGAAAGCGGCTTTTATTACAGCAGATAAAGGGCCAGGGGGAAAGGGAGCCAGATGTGCTTCCCCCATCCCACTGTGAGCCAGACTGGAAGTTTCCATTCGCAAATTAGATTAAAAAAGAACAGGTGGTAGATGGCTTTGATCACTTTGTAATACAGAATGAAGTAGGAGGAAGCCATACACAGATACCCACAGCATCTGCTCTGGAATTCAATAGCACAGGCAGGCACACTACTCAGGTCCCCGGGCTTCCTGTGTGAACAGACAAAACTGAGCAGACTTCGGTAACCTACTTCTCAGAGGACAAAAATGCACGGTGTCACAGAAATCCAAACCAAACATCAGGCAACAAATGTGACATCTCCTGCACAGGATCCAAATCAACTGTACTTGCTTTTGGCACAGCACCATAGAAAAAGTTCCCAAATCCATCAAAGAAAACATTATTCCCCAACGGCTGCCTCTAGCGACCAAATCCAATTTTTTTCATGAGTTGAGATAACCTAAAGCATCTCACATCCAAGTTCAGCCTTCAATGGCTCCAGCTAAGGAAATTTCTACTCTTTTTGACTTGTTTCCCAAAGAAATTCAGCCATTATAAACAACGTGCAGGTTTCACACTATACAGCAGCTCAATCTATTAGAAAGGACCTTGTTTGTAAATCATAATAAATAAAGCATGACACTGTCTGAGTCTCATTGTCTTGATCAGCTGCACAAGAATAACGCTTGGCTTTGCCAAATTATTAAATTATTAATAACATTTAAAAGTTCAGAGGTATAAATTTACAAATAAATTAAGATTTAGCCATAGACTTACTTTGTGAGCCCTCCTTCAAGCATAAATCCTTGTAAAAATCTTGCGGAAAAAATAAATAAATAAAACAGCAACATTCCTGTGTATTACAGTACTTTGCTGTTCTGTACTTCTGATAGAAACTCAAATGCCCTGTGCATAAAAATACAGTGTGACCCATGATCTAAAAGTAGATTAATTGTGCTCCTTAAAGAAGAAATGAATACCTTGGGATATCAATTCCTCATCTTCTCCCACATGCACTTACCGGTCAAATTCTCAAAGAACCTTAAATAGTCAGAGATATAAACAAAGAATGTTTTCTATTTCCTAAGCAAATAAATTCATATCTATAGAAATTAAAAGTCCAGGTCTAAGTAATCACTGAGAAGTTTTTCTTAACTGTGTTCATGAATATTGGAGCTCGCGGGTATACATTCCCATGAGAATAAACAAGACCTCGTGACCCTGTGAGACAGAGGACGTTGTTCTCCCATCTACTCACTCTTTGATATGGTGAGTCTAAGTGACAGGGATGCTTCTGCACCACACACTGTGCATTTTATGCCACTTCCACCAATGTGAGGGGAGAGGGGAGAGAGAAAATGAAGAATTAGCACATCACTCGTGCCTAATATAAAGTGCCATCTGTTAATTAGTTGGAAATGTTCTTGCCTGATACTGCAGCCAGGTATTCACGGCTGAGTATACCCTCGTTCAACTCTCATTCACAAACACACAACACAACACAACACAACACTGATGTACAAAGCAGTTCTTAAAACAGAAAAGGAAGCCAGCCTCGCTTGGCTGTACTGTACCTCTAGCATAGATCTGGTGCTCTAGGTTAGTCAGACTGGCTGTGCTCCTAGTTCTAAGGTAGACAAGGGGGAGGCCTGGTAGACAGGAAAGACAAAGTTAGAGGGGAGAGTAAGCACAGCGAATAAGAAGACTCACCTCCAAATTATGAGCACAAATAGAGAACATTACAAAATAGCAAGCATCATGGGATTACCAGATCGTCCTTCCTGTAATTACTAAGAGACAAGAAAGTACTTGACGGAGTGAACACAACATTTTTTATGCTGGCTCTTGCTGTGCAGGTTGTATCTAAGCAGCAGGCGCCTCCTTTTCTGATAGTATTAAAACACTGTCTTTAACAGAAACAACATGCCGCCTGAGGTTTGTTTTAGTTTTTAATGGGACTGAACCTAGGGCCTTTGCACTGAGCTACATTCCCAGTTCTTCTTACTTTTATTTTGAGACAGGGTCTTGCCAAGTCCCTAAAATGCCTGGGCTGGGCTCCAATTTATAATCTTTCTGCCTCAGCCTCCCAGACTAATGGGATTACCAAGACTTTTGAATATTTTAAAAGTTTGATGTTCTTAACTGGCACAGGAAAGTTACAGAAACCAAACAGTACAAATTTTAGTGGGAGCTGCCCCTTTCCAAGTGGAAAACACTGTAGCAGTAGAGAGCTGGTCACTGGGTGGCCTCTCTCCAAGCATTCAGTGGAAGGGATCATCCCATTTCCAAACTGAAACAACCTCTACTAAGGAATCACCTCACAGTATTATTTAAATTCTAAACTAAACACAGAGATTTTCAGAACATTTATATTTGATATTTTCATAAAATAACCTTGAAATACAAAGCTAATAAATTCAGGGAAGCATCATAGCATCCAGATTTACCAGTAGAATCTCAGTCCTTATTGAACAACGCACACAATTATATCAAAATGAGGCCCATATTTACTTTTCCCTGCTAAAGAAACAGCAAGAAATCAACAGTTTCCTTAGGGCGAACCTCATTCTAAGAGCTTTTCAAGGAGCTTAAAGCACAGTTTCTGGGGAAATATGACTAAACATTCTCAAATAAGACCTGAAAGTTTATGACCAGCTCAACAAGATTGAATCCTACTAAATGGAAGATAAATGTCTGACAGTCCGTTTGTAGGCTTATAAAGCACATAAACCTGGCCTATGGAAAGAGTATCACCCAGCAATTGTTAATGAGAAAAGATGTTGTGAAATTTAGATATATTCAGTTATGCGTGATTAAAAGGAGTAACACAGTTTTATCAGCTGAAGTAGCCATAAATCAAGTTTTAACTTAGCACTGGAATTTAACATAGATAAGGTATCTTATTAACTATAAAGAAAGAAAGGAGAAAGTTTATTACAAAGTAAGGGGCGAGGGGAAGAGACAGAGACAGTGGGAAAAACAGTGAGAGAGACACAGGGAGACAGAAAAGGGAGAAAGGAGAAGGGGAGAGGGGAGAGGGGAGAGGGACAAGTTCTTCATCTGCTTCTTAAAGATTAGGCCTTCCTAGTCTAGAGCCTGCACTAACTGGATTTATAATCTCACAGTATAAATAACAAAAGAAATATACACTTTTGCTCTCTCAGATGCATAACATATTGTGATGATTATTTAGTCTTCTGGATAGACTATTGTGATACTTAATTTTTTTCTTTTATTTCCTCATTTATTTTGTGGTCCCAGGTTTTTGAGCCCAGGGCCTCACACATGCTAGCCAAGTACTTTACCACTGAGCTACGTCCCCATCTTTTTTTATACCTTTATTTTTTTATTTTGAGACAGTGTCTCACTCAACTGTCCAGGCTAGCCTCAAAGTTGTGATCCTCCCGCCTCAGACTCCTGAATAGCTGGGACTAGAGACATGTGCCACTATGCCCAGCTGTAATGTTTTCTTGAGGCACAAACTCAGTAGGGTAGAGGAGGAACCAGAATGGAAGCTGACACTATCTGAAGAGCCCTGGCTCCTAAGCAACAATCTTGAGACTCAGAAGCAACAGCCTGGGAACCCAATGAGCAAGTACAGCTGATGTCTCTTTGTCTCTCTCAGAAGGACCAAGCAGACAGAAAGTCCGCTTATGCGCCCTGAAGGAAACTAGTGAGCGCAAATACTTCATACACTAAGAAAATCCATCCTCCCATGACATGTTTGCAGACCAGATGGAATTCTCAAGTATTCACAAACTATGTGAAGTCCAGCCAAGATTCCCCAAAGAAAAGCCACTGAAAAGAGTCCGAGGAGCTGAATTTGGATGACAATGCCTTGTGGAACAACTGGGACCATGCAGTTGTCCATCACAACCTCCCAGCCAGCGCTGAGGGAAACAGAGCCCCATGGTGAGGATTAACAAGGGAAGAAAACATGGTCTACAGAGAACACACTGACTCCTCCTTCCTCAAGAGGCTGGGTATTCAATTCTTTTCACTTTAATGAACAATACAAGGCCCCCATTTAAAAATGTTTTCAACATAGGATCCTGCCTGCCCTCTTTTTTAAGAAAACATACAAATCCTTTATCCCCTAGCTTCAGATGGCAGAAAAGACGTTTTTAAAACCCCATCAACTGGAAAAACAATGTTTTGCTGAGTACAACACAAACCAGCAACTTCCCAGTCCCATGGCACTCTCAGGTGCACCGGGTCACCCACGGCGGTCCCAGAATTCAGGGATTAGGCACTGGGCTCCGTCTCCATGCGTGAGTGGAGGGAGAGCCCACACAAAAGAGCAGGAGTTGGTGCCAGAAAACTGTCCACTGCAAAGATTAAAAGAGAACAACAGAAGAGAGGATGGGCTATAGATTTTTCCATGAAGAATGACAGCTCTACTTGAATCTCTCAGGGAAGCACTGCTCTGTAAACCAACAATGATTTAGACAGAGATCAGACAGAAATCTTACTTTGCCCAAAGCAAGGAGGGTCCACCGATGAGCCGATCCAGTCTTCTGAGTGGGCTGAATCCGGTTCCTTGTCTTCTCGGCAATAATCCGCCATCCAAGATTCCTTGGTGCTTACATACTGGTCTAGAAAGGATCACCCGAGGGCATTAAGAGAAGGAGGAAAGATTGAGGGTTCAGGTCAAACAGTTTGGAGCCAGCAAACAAGCTTTTACTGAGTGTTCCCGATATGTCAGGCTTCTGCTGGATATGGAGGGGGTCAGTGCCCGGCAGAACTCAGCTCCAGGGACAACACTAATGGGCACAAAACAGCCAGCACCACAGAGCTATGCCAGGATGTCAATGTCACTACAACAAAGATATAAACAAAAGCCCTGGGCACAGAAGCAGGGAAATTTATTTTGCTTTGACAGAAATTCAGGCATATTCACCAAGGTCCAGGAAAGTGTTCAGACAGGTGGAGGCCACTGCTCCAAGACTTGAGGAACGAACAGGTTAGAGCACCACTGTCCACCTTCTGGCCTTCCTGGCTTACACAGAGTGAAGAAGAACTCTCTTGGGCCATACATAAGATATGCAGTAGAGTTAATGTAGATGAGTACTGAGCCTTCCTTTTTAAAGCAATTTTATTACAACCTTTTTTAAAAAACAGGGCAACATAAAATTAAAACTAGGGGGTACATGACCTTATTTTGTGAAAGTAACACATCAATGTTGGTTCCACCTATGCTCAGGCTATGCTCAGGCACCATACAATCAAGTCATGAAAATACTGCTACAAATCGCGTGATAATGCTACAAGTTTGTGGTCCTGTGGGGGCCACATTAGTAGCTGTCCAGGACCACACGCAGCCCACACCTGGCTTAGCATCTGCCAGTGGCACCGGGCCTGGGGTAATGTTCTAAACAAAGGGAACAGCGCATGCAAAGACTCTAAGACAGAAGAGCCCTGAATAGTCTCGTAAGACTTGAGCACAGCACACTGGTGCAGGGACATAGCAGAGCAATCCAGAAAAGAAAAAAGGATTTGGCTTGTGAAGAATATGGTGTGCCATGCTAAGAGAGGATATGGGGAGAGAGGGGCCCCTCAGAAATCCATTAAAAACAAATGCAAAACTCCTACAGCAATCCCTCATGGACAGCTTTAGTTTTTGGAGAAGACAATTATAATGGAAATGGCAGGTTAACAAAAGAATCATAAGGTTCTATACCTGAATGGAGATCTTTTATACTTGGTAACTATATTTTATGAAACAAGAATTATTAGATTCTAGTTTTCAATTCCAGTACTTGGCTATTGCGATGAGATTTATTTAAACACTAAGAGGTCCTAGCAATGTTTCTGGGATTTCAAACACAATTATTAAGAGCAAGAAATTAAAAGTTTAGGCTGGGGATTTAGTTCAGTGGTGCCACTACCTGCCTCACAAGCCCAAGATCCTGTGTTCAATCCCCAGTACAAAAAAAAAAAAAAAAAAGTTAAAAAAAATTTTGATCAATGGGTCTTTTGGGAGATATTTTTTAAAAAAAACAGATGCTCATCAGAAGTACTAACAAGAGGCCAGGCGTGGTGGTTCACACCTGTAATCCCAGCACTCGGGAGGCAGAGGCAGGAGGATGGCTGTGAGTTCAAGACCAGCCTGGGCTACATAGTGAGTTCCAGGTCAGTCTCAACTACAGAGTGAGACCCTGTCTCAAAAAACCAAAAAAAAAAAAACAAAGAAGAAGTACTAACAAGAGTCCCTTTGAGATAAACTTGTTTACTGGAACTTTTTGAAGGACTAAAACAAACTGTCTAATCTTCCAGATTAGCAGAGATTATGTGAAAATAACAGAAGGGTCAAAGTATTATACTTCAAAAGGAACCTATGGTTTAATTTTTGTCACACAGGTGATATTGACATCTAAGCAAATTAATGAATGAAATCTGATCTTTTAAAACAATAGTTTGAGGGTCGGGATTTAGCTCAGTAGGGCCACCACCTGCCTCATAAGTGCAAGGTCCTGAGTTCGATCCCCAGTACCAAAAAATAAAAATAAAAAAATAAAATAAAACAATAGTTTTAAATTTGGGGATCCAAAAGTTTCCTGGCTCATTTCACTACGCACTTTTTACCTTTCCCTGATGAGGGTAAAGTTCCAGATATTCTAACAGCATCAACCAGCACACATTCTGAAGTTCACAATTACAGCAGTACCTATTACTGCTCAAAGATAACACAGTACCACCAAATGTGGACCGTGGAGAACAATAAACCAAACAGTGAATGTGAGTTTCTGTAGCAAATGTATAAACTGCCTGATAATATGATATTGCTACCGTGTTGTTAGAAGACTGAAACAGAAAATAGGAAAGTGGTTCTCTTCTACCACATCAAATCCAGAAAAGTGTGTGTCAGGGTGACTAACTTTTAGAATGCACACCATGAGCCAACCGATCCTGTAAGTAAATTCATTTCCAGAGTTAGATCAGTGTTGTACTAGATGGGAAACATCACAGATAACTTAACTTTGCTATAAAACCAAGGTCAAAAATCATGCTTTGACGAGGTACTCTGTGTAAAGCCTGAAAGAATAAATTTAATTGCTTCCAGGGTATTTAATAAATCCCAGTGACCAAGCACTAAGAGGAGAAAGCACACCATGGCCATTTCCCAAGGAGTCTGGGCTCTTGCCTGCTCAAAGGAGCATCAACATGGGATATCAATTCTGAAGAGGAGGGTTCAGAAGAACACTGAACCACATTAGGGTTTACTAGGAAAACTTAGTTTCCTATGATGGATGGGCAGTGTCAGGAAGGGCACCGAGCATTTGCTCACCTAGGAGTAACAGGCATCCAGACTAGGAGCTTGTATACAGCTAGGGACCAGTCTACAACAGGTGGCTCTCCACTCACCAATGAGCACAGAAGTGATGTTGATATCCAAACGGGGTTTGGCCTTGGCCTCCAGCTTCAGTCGAGGAGGATGGAGCCGGCTCGCTGCCTGTTGCTGCCAGGTTATAGAACATGGCCACGGCTCAATAAACGGCTCCCAGCCTACGAGAACACAGGATATAAGACATCTGTTCAGTAGGTATCAAGGGCTTACAGGGAAACACGGTTCACAAATGTTCAGCAAGGAAAGACCAGAGCTTAATAACTCCAATTCAACTTCACGATGAAAGCATCACTTTCGGCAGCAGGTCACCCTCAGATGTCAGTGCTACTCTGAGGATACGAGTGGAAAGGGCACCAGTGTCCTGCACCATGTCTTCTGGATCCATTAAAGGGGGGCAGGACCTGTTCTTGTGCCACTTAAGATAGAAAAAGAAGTCTCAGGCTCAGGTTGGAAAAGAATCACCGTGACCTGTTAACTATCACATTTCATTCTCCCAATTATGTGAATAATCAGTGAATACATAGGTATATCTGGAGGCTCATTAACCTAAATTCTGTGATATATGCACAAAGGAACTAAAAACACGCATATACAACTTAAAGAAAATTCTACTACCAACACTTACACACCCACCATTCAACTTCAGAAACAGAAAATTAAAAGTTCCTTTGAAAACCCCAAGCACCACCCCTCCACCTCCTTCCTTGCATTACCCATCTCCTGCCCAACTGCAGGCAAACATTTGTTCGAGTTGTTATTTCCCTGCTCTTCTTATAATTTTACCACCCATAAAATTCTTAAGAACATATTAATTCATCTGCCCTGTACATGATCTTCACATAAACAGAAGCTGACTGTCTTCTTCTTCAAGGTTCTATTTGTGCCCGACATGCCTTCGAGCTTATCACTGCATATGGATGAGGCATATACACTGTTTTCAGCACAGAAGGGTAACCTACTGATGCATACACGACTTACCACCCCGCCTACTTCTGAAGGACACTGCGTTACCCTATTAGGAAGAATGCTGCTATAGGTCCTGTTGTACATGTTTCCTACTATACACAGACAAGGGAGTCTCTATGGTACAGATCTGAAAAACAGTGCACAGATCAATAATTAAGTATGCTTAGACCCAAGTATGCAAATGCAATCCACTCCCAGAGTAGGAACATCAGACTCCTTATACCATTCGGTACTTAGTGAGCTGAAGAGAGAGCTTCGTGCAACTATAAAAGTAAGTCAACTGGGAAAATAAATGATTCTCAGAAAAATAACTACCATGTGCCCTGTAAGAGTTTCTTTCAACTAGGAAGACCTGAGCCATTGTTCTAAAGTCAAACACTGTGAATGAGAAAATAAGAGTGCTGCCTTCAAGTGAATCCAGAACAAAGGGAAAATGTTAGCTACCACAAAATTAAATGTGATGTGTACTCTGGAACAATCAGCAGCAGCACAGCAAATGGAGGCTTAATGTTCCCTTGAAATGAAAGGGAGGAATTGCAGCATACATTCCGACCCGCACTGCACAGCGCTATCAAGCTCACTGCCAGCATGCTGATGGGAACAAAGTTCTTCCAACTCTTCACAGCACAGAAGTCTACAGCATAAACCAGTTGGCCCTCCTACATGTCACCTTCTAAACTTCAATCTGCTTTACATCTGCTATCGTTTGGATAATGGTTCATCTCCCAAGTTTCACATGTTAGAAGATAGGTCCCTGGGGGTGGCAACCTTACGAGGTGGAGGCTAATATGAAGTCCTCAGGTCATTCAGGCTCACCCCAGCAGAGACGAACACATTTCCCACATGGTTCTCGTGGGTCAGCATGGTTCTGGGAACCTGACCACAGGTGCTCTCCAGCTTTCCAACTGCAGTGTGAGCTCTCACTCCCACGGGCACTCCAGCCAGGGTGCCATCCACCATGAGGCCCTCACCACAGGCCACGCCAAGAGGACAGCCTGTGTGGACTTCAGCCCCCAAAACGATGTGTTACATAATCCTCTTTCCATTACAGAGCAGTCTGCCTCCAATATTTTATTATAATAACGAAAATAAGCTATTACAAGGACCCTTACTTTGGTCTTTCCAAAGGAAGGAAAGAAACCTAGAAATGCCTTGCAGTATCACCCAGGTTTCCAGACTCCAGAAATCCAGCTTGCTCGGATCAATTTCCTTCAGAGCATAGGTGAAGCAGAATATACATTATTCCTGACTCAGTAGGCTTCCAATGGAACAGAGGCCCAGGATGGAATAGAACTTTAAAATGCTTACATAAATCTCCCGTGAAATTTGGCTACTATCAAAAAGCTAAACAGGACTAAACAAATGAGCCTTCACTACTGAGCAATATCAAGTTCGAGAATGAGCTAAACTTCAGGATCGGAAAGAATTAACTAGGAAAACTTTTTTTTTTTTTTTGAGTCAGGGTCTCACTATGTAGTTGAGACTGACCTGGAACTCACTATGTAGCCCAGGCTGGTCTCAAACTCACAGTGATCCTCCTGCCTCAGCCTTCTGAGTGCTGGGATTACAGGTGTGCACCACCACGCCTGGCTGAAAACTTATTTTGAAATAATTCAGTTGCAACATATAAGATAGTTTTAGAAAAACAGAAGATCTGGATCTTCTGTGTTTATGCAGTCACTTGCTTTTAATCGTCTCACCTTTACACTCTCCCTCATGTATGCAGCAATGGACCCAAGCAAACATCTAGATTTAATTTTTAAATCTCACTACACCACGTGCTTTACACTGACCTGACAGAGCACGATTGTAATAATCTCCAGACAGGGTGAAGTGGGCGTAGCCTTCAGGACTGGTTCTCACATGCTGAAGAAAATTCAGACCTACAATGAAAGCAAATATTACTGCAGCAGCAGGGCAGGAGCGACCCCAAGTGCCCTGTACAGACAAACCACAGCAGAGATGTTCGTTACAACCAACCCGCATGATCTCACAGGACAGCACACAAAATTGTGATATTGTTTATCATGTATTTCCCATCAATTGTGATTTTTAAAAAGACTGCATTGAAGTGTTATATATCTTGATCGCTAAGCTTTTTGGCAACTCCCTCCCCATGGTGTGCCTGGTACAAGGGCCTCAATGCCTCCCCCAAGTCCCAGCACAGGCACAGAGGGCCTTCAGAAACACAAAAAGATATTTCTACCTGAATATATGAAAAGAGGGCAGAATGACCAGAGCAAGCATGTCACGATGAATACTAGCTCAAAATTTTAAGACTACCATAGAAAAATAAGAAGTGTTCCACTAAGATAGTGGCTTTTAACAAAGGCCTGACAGTACAAGGAAAAGAGCAGTATCTCTGACATGCAAAGGGCTGGATTAAACCCCCAGAACCAAATTCTCTCAAAGGGAGAAGAGACCAGAAAGACAGAAACAATGGGAGATGCAAAGCAAATCCAGCAGTGAGCTTTCCTCTCACTCTCCAGAATCCTCATCTGCCTGTTTCAAGGGAGCCCTGAAGGACACAGCGCCCTGCTCTGGTCCCCATTCTACCAATAAAGCTCACAGTGTGTCACCTCTGCATACCTTCCGGAGGAGGTGCCAGGGTGAGCTCTCTTACACAATTCTGGTCTGTTAAATTTTAAGCAAGAACCAAGGTAAAAGTAACATTTTCTCAGTTTATCTGTCTGTTGAGAGGATAGGGGTCTGTGCAGAGGACTGAAACCAGGATACCTCAGCTCCTTTTATTTTTTATTTTGAGACAAGGTCTTGCTATATTGTCCAGGCTGGCCTCAAATCTGGTTCTTGGTCTCCCAAGTAGTGGGGTTTGCAGGCATGTACCACCACATCTGGCTCTTCAGTTTGTCTTATGAATGCCTCTAGCAATGGTATTCACTCTAGTATTTAGGTACATAAAGGGATAAGCAAAATGGGGAGATTGGGAATTATTTAGCTAGAGCTGTTAACAATGGAAATTTTATCATGACAATTTCTATTAATCCTAAGCTTGAAGGCCACATATGGCAAATAAGTACAAATTTCTACAAAACAGACAAATGAAAAACATATGTAAAACCATTATCACTCATATTACTGAGCAGAAAAGACCAAGAATGACACTTTTTTAAAGGCCCAAATAATTCAGAAACCACCGCAACCATGCAGGACGAGCCTGGAAGTCAGCTCAGAACTCACGGGAGAAGGTGAGCTCGGCGAGAGGCACATCACAGTCCATGCAGTCATCAATGAAGCAGATGCACACGCTCTCGGCTTTGACCTCCACTCCTGAGATCCTTGGGGCTGGCACTGTTCCCGGGCTCTCTCGGCTGCCGGCAGCCAGAGAAAGCGACTTCAGAGGCTCTGCGTTCTTGAACAACCAACTTGCTGCCTTTTTCAATTGGCCTTCAAAGAAATTAAAAGGTGAGCAATTCCACCAGTTTCCTGGCTACTCACAGAGGAGAGTGACAAGGTTGTATGGATGGTCCAAGAAAGCTGTGGATGTGAGGGGTGGACTGCCAGCACAGTAACAGCAATTCTGCTACAGGGCAATGACAACGAGGCCCTCTGCTGCACACGGTTCCCCAAGTCTACCAGACCCCTCACGAGCTGATCCACAACGCCACCAAGAGGCCTCCTCTGGCATCTGTTCAAGGAGAGACAAATTCTAGATGCCACTTGCTACTTACAGAACTATTCTTTGCCATGTAGTTTTATATAGACTGCTATGTAGTTTGTGAACTGTCCTCAATGTTTTCTCCTGGAGGACAGAGAGCAATAAAAGAACTGCATGTGTATAATACAGAACTGATAAACAACAACTAACTGAATACCAGACTCCCAATGCCCCCTTACCCTCCACCAGCAGTGCTGTCCTACACTCACCCGTCACGGAGGCAGAGCATGGGCTCTGGAGGGCTGTGGGGTTTGGGGCACATCACTGGATCCACCTGCACCCCGCAGCACTCAGAAGACTGCCATGAAGGGAAAATAAGCAAGTTCTCCAAGCAGAGTCCCGCATATAACCCAGTATGACTGAGTCCCATTCCAGAATTGTTTCTAATTCAGATGCATTCACAAGCCGACAGTAAGTCTTAGATAGTATGCTGTGAAAGTTGGCAACTTGAATGTGTGTAAGTTGGGGACTTACTCTACCAGCTCTTCTATAAACAGCTGTCATTTTTTTTCTAGTACCAGAGATCGAACTCAGGACCCTGTGTTGCCAGGCAAGTGCAGCATCACTGAGCCACATCCCTAGCCCCATAAACAGGTGTTATTTCTTAGTCACTAGCTCATTTGTCAGATCTGAGGCAGCACTAAAGTATTCGTGTTCAAGAAACTCTTATTTATCTTTACTACTTTTTTTCATTAATTTTATTGGTACGTTTTAGGTATACAATATGCTGCTGATATTCGTTATTGGGAATTTGTATCTTTCCATATCTTGGTTCTTTTTTTTTTCCCATTCCCCTCCCCTTCATTCAAGCCCTCTACCCCTCCCTATTTACAAAGACTTTGTTTCCATCTTTTCCTTTTCTCATATTTATTCCTTTCTTTCCTTTTCCCTACCCCCCTCACGTCCCCTTCCCCTTTGGACCCCTTTTCTTCCTGTTTCACATTATCTATTATACATTTTGATCCTTATTTATACTTTTAGTTTCTCACACCAGAGAAACTATTCAGCATTTGGTATTTACACATGTCTTTACTACTGACAGAACTAAGTTTAAAAAAAAAAAAAAAGAAGAAGAACTAAGTAATTTTAATTAATAAACTAAAAGGCTCTTAGAACTTAAAAAAAAAATCTCAGGAGGCTGAGGCAGGAGGACTGCCATAAGTTCAAGGCCTGCCTGAACTATATAGTAAGACCCTATCTCAAAAAACAAAAAAATAAAAAGAATTTTTTAAAAATGTGTTTGAATTGTTAAAGATAGAATAAAAAGCACAGGAAAAAAATTATGGAATATAAAATAAATTAAAAGGCAATGCTGCCTGGGTAAAAAAGAAACTAAGGAACACAAGATAATGACTATATCTTTAGCTTTCTCATGATGAAATTTGATGTAAAACATTATGTTATGAGACAAACATTTCACATGTAACTGGTCAGTGTGACCTGTACAATCTTTTTAGGAAAGGATTTGTCAGTTCAAATGAAGAGCCTGAAAAATATGTCTCCACCCTTTGGTCCAACATTTACAATACTACACCTCTCAACCAAGAAATACTTAAAGATGAACACTGGAAGAATAAAACACAAGTGAAAAATGGTTAACTAAATTGTATCTGTAGACTCAATTAAAAAAAAGTGTTTGCAAATAATTTTAATGCCATGGGAGGATGATGCTTACATAATATAAGTATGTCATAATAAAATTACAATTCAATACCAAATTATTTAATAGGTTCTGTTCATTTGGCAATTGAACACAGGGGCACTCTACCACTGAGCTACTTTCCTGGCACTTTTTATTTTGAGACAGGGTCTCACTAAGCTACAAGGGCTGGCCTCAAACTTCTGCCTCTGCCTCCTAAGTAGCTGGGATTACAGGTGTGCCTCGATGTACCCAACAACAAAGCTATTTCTGCAATAGTACAGACCCCACTTGTCAAGGATGGGGGCTCAAACACCTCCCATAGATGCTTGAAACCATATACAGTACCAAACCCCATAATTTAATGCCTCCTTCATCTAAGAATTCACTGTCCCATAAGTTTTGCAGCTTGAGGTACAATATGAAAACTTGCACAAAGTTTTTATCCTTAATTTAATGAACAGAAGAACCATTCTTTTTTTTGGTACCAGGGATCGAACTGGGGTCCTTGCGCTTGCGATGCAGGCAGCGGGACCAGTGAGTTAAATCCCCAGTCCCAGAAGATCCATTTTGAATACAGATCTCAGCAATGTCAACATGATTTTTTTTCTTTCCTTACCAAGGCAAGAACTTTCACCTTTCATTGACAGGAAGTATTTTACAGCTTTTTACAGCTTCTCTTTAGCATATCTGAATTGTCACTATCCCTAGTCTTTTGCTTTGGGTCATTACTAAGTTAAAAAAGGTTTCTTCAACATGAACACTGGAATACTACCACAGATCTGATAAATGAGCTAGCTACTAAGTATCTACCAATAGGTAGCATATACTGTGCAGATATGCAGGACAAAGATAAAATTCGTGCCCTGGGAGGACAAAGTGAGGTTTCATCACATTGCTTAGATGGGCATACTACTTAAAGATTATGTATTATTGATTTCTAGGATTTTGCATTTGTTGTTTTCAGATCAAGTTGGACACGGAAAAACCAAAACCACAGAAAGTGAAACCTTGGGTAAGAGGGAACTACTCTATAATCTATAACTATACAAAATACTGCCTGAGTGTGTGTGTGTGTGTGTGTGTGTGTGTGTGTGTGTGTGTACAATATCTATAAGTATGTGTGGCTATATACAGTACCCAGAGAAACAGAAAGCAAATGTTGGGCTGGGGATTTAGTTCAGTGGCATCATGCCTGCCTCTCCAGCACAAGGTCCTGAGTTTGATTCCCAGTACCAGAAAATTTAAAAAAAGAAAGCAAGCAAATGTTTGTGTGCACACAAATGTAAGGACTGGAAAGAAATACATCATAGGCTGCATTCCTCTTTCTTAAGATAAATTGGAACCCAGTGCAATGCAGCAGAAAGACCTGGACTCTGCAATCAGGCAGACCTGGCTTTAAGACTGTCTTAGACCCTCACTAATGGGAGACCACAGACAGATTTACTTTAGTTTCCTCACCTCAAGTGGGGATGCTAACTGCTACTTCCAAAAACTATGAAACTCCAAAAGAAACTCTAGAGAGTTCAATGAATGGACATGGATTATTAAAGCCACCAGATTACCACCACCACCATCAGTAAAAGTGGGCCACATGCTTGCATGCCAGTCCCTCCCCTCCAGCCAGGGCCCTTACCCTTGATACACAGATAATGAAGCAATGGGACAGAAAAGCTAAGCCACTCGCCCGAAGTCACTAATAAGTGGCTAAGAAGAGGCAAAGGAGTCCTAGTGGTCAACCCTAGAGCCCATGTTTTAACCCATGAAAATCTATCAGCCCCCAGAAGACACATTGAGGATCTTCTACATATACACCAACTCTCCAAGTCGGCTTGAGGGAATGGAGGAAGAAACAGGTAGGAAGCATGTTGTCAAGAAGAAAAACAGATCGTGGAACTTCATGTTAATTACCTTGACACACCAAAAGAGCTTTGCGACAGTCATCCATGCTGAATCCCAACTCCTGCAGTCTGGCCAGCTGTAACTCTAGGAAATAAATATGTAAATTAATCCACAGTCCTACTTAAGAGAAAAGAAATTCAGAAATAATGACTGAAATTTCTTTTAGCAAAAATGGGCTCCTAATGCAGACTTCTATCAAAGAAAAAGAAAAACTCTCAAAGTTTAAAACCAGATATAAGCATTAGCCATAGAACTGTGGAAGTAAATTCTAAGAGGTAAAACAGCAGTTGCGGTGTTTTGTTTTAAATAAAAATTAGAGTCATACTTAAGACTTTCAGTTATACTTAATAACAAATAATCAGAATCTGGACAATTTAATTATGCAAAAGAATACTGAGAAAGGTAAACAGAAGGGTTATTAGGAAGACTGTGTGGGTGCACAGTTAAACACCTACCCAAGACAGGATCTAAGGTGTGTCTCGTTCCTTCTATGCATTCCTCTCTGACTCGAGATGCACCTGGAAGGTGACTGCTAACCGGGTCTGACTCCAAGGCCACTGAGTCTGGCACTACAGCATTAGCTTGCTCTGGGATGGATTTGGCAATGGCAAGAAACAGCTGAACATCGTTATAAGAGAGCCTGATATCCAGGGTTTGTAAATGAATCTAAAATGTAAAAGGTAGGAATATTTAATGTTTTTGGTTTTCCATCCACACCTCTTATCGATGTAATTCCTATTAAATTCTAAAAGTCCAACAGATACGACAGCAAGTTTCTCATTTAAAAGACTGTAAAGAGCCAAGCACACGTACGGCTATAATCTCAGCACTCAGGAGGCTGAGGCAGAAGGATCATTACAAGTTTGAGGCCAGGCTGGGCTACATAGTAAGTTCAAGGCCAGCCTGAACTACATAGTGAAACTCTGTCTTGTAAACAAATAAATGAATGAATGAATGACTGCAAAGACCTAAATTAAACACTAGTAACCATGAGGTAAGAGGTCTCAGCAATAAAACCAAACAGCCACAAAATGCACCAAATTTAAAAAATACTAAGCTACACAGGAATAACAATAAATACATACATATATACATACACACATGGCTAAAACAATTATTATAGCAATTTATGCTTCAGCAGGATGAATTTTATAGAAATGTACTAAACATTACATCGAGATCAGAGAGGGCTCGAGAGGAGACAGGACAAACTATTACAACACTGTACTAATCCACTTTTCATGGGCCTATTTAATTTTGTTAAATCTCTAAAACAAACTAACCAACAAAATTTATGTCTCCTCACTCAAGCACAACCTTACATGAGTCATGTTTGGCGAAAGTTTTTCCTGAGGTCCAGTCTTCCACGAGTGAAGGTAGCTCAGACCCCAAGGCCAGGCCACAGTAAAGGGTGACCTGGATGGTGGAACCCAGGACTAGGGGCTCAGGGCTTTTTTCATTTACTTTTTTTTTTCTTTTTCTTTTTCTTTTTTTTTTCCTCCCATGAGATACCAATAAGACTGAAAACCAACATAGTTTGTCTTCTTCAATCTCCTATGAGCCAAATGGACTGATTAAACATATCCTTTCTACCAAAAAAAAAAAAAAAGGCACCTAATTCCTGTACCTCACGTGGCTGGCTTTCCCTTCATCTTCCTCCCTGCCCAGGTCAGATCTCCCTCTGCTCTCCACCCAGCCCTTCCTCCAGACTGACCTGATCTGCGGGGGTGCCCTGTCCTGCCCATGCAAACTTGTACCTAACTTCATGATGATACCAGACAATGAGGAGGTCTTTCATCTTCCCCAAACCACAAGATCATCCAGGACAGAGGGAACGTCAGATTCACTTAGTGAGCTGCTGAAGTCACTAAGATGCTTTCAGCTCCTGCAGGGGACAGCATCTGAAGGTGTACTGAAGCATTAGAGATTTTTCATCCTTACCTCTAGGACAGGAGGAAAATCTTCACTATTGAACGCATCCATCAGTCCAGAGCTATTCTGGTAAGAAGAATTCCCCACCAGCTCCACTTGAATCTGCACTGGGTCAACAATCGACAGAGCTGTATCATGCTCACTCCCCAATCGGCATGAAAACACCTAGAGGATGAAAGACACCATGGCATGGGTTACTGAGCACCCGCACAGAGAGTCCATCTCCGAAGCAGTAGCCTCGATTGCTAAACAGAGACCAAAGCCAGGGAGGTGGCTCTCATCACTGCCCAGAGCAGGAGGAAGGGGCAGGTAACAGTTCAACCCACAGGCTGACAGCTCTCAGCCCTCTGACCCACTAGTCTTACTTCTTTCTAGGAAACAGCCTAAGGAAATATGCAAAATATAGAAATCTCACTGAACCGTTAATTATTAAAAAAAATCGTGCTCACTTCGGCAGCACATATACTAAAATTATGTACAAAATTAAGAGCAACAAAGGTTATATCATATCTAAATGGAACATTCTGTAGTCATTTTTAAATGATCATTCAGAATATAAGTAGTTACAACACAGATTATAAGGAAATATAGCCCAATCAATATAGGTATAACTTTCTTTTAAGGAAAGAAACAACAAAATGTCAACAGAATTATAAAGTAGGGGGATAGATGATTTCTCTCTCACCTCAGAATTACATAATTAATAATACATTAACTATTAAAGCTGGGAGATGGGTACAAAAGGGTTCATTACTTTGTATATGTTTGAAATGTTCTATAAGGAAATGTTAAAAAATAAGTATGTTTGTGGGAGATGGAAGGGAGTAAGGGTTCCCACTCTAGGACCAAATTATTTTGTATGTACATGAAGAGCACAGAGGAAAGAAGACAACATTCTTTTGGGGACCCCTGGCCTGCCCCTGACACCCTGGTCATTGTGGGGCATTTAATAGTGCTACCAAAAACAATGTGATACCATGGTTCTTTGTCATATTCAAAATAAGCTCATTATATTTTGTAAACTCATCCACAGTGATTTATCACGATGGTATTAGGATTCAGATTCAGTTGTGCTGCCTTAAGAATGAGACCAAGAGGTGTTTCCAGGAATCTCAAATATTTTGTCATGTTTTTCTAAGACTTTGGAGCAGAAAAGTTTCATTTTCATTTTCCTTTCTCTTTCAGGGGCTTCCGCTACACAAAACCCAATTGTACCTGACAGTTCATTAATCAATCAACAAGATTTTCCATTCAAAGCTGGCATTGTGGTGGCTTGGAAAGCAAATGAATTGCAATTTCATGATCAACTCACATCACTGCAGCACTTAACTCCTTATTCTCACACTGAGCTTTCTTTACCTTACAGAAACAAGTAGTCAACAAGTAACATCTCTACATGTCTCAATCAGCTTTATCTGACTACCATATACTGCGGACAGTGAAAATGAGCTTTACTCATTTAACCCCTGAGCAATAGCACTGGAAAAAATAAAGCACAGAAAGTTCCATCACCAAGAGAAAAGAACCATGACTATTCTAACACTGTAACAAGAACTTAAGCTGAGATCAGTGAATTAAGAACATCTGACAGAGGCAACAATCTGCTACGTTTCCTTTGCCATCTCCATCACCCATGGCTTAAAACAAGACAGGGTGCTTTTTAATTAATATTGCAAAATGAAACGTTCAAGCTGCCAAGGCTGCACCAGTGCAAATTATCTACTTGGTTGGAGATGCGGTTCTTTCAGCCACACATGCCTCTCTCAAGCTGCCCTCTCACAGACCAGATCCTCCTGAACAGCAATATATAAAATCCTCAGCAGTTTCTACACAGGTCTCCATTAACCCAAAGCCCTGGCTCTTCGCAGAACACCACTCAATGTGGGGGAAAGAGGATGCTGAGAAGATGAGGACCACGGTCTCCTGTGAGCAAATTTGCCAAGGACTAGAGCTGCAGAACCAGAGGACTCAACAAGATACCCACCAGGGGAATGGGACTAGAGGAGGCTCCCTGAACTTCCTGAGGGAGGGACAGGTAAGAGAAAAAGTCCCTTCACGTGCCTATGGCCTAACACTTGGGAGACTGCGTTCACACAGTGAAATAATGGTGCAGACGAGATAAAAATGAAGAGAGAAGGGTAAGGGTCTTCCAATTCTGTGAATTTCCCCTAATAAGAGTACAGCAAGCAAATTCTCTTCCAGATGCTTTTCTCTTGAGCCCAAAATACAATGTTGTGACTGACTGACAAACAGACTTCTTACCTCGATGCCAAACAGACTTCCTGAAAATGGGTGATCGACAAAGCGGGGCTTGTAGGTGAGCACTGTGGTGCCTTTCAGAATAATGGCACTGGTATCAACGCAGGACACATCTTCAACCACCACAAACTCCGTGCCTGGAAAGGACAGCATTGTAAATCAGAGGGCAGAGCTAGGAGCAGGTGGCAAGGGAGGCAGCACAGTTCCACGAGATGAGCACATTGACCAGGGCCTCGGTGCTCCACGATGTCTGCCAATGTTCAGCTTCCATCCCCACCCTGGACAAACTCGTGTCTGGCACTGCTGCATCAACAGAGCCCTACACCAGGAGAGAAGAATGGGATGCAGTTTCTCCCTTTAGCATGTTTGTTTAGGCTCGAGAGAAACTGCATCCTGGTCATCCTGGAAGGCCCATCAGATACTCAGTTCGGAAAAGTACACCCTCTCCAAGTGATGGCCTGATTTTAAATCCCAGGAAGTACACTCCACTGACAATGCTGTGAGGCAGCGTAACATTCAACAACATCTATGCAGCTATTTGAGGTGTCTATGAAGAATGTAGATCAATTTATGTTAAGATCTTTGAAATCAATGCCTAATTTGTATATGGCAAAAATACTCTGCTTCAGACTGCATTTTCATAAAAAATTGTGTACAGAACAAGCTTTTGTAACCGAATCAATTTAAAATGTACTGTGGTTGGTTAGGCAGCCTCATCAAAACCAGAGAAGGAGGCAGAGGATATCACAAACCCAACAGTAAGCACACAAACACATTCAGGTGCACAAGGGTTCACCAGTCCTAAGAAACACAATAAATCCATCTGTAATGCAGAAAATACTATTTTTATAAGGAAAATCATAATACTGTCACTTATCTTCCAAACTAAGACTTTTGCATATTGAGTTTGCCTATACTTGGAAAGACCCATCTGTTGGGGACCTAAGAACAAACAGGAAACAGAAGCCAGATTTCCAGTTAGGGATAAGATCGCTGGCCAGGCAGGTGCTTAGCCTGGGCATATGGACTAGACAGGCAGAAGAGAGGGACAAGAGAACTCACAGCTGATGGGGAAACGGGCAGCTCACACCTGAAAATGGAGCTCAAGAACCCTGACACTTCTTGGCTGTAAAAGATGGAACTGTAAGGGCTCAGATCCAAAAAGGAAAGGCCACAGAGGACTCACCCTGTAGGACAGGCACGGGGGGCACCACACTAACAGTGAAGCAGCCTCTACACAGTCACCTGTTACGTTGACCTTGACCTCCAAGTGCCTTTCGTTGGACACAGGAAGGGAAGACCGCTTGGTAACTACACCACTCTTCACAGTTTTCGGAAGGACAGCAGGTTCACTGCTGGAGTTATGCTGGTGAGAAGGAGTAACATTTTGTTTCTTAATATCGCTGGGAGTGTGAAGAAAATCATGGACTAAGAGTAGCCAGTCAAATATGAGAAACACTCGGAGATTGTTGAGAACTACTGTGAAACAGGAGGAATCCTTTGTAGACCTACAACAAAAAAGATAGGGGGAAAAGGTCAGAAAAAGAAACATGGCATTTTAATAAGCTGCAAATGTATTACTCAGTCGTGGCAGGTGGCATTCCAGTGTCTATTTTTGTTTTGAGAAAGTGTTTCCCTATTATCCAAGCTGGCCTCAAACTCTAGGACATGAACAACTCTCCTGCCTCAGCCTCCAAGTGGCTGGGGCTCCAGGCCTGCATCAGTACACAGACGTTCTACTCCAGTATTTTTGAAGCTGGTGACTTAAACATTCAACACTGGTTTACTAATATATGCAGTACATAATTTCTGAAAGTTCATTATATTTTTTAAACAAGATGAAATATGTTACATAAGAAAGCAATATATCACGGCCCGGGGATCTGAACAGGTGTGATTTGCTAAGAGACACTTGGCAGCTTCCAGAGATATGTGGGGCTGCTACTGGCATCTGGTGGCAGGGGAAAGGGCAGGGATGCTGCTAACCACTCCACAATACCCAGGGCAGCCTCCACAGCACGGAGTTACCAGAGTCAAAATGTCGACACAGGGTGAGCATCTCTAGGACAAATATTTGAAATGCTCCAAAATTTGAAACTGAGAGCATTTGGTATTTTGGAATCTGGGGTTGGGGGGCTTAATTGGCAATGTCTATGCAAAACACTCCAAAATCTGAAAAAAGCCCATGCTCTTCTAAGCATTTCAGATAAGGGATACTCAGCATGGAGTGCTACCGCTGAGAAGCTCTGTGTAGTAACAAAGTACTACAGGCTCTGAGGTGGGAGACCCAGATTTCAATACTGCCACTTACAAACCGTTACCCTAGCTAGGTCACCTCCTTCTCCCAGCCTGTTCTCTTGTTAAAAAAAAAAAAGAAAAATGGGAACATTAACACTGAAAGAGAAAGCACCCAAATCGGATAAACAGCAATTTCCTTCCCTGTGGGCAGTACTAAGATGAATGAGGTGCTCGTTTTTTTGGAGCCTAACAGGACTTCTCCATAAATGCCAAGTCTCCACACTAGTCCTGGACAGATTCTCTAGCTGCAACTAGACTTGAGAACCCAGACCTTTTAGCCTAAGAAGGAGAACAAAAAAAGTAACATTTACTATGGGTCTTCCGCCAGGCACCCTAGAGGCCGTGGAATTGGGGCAGTGGCAGGGGCCAGAGAAAAACTTGTTTTACAGTCCTCATTGTTCCAATTTTTATATTTAGGTGAGAAACCAAGAAGGACGCTCAAGGCTGACCGCAAACCATGGTGTACTCAGGGCTTTACCCAGACCCTGTTAGTATGCTGGTAGGCAGAAGCAGGCAGGACCTCTTTGTTGGGGCTAGGGCCTCTTCTCTAGGTATTCCTGGGTTGAACCTGGTTCTGAAATGCCAAAAGCAAGACTGCAGGCTTTAGCTACTGCATGCATCTGGTTCCCTGCCCAATTTGGGAAAAGGTTAGTGGAGATATTTCTAAGGCTGGATTCTCCAGTCACTCATTTCTTCTAAACCTGGCTCACTGCCTCTAATAAAAGGGCACCATGATGCGTGTCTCTTTCTTACAAACACAGCAATTGTCACAGAAACACTCTACCCTTCTGTAACAGAGAAAAAATCTTGCCCTCAGTAAAATTTTTCCACTCCATTCTGAACACAGTTTGTCAGAACTCTGTATTAACTAGAGAGTCACAGTATGTCACCCCTTAGCTGGAAAATATTTCAGGCTTTTAAACACTGTGAAGTGATTTATATCTGACACACAAAATCCCAACAGAAGAGTAATTCTTCTTGAGACACAGAACACATTCAAAAGTTCAATCAAGAGAACAGTTTGCTTCTCTCACTAACAACAGTATTTCTGTTAGCAAGAACAAAGGTAAGACATTATTTAACTCCAAGAAACTGTACAACTTTACTATATGAACAGAATAATATGTCAAGCCTCCTTGTATTGTAAAACCATAACGTGTGGAACAACTAACTGATAGTTTAGGAAGTCAGATCAAAAATAATAAACCAAGGGGCTGGGCACAGTGTATGGTGTATGCTTGTAATCCCAGCTAGGTGGGAAGCTGAAGCAGGAAGAGCCTGACTTTGAGGCCAGACTGAGCAACCTGACAAGACTCTGTCTTGAAATCAAAAGAAGGAAATAAAGAAAAAAATTAAAAGGGCTGGGGTCATAGCTCAGTGATAAAATGTCATGAAAATGAAATCCATTATTATTAATAATGATACTAATAAAGCAAACCCAAAAAGAAGCTGTCTCTACAGATGGACCAAATACATGCAAGCCCCCTGTTCCAACAAACATCTTCAAAGAAAACAGCTGAAAGATACAACCTTCTTGTTGGCTGCACTCAGCCAAAAACTAGAGAGCTGGTGGGCAGGAAGAGTTCGTGGGCTCTGACTACAGGACTCCCTAGCTGTGTGACCTTGCCCGAATAACTCGACTTCTCCGGGTATCTACCTCTGCAGCTGTGAAAGGGAAAGAAGTCACCTACACTGTAGACTTTGTGTGAGGATCCAACTGACAATAGGTAAAGCGCCTAGCTTGTGGCAGACCCCAGTGAGATGCAGCTAGAATTCCTACTACTGAACTTTTAGATAAATGTTCACACAAAAGTTTAAATGTCTGATAGGCTTCCTAAAGGCATATGGAGAGACCATGATCTCTTCCTTAAAAAACTAAATGCTGAAGAATTCTGAACATCACACTGCAATGTCAGGAATATAAAAACAATAATCTTGGTGATTGTTTTATCTTTTTTTGTTTAAATATGAAGTTTTCCCCAGCCTTTCTACTTAGCAGTTTACATCCAAAACATAGCTGATGACGTGAAGTACTAATAGCATGACACTGGCACTGATTCCAAAGGTCTCTGAGATTTTCACTGAAGGACTTCTTTAGGTCAGATCTAATGTTTCAGTGTTCAGGTCTGTGCTCACTCAGGCACAAAATCTCACAAGAGTATATCAAAAAATAACAAAAGCTACGTCAGTAAGAACAGCTATCATTTGTGCCAAGCAATATAGCAAAATCATTTTGTTTTTCTTAGTCCTCCCAATTAGGTAGGCACAATTTTTCTTTCTTGCTTTGTTTTGTTTTATTTTCCATTTTATAAAAGAGAAAAATGAGTTTTCAAAAAGGCTAAACAACTTGCCCTAGGACATACAGCAAGAAAAAAATACATAAAAGGTTTACAGCCAGTGTCTGTGACTCCCAAACATACTCTTTCTACACACAATGCTGTCTCCCATAATACCAGAGGGAAAAACATAATCAAATTCAAAAAAGTAAAGACTCTGGACATGAAGAAGTTAACAGATAAGCCTGTATGCAAGTCAAAACCACTTTCCTTTCATTATAAACCAGAAAGGTGTTTTTCTCTTCTCCCTCAAACCAGCATAATTTCTTCCTTCCCCAAGTCACTTTACAAATTAAAGCTCACAAGGAAGTTGATTTTTAAGGACTTGGTTTAATCCTGTTTTTTTTTAAGGCAATAGAGACATCTTATGGCCAATAATGAAACTGCAAACGTGCAGGAAAAAAAAAGGGTCAGTAGACATTGAGCGCCTTGTGCTGATGAGCCACTGTCTATCTTTTTAGTGATTCCTTGGTCCTTTTGTGTGCTAAAGCCAAAGCAGACTTGGCCCACTGGCTACAAAAAACAATGTCTACATGAAGAAAGGGAGAGGCAGGAAAAAAAGAATAGAGGAAGAAAGGGAGGGGCAGGTCTGGCTGTACTACCTGAAATGAAGTTCAATCTGAATGGACCCTTGGGTGGTGCTGCTATTCTTAGAAGGCTGAAAGATACAGCTGAAGACGTTGGTCAGGCCAGGGCTTGTCTTCTGCCCAGCAAAGCGGGTGTCAAAAGCCATCATGGAATGGGAAACCAAGTTAACAGATTTGGTTTGATTGGAAAAACTCTCATAGAGCAGTTTACATTTCTTGAAGTCAAACCTAAAGAGAAAAAGCAAACAAAATGTTAAGCATAATTCTACTTTACAAAATTATGTAAATTCAGGATAATAAGAGCAAAATCATCAATAGACCTAACTTGTATGAAAATGAATAACTTTTATTACGAGATCCCGGACTGATTTTGTTAACAGACCCCTCAAAATGGATTTAGGTTATGCTTTAATAACACCCCAAATATCCAGTGATTTAAAACAGTGAGGTTGTGTTTCTCCCTCAAGGTAAGTGGCCACTCCAAAGAGATACTCTTGTTCATGGGACATTCATGAGGAATAACAATACCACAAATGTATTATATTCTCGATTCACTGCTATTCCAATTTCCCATTATAAGTCTAAGAAGGCTGTGTATTTGTCTTTTGTTTCGTTGTTTTTGTTTTTGTTTTGTACCAGGGATCAAACTCAGGACCTTCTGCCTTCAAGACAGGCACTGAGCTAAATCCCCAGCCCTAAGGCAATATATTTGTAATAATCCCCAAGAGATGCCGAGTGTCCCATTAGACCAATGGTGGCAAACCTGTGGCATGCATGCCACAGCAGGCTGTATGCATCACTGAAAGCCCTAAAGGTTCACTCTCATTGCTTTAGACCTTCATCTGTCAACTTCTTTCTTGACTGGCAGTTTCTCTCTCCAGAGTTTGCCCAAATTTCTCTGTTAAATCACTAAAATTCACTGAGAAAACCCAGAAGTCAGAATAGTCTTCACATAGGGAAATAATTCAATCGACCCACCAATAGAAAATGCACTTGAAATCAATATTTTAGTAACAGAAAAAATTTCCAATGAGAAATTCACAATTATTCAGCACCACTGTGACAATTTGTGCAAAACTGCTCTACATGGAGAAAAACAAAGGCACAGCCAGGCGCCAGAAAAAGCTTCTGGCCCACAAAAATATCAGTAGGACTCCAGATTCATTACAGCATCCTGTCATCAGCTGCAGCAACAGCCCCCAGCAGACTTTCAACACAAAGACCAACTAGAAGACAGTGAGCTTCAGCAGGAACATTTCTAGCCTCGATGTCCTGTTTTCACCTATGGAATCACTTTTCCAACTACATGATCATATGCTAGTTGGAAATTCTACCTGGAAAACAGGCATAATTGCTGTCCCTATTTATAGGGCTGTTACAAGATCAAAACAAAAAAATTTAGGGCTGGGGATTTAGCTCAGTGGCACTGCACCTGCCTTGCAGGCACAAGGTCCTAAGTTCGATCCCCGGTACCAAAAAAAAAAATTTTTTTTTTATCAAGTGTGAAAATAATGCACTCTTTATAGTTCTACACCAGTAACACAAATGTACACACCTACCCTGGCCAAGAAAGGGGCTAAGTATGTGACCTGTCATCTACAAGGACCAGGTGCCACTCAACTTCCAGATGCTTCCAAAGAAGGACTGAGGCTTAGATATGCCAAAGCTTCCAAGTTTTCAAAAGAAGCTGGAAATTTTTTTAATTTTTAATATAAAATCCCCCAATCTTTAAAATATTGACCAGTGAGCCCCTTATCCATGCTGTCCTCCCCAGAACTATGCAGACACATGGTGGCGTGGTCCTCCCCAAGTCCTTCACGCTGGTGGGACCATGTTCTAGCTCACAAGGTGAGCCTGAGCATTTAACGGCCATCCTAGAACACTCCATGTTTCTTATTTTTCTCTCTGGCATGTTAAAACACTATGCCAGCTGGACCTGATGATGGGAGGTTGAGATGGGAAGATCACTTGAGCCCAGAGAGATCAGCCTCGGAAACATGGTGAGGCCCTCTCTCTCTTGAAATAAGAAGCAATAACAAACAAAACAAAATACCACCACGCTTTGTCACCCAGACTAAATAAGCAGAGCAGGCTAAGATCCACAGTGGCTGCCTACCTTGAGGAAGAAACACAACTTCACTGTTTTAAATCACTGATATGTGGAGTGTTATTAAAGCATAAACTAAACTATCTTGGCTGAGAAGGCCTCAAATTTAAACTTTTTCAAAAAGCCTTCTGGGGGCTGGGGACTGGGGGTGAAGCTCATTGGTAAGAGAGTATGCTTAGCTCAGCAGAGCTCTGCAAAAGGAATATAAGCACACCACAGACCAACCAAAAAGCACTCACAAACCTCATTCTGCTGACCACTGACCTGCACCCACTACGCTACACTAATGCTTGTGTGAGCATCACTGGTACTACCATTACGAGGACTGCAATCATGTGAAGGCCATACCTGGCAAGGGATCCAGTACCTTCTTTTCCTTTTGGATCTTTAAGCTCCAGACTTACATTGACCATGTCGATAAGGAAGCACATGCAAGTGTACACTTCTCCACTCAGAACAGTCTGCAAGAGGAAAGCGCTAATCAATCCACAATTCATGGTGCCAACCTAAAAACAGACTCACAGGTCAAGAAATCTAATTTGCCTGTGGGTCCACCTTCTTTCCACAGGGGAATCTGAGGATTAAACACACAGGATAACCATCAGCTGAAACCATGAAAGTCACTGAAGAATAGGAGGTCTCACTCACGTGAATTCTTGGATCCTGTAAATCGTAAGGCCGCATAAATTCCTCGATGGGCTCTCCAAGGTTGTTCTCTAGCAGGCCTCGGATCAACTTATACTTATACAAATCCAGAGAGCAGTGGACAGAGGAGAGACTGCCATGGATAGATATGTCTGGAACACTATGACTTATTTCTCTGTAAAAAGGTAAAAGGTCGCTTTTAGAAGTCACTCACTACCATAACATTGACAGAACTTATATCCAAACGTAAGAGCTAAAATGTACTCACTTGCATTATCAGAGAGCAATATTTAACTTCTAATAACAAAAATTTCATGTATTTCCAAAAGAGGCAAGCTGGTATAGGACTGTCATGCTTCAACTATTAAAAAAAAAACCTTTTCTTCCAAATATAAATGTAGAAAATCTCAAATGAGCTAAATAGGCTGGGTATATAGCTTGTACATGCCTAGCATGCATAAAGCCCTGCTGGGTTCAATCTCCAGCACCACAAAACAAAACAAAAACAAAAAGAGAGAGAGTGTGTGTGTGTGTGTGTGTGTGTGTGTGTGTCCATGTGTATAAAATATGAGCTAACTAGTTTATCAGTCAGGAAACCTCAGGAGACTCAGAAATAACTTAAATAGTATAGTTGGAAAAGTAACTTAACTCTTCAGGTTTAGTGGTAACCAAAGAAAAAAAAACAATACTTCATAATGAGCCCAGATGAGACATCAATTAGACTAAAATCTGAGTACATTACTTGTCTCAGCTGGAATAGGTGTGAATAAAAATGAAGAGGCCCAGAATTAAAGGACAAATATTTCTCATTCCAACATGGAAGAGCTTTTTCTACCCTCCCAAGGTGAGAAAAATTACCTCCAGGATGGGAATTTGTTTCTGTGGAAGAGTACTTGCCCAGTATGTGCTAAGACCATTGGTTTGACTCCTAGCACCATCAAAACAAAACAAAACAAAAAATGTTTTTCCTTTGTCTACAGAGACAAGCCTGCATACAATAAAGTTTTAAAAGACCAATGATGTGATTAAGAAAGGAAAACTGGGAAGGATTATCAAGCACCATCCAGGGTTTTTGTCTGGGGGGTAAGAAGCTGACAGCATACCTTGCGTTCAGTGTCACCTTCAACCTGGGTGAACTGAGTATAATTATCTGCACACAAACGCTGAAGGGAGTGGGGAAGTTTAGATAAGCAGAGCAGCAACGCACATTTCTAAAAGCATTACTTGAAAAGAAAATAGAGTGTTCAATTTCTAAATAATGAAGCTCCTCTTAGGACTGTTAAGCTGGTAAAACAAAACATGGCCCATGCCAACCACTACTGAACACCAGCCAGGGAGCCCTTGAATAACAAGTAAGAGTGAAATACAAACATCCCAGTGAGGATGGCTAAACTGCACATTCATCTGGCAAGAAGCTAACAAGTGACATGGAAGGACTGCTCAGACCAGGAACGGGGAAGGGAGTGGCTCTAGAGGGATCAAAACCACACTCTGTGCAAGTAACAAGGCTGCTTTCCAAAGTGCCACAAAGGAAAATCCTTCATTATTGCACAACCACACCCTTTTTTCCTGGAGTTAAGATGTGACATGTTGCTGATTTCTGCAAAACCAGTGCCTCACACTGAAAGATGCCACACAATGTACCCAGCAGATTCAGCCCCCATGCAGGGCCCAGACAAGCCGAAGCACCCCTAGAGGACCTGATACACGCACACCTGAGCAATGGCCCTAAGAGAAGCATTCTGCTGGTCTCAGACTGGTTCCAGGATGTTTCCCAGGCAGCTATGGAACCAGTGATAGCTGGAGGGATGCTTTAACTATAAAATAAGCATTCATGTGCTAACGCCAATTACAAGGGCAAGTTAGGGGGAATTGCTTGGTCTTCAGAGCTGCTCGACTACTCCATTTCATTCACATTAACTGTCCAGCTGCAGTCTGCCCTTTATACTCCAGAGCTCTCAGACTGCTCACTGGAGCACAAGCAGTTATGTGAATGAAATGGAGCTGCCAAGCAGCTACACGAGCTTGAGCATCCAGTACATTTAGGACACATAAAATGTCCACCTATTTCAGAATACGTTGCCCACTATCACTACCCCCATCACTACCCAAAGCCAATGTAAACTCGTGGCCTTGCTTTGTTTCCAAAAGACTATATTATATACCTCATAACACAGTTTGTATCGCTAAATCAAACACTAGTTACTGCCCCATATCCTTCAACAAAACCTAAGCTCCTTGAAGGCAAAGTCTTCTCCTTCATCGTAGCAGCTTTCATGTCTAGCACACAGTAGGGATGCAATCGATATATGGCAAACCAGTGAAGAAATGAGTACCTATGCTCTTCCTGACTTATTACAGTAGCAATGATTTCTACAGTACCATATTAAGATTCTCCTAATACTACACAAGTGTTCAGATAAGATACTCACTTGTCCAGATTTCTTTCCACCTGCAATTTCAGCCTACAAGGTTCAGTTAAGAGGCTTCCTCCCGTCTGCCGCACACAGTAGGAGGGGAAGACCAGATCTCCACCGTTGTCCTCTGAGGCTCTCGAGTATTCTCGTGGGCGTCTCTCTGCAGCAAAGATGTCCATGTCCTGAAGGTCCACAACAACACAGTCCAGCAAGCAGATGTGGTCTTCTATAAGGACCCAAAGAAAGAGGGACAGTGAGGAAAACAGAATCCAAAGGGGAGGAAATGAACAGAATTAAAAGTTAAAAGAAGTTGATTTTGTCTTGGGAAAATACTCAGAACTGCCTGCTTCTCTTCACTGCACACACAAGGCCTCCCTGTAACGAGCTGTGTGCCTGACACACCCTGCTGCCTCTCATGGCACAGATGCACTATCATGTCCCCTATGTGCCTCGTGCTGTCCTGACACACTGAGGCTACAGAGGTTAACACCTCACGGCAATTCCTCCCTAGACACGACATGAGCCAAAGACTTACACACTTTTCCCAGCGCAGAATTCTTTTTAGTTTAACCATTTCGACTACCGCGACTCAAATCCAAGCTACCATCACTCTGGCCAGGACCACCACAGACTCCCCTCCAGTGCACTTTGTGATTCCACTGTGACCCTCACAAAACACCTACGTAATCCTTTAAAAAGATAAACAGTCCAATTCTTCCTTTTATACAATTTAATGGCTATTTTTTAATCCAAAATCCTTTCAGTAAAACTCTCCCAGATCCCTAAAAGGCCAAGCACAAGCCCACAGACTAGTTTCCCAACCTCATCTCAAGTCACACTCACACTTGCTCACTAAACCTCTGGCCTCTACTTCCTCCCAAATCCAAGCTCTCTGCTTCCTGGAAAACCTCACCAGCAGCAACGAACTTTCCATCTCAATCTGAATTGAATCCTTTATGTCCCGCTATCATCTACCAATATTTATATATTTATTTAACATCTTTCTCATTAATCTACAAATATAACTATGATAGGAAGCACAAATAACAGCATGTTATACCTGGCATTAAGTGGGAATATAATAAAAGTAGCTCTTGTTTCGTTCATTACCCTATAAATACAAAAAACAGATCGAAGTGTAGCTAATCTGGTCCCGGGGGTAAGGACAGGGAACAGAGGGGGCTCCAGAGATGTCCTAGGGTGCAGTCACAGGATCTAGGAACACGCAGGAATGGTGTGAAAAACACTGCTTTAACCTGAGGCAATGTTTCACCAATACAGGAATTTCAGAGTGGGCAAAACAGCCCATCCAAAATTTCTGACTTTCTCTTTTCACCTTAATGTGACATTAAAAGAAAGAAATACAGAAAAAAAAAAGCTGTTTTCAGTCTGAAGCAGTCTTTTGCCATGTCAGTTCTTTCTTTCTCTAGATGCCACTTACAAGAATATGTAAAATGTATGAAAATTAATCAAGCCATATACTTTCCTGTGTATTATATACTTCAATAAAAATTATATAAGGGCCAGGGTTTTAGCTCAGTGGTGCCACTGCATGCCTCACAAGCACAAGGTCCCAAGTTCGATCCCTGGTACCAATTTAAAAAAATTATTAAAAAAAAAAGATTAAGCCTCACATGGTGGTGTATGCCTGTAATCCCAGCACTTGGAAGGCTGAAGCAGGAGGATCACCAGGAGTTCGATGCCAGTGAGGGCTACTTAGCAATATCCTGTCTCCAAAAATAAAGGATCATCTCATTTAGTTAACACAGCCATAAATCATTTTGTTGTCACCTCTGAGACAAGAAACTACAGGGAGTTCACCATTTCCAGAATCTACCTTACAAAAGTCATGCAGAGCCTCCCTCCATTGTTGTCCTTCAACTCTCCAAATCCAATCACAATGGATTGATCTCTGTTCTCATCACATTCTGCCTCCTCTCTAACTCCAAAGCAGCACCTCACTTGCCTGATACATCCTCAAGCCACAAGGCACTGAAAAACTAGAGAAGCAAAATTGGGTCTCTCCTCAGAGTGACCAATTCTTACATTCTAGAGAACACCAGTAACTGGGTGGTTTGTGTCTTTTTAAATGGTTGTTTACAATATTTATGTAGGTACCTAATTCATAAAACAGTGAACTAGAGATTAAACCAGGTAGGCCAATTTACTTCCTAGGTAAGCACATCCCACTGAGCAACACCACAAACTCCACTCCTATCCCCCTTTTTTTCCCCTTTATTTTTCAGCCTGTCATGGCAGTCTTCCCTAGGCACTGTCTCTCTGCCAGCCAACCAATGTGGTTGTGAAGCAGTAAGAGGAAGGGGTTAAAATGTAAGGGGTGCAAGCTTGTCTACTCCTACCCACCTTTGCACCTGCTGCCTGCCTGCCTGGGTACACAGAGCAGGGGATCTGTGAGGACTCTACAACTCCAGTGTGTTTGCTGTTGTTTTCCTTTTATTCTTTTTTGAGACAGGCTCTTTTTCAAGGTACAGTTCCATCTGCACTCCATGTACACTGGAACTTGGTGGGACTTTTTTCTTTCTTCCTTCCTTTTCATCTTTCTTTTCTTTGGGGGGATTTTGTTTTGAGTTTTGTTTTGCTTTGCTTTTTGCTTACTAGACACTGAATGCAGGGCCTACCTATATCTTCAGCCCCACACCCTGCCACTTTTCCCTCTTTTTAAAAGATTTCATTTTGTTTTTGGGGGGTGTGCATGCGAGCACGCCTGATTTCCTAGACTCTGCCTCTGTTCTGATCCAGGCGGTCCACCAGCAGTCCTATGAGGGAAGAAGGAGACAGGGTACATGCCACTGTGCCTGTGTCTGTGCCTGCCTGTGCTCTCTGCACCTAATTTACGGTAATATTTTCAAAGGGATCTTTATTTCCTAGAACTAATGACTCACAAGGATAGTGTCTGAGTAGGGCCTTATAAGGATGTAGAACTCTAATTATGTTATCACCATCTGATGACAACTATCTTGACTTATTTAAAAAAAAAAATCCCACTAGACAATCTAAAATCTTATTTGCAGTGTCTTCCTAATTTAACCCCACTTTAGAAGTCATCTGATGCTAAATCTATACCTAAGATGCTTAAGACTTCTACAGCAACATCAAAATCTAATCATCATTAAAGAAATGCATGTCCCTTTGGACTCTGATTGGAACACAATGCATTTCTCTCTTGGGTTCCTGGAAAGTGAATTTTCCTGTCTTATTATGCAGCAATTTCCTCCAGTGTGTGCATATACATGTGCATGTGTGCATGCATAATTCTCTCCTCTTTTACCTGGACTACTGGAACTGTGGCTGACAGGTGGTGTGGCTTGCTGTCCTCGCTGCCTGGTGGAAGCACTGGGCACAAACTCACTCTTCAGGCTGCCCAGGCCTTTTTCAGCAGGGGCCATCATGAACAGCCCCTGGGAATGAGATCCCTTGGGGTCCTCCGTACTTGTCATTTTCCTCACAGTGTGTTTGGGAGTACCCGCTGGGAAAGCTGAAGGCACAGACTCCTGGAAAGGACAAAATAAAACTTGAATACAGAAATGAAGAGTAGAGGTAACTATTATCACCATTCTGGAAGTCCTGTGCCAATCTCCAGCCACTTCAAAAACTCTCATTCTTACACTTCTCTCAGCCTCTCAAATCCCATAAACAAAACAGTAATGGGGTCATAGCACTTCCTACCATAGCTAACGATCAGCAGAGATGCTATAGATAATACCTGTTGAAAATTATGCCAGGTTACAGGAAGATACCACCTCCTAGGCTCAAGAGCAAATGCATGATGCTAAATGCTTCAGGTGATTTCATCTAGGTCAAACTCAACAAAAGCAAATTTGTCAGTCATATGATGTAGTGTTGCTTTCAGGGGAGAGGAGCTCACTGTTACAAGAAAACGTATATAATGGCAATATGCTTCCAACAGGACTGGTCCACGGTTATGTCTCAACTTTCTAGAAGCCTCCCCACACAGGTTTATATTTCTCATTTCTCTAAGCAACTATGGAAATGAAAACAAAACGGAGCCAGGGAGGGTGGCACAATGCCATAGTCCCAGTATTTAGGAAACTGAGTCAAAAGTATCACTGTGAGTTTGAGGCCAGCCTGGGCTACACAGTAAGTTCAAGGCCAGCCTGGATGATATAGGGAGACCCTGTTTAAACACCCACCTCCCAAAAATGGAATATAAAGAAGGTTAACCATCTCTATTGTTTTGGGCTATAAATTAAGTAAGGTTAATACAGAATAAAATAAATACTGTGAAAAGGCTATACTCTTTTATATATATACTCAATGGTTTTAGTCGATTACTAACAGGGGAAATATCCTATTTCACCAAAGTAAGTTAATACTTGGCCTTTAAGCTTCTCTAATTTTCTCATGTGAGCCAGAGCTACATCTCCAGGCGGTTTCTGCAACACCGACCTATTCCCACCTAGCCACTGTTCACGCAGACTGGGAGGACAGGAAGAATGGTTCTCCTTCTAGGGGTACCAATGGTGTTTACTGCTCCTCTGTCTCACAGTTAAGTAGTAATTAAAAATAATTGTAAAAATTGTATTTCTTCCTGTAGTTTTTTTTTTAAAGCAGATTACTAGGTAAATGCTATTACTTAGTATTTCAACATTAAAACCTTCCCTCTTGCTTAGTTTATTTAAGCTCTGAAGAATGTTTGTTGCTCTTTCATTTGATTTATCTCCACATCCTTTCTGTAGCTGGTTTAAATAAATCAGGGGCTTTAAAGAGATTAGCTCAAAGCCTTTGAAAGATGGACTTAGAAATTATGGTTTAAGCACAAGCTGTGATTGAGAAAAATAAAAGGCAAACAAACACAAAAAAATTCAAACTTGTACTCATTAAGACATAGATTTATGTAAAGCAATTCCAAACATACAGGAGTTGTGAAAACAGCCTCTCTGCAAGGGCTGAGGGGAACAGCACTTCCTGTTCTCAACCACTAGAATGTGTAGGACACAAGCCTCACATGTGCCTGTACAATGCAGAGTGACCACTGGTGAAGAAAATCATTGCTCATTTACAAAGACTCTGATCAGTTCAGTCTGACTGTGGATGTGGGGAGGTAAACTTCACAGGTAAGTTAACCTAGCAACAAATACTTGGACCAAATGATACACTCCAAACAGCCCTTGTGGAATTCTGTACAGCACTCCCCTGTATGTCACAATGTCTTATGTTCCAGGACATAAGACAATTAAGAAAGTACTAGTAGGGATAAAAAGAAGAAATTCTTTTTAATGGGCCTTAAAAAGAACTTTTTTATATATGAATGAATCCACAAAAACAAAACAGCAAAAAATTAACAAGCAGGCTTCCTCGAATAATAAAGTATTATAAATGGTTACTTTTTTCATTTTCTTTAAATACATAAATGGACTGCTGAATCCCATAAGGTTTTTCAGAGTAACCAGGAGACAAAAATGCAAACAAACAAACAAACAACAACACATAATACCTTGAAGAAAAAGTGATCCTTGTATGCACTGCCACTTAAAATCAAATCCTCAAAAACAAATACAGGGAAATGCTTTCATTAAAATATTGCAAACTATGTGTTATTACTTGGCTTAACAAAATAGAAACCTTTTTGCCAAAAAGTCTAAATATGTTGGCAATTCTTCTTCCAAGGCTAACTTCAAAGTATACTTAGCCCGGGAGTATGTCACTTTCAAATGCTCCCTGCTCCCCCAGAGTAGCTATCTATCATCTACCATCTCTCTCTTTTCCCCCCTTTTCTCCTCCTTCAAATAAATCATCTTCTCTTAGTTTTTTTTTTTAAAAAAAGTATGCTTAGCCTGTATAGATATACCCGGTACAGAAAATTGGTCCACTGTCTTTTTAGGAATGGCAGAAAAACAAAGTAATACTGAATTTAATCACCCATTCTGGCTATAATTGACTTCTTCCCAGAAAACTTAGTGTGTCTCAAAATAATGATCTGGAGGTCAGAACTTTCAGTTCTATTCCCCAGACCTCAAGGGAAGAGAGGGTCTAGAAATTAGGTCCAATCACTAATGGCCAATGAGTTCTTCCTCAGCCACACCCACATAATGGAACCTCCATTAGAAACAGTAAATGACTGGGTTCAGTGGGCTACAAATTAGAGAGTGTGTCTTCATGCCAGGAGGGCCCCGCGCTCCAGTTCGAGGAGACAGAAGCTTCAGTGCTCAGGACCTTACTGGACCTTGACCTATGTACCTACTCATGTAGCTGTTCGTTAGCATACTTTATTGGAATTTCTATAATGAACCAGAAAATGTGCCTCCCTGAGCTCTGTGAGCCATTATAGCCAATTACAGAACCTGAGGAGAGGGTAGTGAGAAGCCCTAATTCATGGCTCCTCGGTCACAAGTAAGAAGGCCAGGGCTTGCGACTGGAATATAAAGTGGGGGTGTCTTGTGGGACTTGAGTCCCAATCGGTCTTAGTGGGGTCTGTGCCAACTACGCCAAGTTAGTGTCACAGCTGAATTGCAGGATACCCAGCCAGCATCTACAGAGACTGGGGAAGACCCACAAAGTTGGTGCCACCAGATTGTGAGTGCAGGAAACAGGGTTTCTGTCTATATGTAAAGAACTCAGTACCAACTGATGTCCAACAGGCATCCAAAGATATCAGCTATTTATCTTTATTTTGTCTTACGTACATCTCAAAGGCAATCTCTCTCCCTGTGTTAATAGCCATTAGAGTAAAAACAGGCACACTGGCGGGGAATTCCAGGAAGTGCTTTCCCAGCACACTGTAATTAGTTTGCCCTGAATAAGCATAGACTAAAAAGCTGCTCTGGAAAGCAGCAAGGAATGATAAAAACATGGAATGACACCTCTAATTGCAGAAATGTCGCTTGGTCTCCACAATGCAAAAGGGGTAAAAGGGGGCTGACCAGACCATCTCCTCCCACCTTTGAGATTTACTGTTTCCATTTTTACTGTTTATCCTCAAGGACTTCTAGTTTGCCGTAATGTAAAATGAAAATGGCAGCAATCTTCATTCTGATGACTTCCAAACACTATTGTATGAAGTAAATGCCAAAATAATTTAAAACTACAAAGTAAGACACTATATAAGATTTTATCACTGGGTTATTTGAAATGGTTTCAGGTAAACCATGGGCCAAATGACATCCTCTGAAGTCAGCCACTTCTGTGGAGCTGCTAGTGCAGGAGGAATGCTTTTGTATAAAAAAAACATGGAAGGGGTGGTGCCACTGACTACCTCGCAAGCACAAGGTCCTGAGTTCAATCCCCAATACCAAAAATAAGAAAAATACAGAAGCCTGGTTCCCCTGGTTTGTTCGCTAAAACAAGTTACCACACGTAGGTCATAAGAGTTATAACTTAATCTACTCCATTTTGAAAGGTTAATTAAAATGTTAAAAATATTCTTCAAGCAACACGTCTTACAAAAGTAAGAACAGGTACGGATCATCTTATGGCAGCACAGGAGCTCTCCATCAGGGTTCAAACACTAGTGCCACCGGTAAGGGAATGGATATTGACTGCTCACCTTGTCTTGTAAGGAGAAGGTTCCAGGAAAACCAGCAAAGAGAAACCTGTTCTTGACTTTCAACTTCCCTAAATTTGCTGCAATCAGGTTATTTGATCTGGAACTTTCTGGGATCAGAAGAACTGGGGCACCAGCCTCAATATCCAGGAGAACCCGAGAACAGCGCTGAGCTTGATCTCTCACCTGAAAGGGAAGGAAAATTATTTAGCAGCTCAATTATTTCGCTGATTTTATCATCAGCTAACCTCAGGTTCCCAAAAGTTTCATGAATGTATTTATTTATTTAAGTTTTTTGAGACAGGGTCTCGATATGTAGTTCAGGCTGGCCTTGAATTCATTATGTAGCCCTGCTAGCCTTGAACTCACAGTGATCCTCCTGCTTCAGTCTCCTAAGTTTTGAGATTATAGGCAGATACTACCACACACAGCTCATGAATTGATAAAACAACTGAAAAATTACACAGAGCATATTCTACAACCACCAGAGAGTTCAGTCAGAAATCAATAACAAGATGATAATGGAAAATCCCTAAATGCTTGAAAATTAAAATATTCATTTCTAAAGAACCTATGGGTCAAAAAAGAAACCACAGGAAAATAGAAAAATATTTGCACCAAAATAATAAAGACAATATATTAAAATTTATTCACCCATAAACTCACACGTAAAAATAGTGGTTGCAAGGGCTGGGGATTTAGCTCAGTGGTGCCACCACCCACCTTGCAAGTGGAAGGTCCTGAGTTCAATGCCTGGCACCCAAAAAAAAGTGCCTGCAGGAAAATATGCACCATTAAATGCTTATTTTAGAAAGAATGAAGATTTTTTAAATTAATATTTGAAACTTGCACCTTAAGAAATTAGAAAAAGAGGGCTGGAGATTTAGCTTGGTGGTGCTGCACCTGCTTTGCAAGTGTAGGGTGCTGAGTTCGATCCCTGGTACCAAAAAAAATTTTTTTTAGAAAAAGAAAAGAAAATCAAACCTAAAGTAGAAGGAAAAAGATAATAATGAGCAGAAATCAATGACAGAAAACAAACAAAAAAATCAAGTATGTGTTTATAGAATGCTGGGCCCAGCAACAACAGACTATGCTTCTTTTCAAGTCCAAATGGCATATTTGCTAAGAGTAAGCCTAAGCTAGACTACAGGTCTCAATAAAATGGTTAGGTAAAAGAATGATAAAACTTCAAAAAACAAAAACCTAGCTAAGTTAATAAAGCAGGAAAAAAGTAGGAAAGAAAAACTGCCAAAATCTGAAAGGGATGGGGAGCACTGCTACAGAACTTACTGATATTAAGAAGAAAGGGAACCTCCAAACGTTTATTTCTTTAAAAAAATAAGGAACTTACCTACAGTTAACATCTTGTTTAACTGTGAATGCCTGAATGTCTGCCCTACAAAGCAAGAATATCCAGTCTCCTCACTTCTATTCAACATGGTACTGTGTAAAAAGGTAAAAAGAAGAAATAAAAAGAATCTTAGCTGGGAAAAAGTAAAACTCGTGTTTTCAGACAACCTAATCATCTATGTAGAAAGTGCTCAAGAATTTAAAGAAACTAGAGGGGCAGCGGATTTAGCTCAGTGGCACCATGTCTGCCTCGCAAGCACAAGGTCCTCAGTTCAATCCCTGGTACCACCAAAAAAAAAAGAATTCAGAGGAACTAGAATAAGGAAATTTAGCAAGGCTACAAGGTACAAAGTCAACAGGTCAATACACAAAAGCTAACAGTACTTCTCAACTTTCAACAAACAATTGAACATTAAAATTCTTATTAAGTTGCTATCCTGTTCAATAACATCAAAAACTAGTTATATAGAGCCAACCATGGTGGCACATGCCTGTAATCCAAGCACTAAGGAGGCTGAGGTAAGAAAACTGCCATGAGTTTCAGGCCAATGTAAGCAACATAGTGAGTTCAAGACCAATCTGAACTATATATATATATCTATAGTGAGACCCTGCCTCAAAAAAGTTTTTTTTGGTGCTAGGGATAAATTTAACTAAACATGTAAAATTGGCACAACCCAAAATATAAAACATTACTAAAATTAAAATTAAATGGAGACTGATAACCACACTCAAGGAGCCAAAATCTCAGTATTGTTAGGATATAAATTTTCCACAAAATGATCTACAGATCCAGTGTCATCCCAAGCAAAATTATTACAAAGATTGACAAGCAACTCTAAAATTCACATGGAAATGCAGAGAATGTAGAATATACCAAATAATCTTGAAGACAGTTTCTTACATTAAGCACAGTCATCACGAGACTCAGCAATTCCTCTCCTAGGTATTCACTCAGGAGAAACAAACTCGTACAGCCACACAAAGACAGCAATGTGAATGTTCACGGTGGCTTTGTTTTTCACAGCCAAACACTGGAAAACACCCAGATGTTCTCAAGTGGGCCAGTGGGTAAGCACGCTGCGTTATATTCACACGATGCAATACTAGCCGGCAATAAAAAGAAATGAGCTGCTGCTGCCCAGAACAATGTGCATGGACCTCCAATGCATCTCGCTAAGTGAAGGAAGCCAGACACAAATGACTGCGCACTGCAACTTCACTAGGCACAACTCTTTTCAAAAGGCAAAACTACTGTGATAGTGAGCAGAGCCAGGGCTTCCAGAGCACAGGGGTAAGGCAGGATGACACTTCCTTCGATGTCAGAAATGTTCTAATTCTTGACTGCAGCTGAGATTTACAAAACTGCATACAACTGTCAAAAGTCATTGAACTATGCTTTAAACTGGTTGTTTATTTTATGTAAATTCATCACAATAAAGCTGGCAAAAGTATACTGTATTATAAATGGATAATCAATAATTACTGAAACATTTAATGATGTGGAAATTGTTGCTTATACATTATTATACTGATCAATGGAAAGAATATATACATAAAGTAGGAACAAGACAGATACTGTAATTGTCTACCTTTTGCTTATCCATATTTTTAATCTCCTATTTAAAAAGTATTATTTTAATTGACAAAAATTATACATAAATTTGTATTACTTTTTAAAAAGAGAAAGCTATAACATCACAAAATATTTTTTGATAGGTCAAGTACATAAGTCAGAACATTTTACAGAAAATAAATACTGTTTTCATTTCCCAAATATATGTGATTTCGTTATAAATCCCTGGCTAGTGCCTTTGTTTTCAAGTACGTTTTAGAATTATAAATTAAATCATATTCACAGTAGAAAATTTTAGAGGAAAAAAGCAAAGAAAAGAAAACAAATCACCCCTAAATCACCTCCAGAGATAAATCCTGCTGCCATTTTGTCAGGTTAGCATGGAAATTAAGAAACTCTGACACCTAACTGCCTGTATGTGGCAAAACCCAAACTCCAGATTTTTGTCCCAATATTTCTAAATTGCAGTATCACTTCTTAGCTCCATCAAAAATCTGCACTCCCTGCCAAAAGCACTAGCATATACCTGTAATGCCAGGACTGAGGGAGGCTGAGGAAGAATGATTACAAATTCAAGTCCAATCTGGGAAACATGATTCAAAATAAATAAATAAAAAGATCTGAGATTGTAGCCCAATGTGAAGGTCCTGGGTTCAATTTCCCGTACTGCAAAAGAAAAATCTGTACTTATGTTGCTTAGTGAATAAAGAAATTCAACAAATATAAAAAATGTAAAGTAGAAGACATAGGAAAATTGTATTTCTCAAGTAAACTATAAAGGAAATAATTTATATTTAACCAAATCAGATCTAGTATAACATATTTTTAACAGTTCAAATATCAAAATTTAAAAGAAATGTAAAATCACATTGGTTTATAATTTACAAACATCAGAAAAGCAAAATAAAAACAGATTCCCACTGTAAGTCAAATAAATACACCTTTCTCCTGCAATTCAATATTAGAAAAAAAGGAATTTAAAATTCAAAGTAGCCACTTAATCTTAACAAATGAAAGTAGATCTTTAGCTCTCTCTGTAAATCTAAGTAATTCAAACAAGTAGATTAAAGATTCTTGAGAAGATCAGCTTTTCTCTAAGCCTACATTTAACAATGCTCAAGATAGAAAGACAGGGCCAGGGATTTAGTGCAGTGGCACCATGCCTACCTTGCAAGCACAAGGTCCTAAGTTTGATCCCCAATACCAAAAAAAAAAAAAAAAAGAAAAGAAAAAAAGAAAGAAAGAAAGAAAGAAAGACATTCCTCTGACTTTCTACTTGTCTTATTTAATTTGATAAAGCAAAATATACCCCAGGAAGTTAGGTCCAATTATTCAGTAAAGAACAAGTGTCTCATTTCCTAATCCAAACAATTCACAGTTAAGATTTACGACCATTTAAACCACACATGTAAAAATAACTGATTTAAGCATACTAATTCTAATGGATAACATTTAGCAGAGTTGTACTAAAAGTCACAAAAAGTATACATAGCTTTCATCAAACAATACCAATACCATAAAAATACTTCCAAAAAAAAAATAAAAAACAAAAAAAATTCTGTGTCACAAAGATAATCAACGAAAGAATAAAAAAGATAATCAGAGAAGTATTACTTATAGAATGAAAAAGTCAAAACAAATTTTTTCAACATTAAAAAATAGAGAAAAAAATAGGGCAATGCGGGCTGGAGATGTAGCTCAGGGGTTAAGAATATGTGCAGCACCAAGAGACAACCTACTCATACACACGGGTCATTTAAGATGTGAAAAGGGAAGTAGAAACAATTAAGATGTGGCACAGACATGTATTAAATCCCCACAATGAATGTCATCACATTATGTACTACAAACATGTACTGATAAACACTTTTTCTATTAATTTTTTTGAAAGATTAAGATAAAGCCAGGCATGGAGGCACACACCTGTGATCCCATCAGTTAGGAAACTGAGACAGCAGGATCACCCCGAGATCAAGGCCGGCCTGGGCTACACAGTGAGTTCAAGGCCAGACTAAACTACAAAGCAAAGGGCTGGGATGTAGTTAAGTGGCACCGTACCTGCCTGGCAAGTGCAAGGTCCTGAGTTCAATCCCCAGTACAGGGGGAAAAACAAAACAAAACACCTACTTCTGAACTACAAAGCAAGACCCTATCTTTAAAAATAAAAAAAGATAAAAACATTATTCTTTCAATCTGGGGCTGTAGCTCAGTGGTAGAACACCTACCTACTATGCACAAAGCCCTGGGTTTGATCCCCAGCACCACACACACAAAAAAATCTAATAAATATATGTGTTATTCTTTCAATTTATGCTACTTTTTCAAACAACTATGCAGCTGATGGGTATATTTATTAACTTCTTTAGATTTCATTATTCTGTAAATGGAAACACAGGTGTTTCTTTTGGCCTACTACATACGATGCAAAATGACCAAGGCATTAATGTTGCAACTGAAAATTCGGAAACTTTTAATCCACTTGCAAAAGAAACAAAAACAAACCTACTACTAAAGTCCTAAAGGGCCCAGACAACTTAAGTGTTACCTGTAAATTTCCTGTGTCTTTATTATAGAAAGCTAAAGCTAAACTTTATGCAGAATTATAGTAAAGTGAAATATAGTAACTAAGGAACAAAACTCTCGAATTACTAACCTGCTACACAAAGGACTCATGAATAAGTATAAGTGACCTTTACTTTTACAGTGAAATTTTCCAGATGTATCTCTGCAGGTTTCTAAGTTCTACTGATCAATCAAATCGAAAAAGTGACTGGAAGAAGGGAAGCTACTCACAGTCTGGCCCTCCACAGCAGCTCGCTGGCGCCCCAGGACATCCTGCAACTGAGTGAAGTGCTGGATGAAGGCCACCACCTCGGCCTGGAAGCGCTGAGTGTGCACGTACTGCACAGAGGCCATCCGCAGACTCAGCCGCACATCGTGCTCCCTCCGGAGCAGTGGGTCAGGCTGCCCGTATCTGGGAAGAGGACAAAGATGTGATCAAAACCACAGCAAGACACGAGTCAGAGCTTGCCTAGATGACAGCCTCGATGTTTAAAGAGAAACCTCCACAAATGAATCCCTTCTCAAGCAACGTGTGGAGGTAACCCCCAGATGCTGTGATACTCAGGGCTGCAGGTGACAGGCAGCTCTAGGCCTGGAGCTCACCCAGAGGCCACCTGTAGCTGTGACCTCCCGCCATCTCTCTTCCCTGTCCTAGAGGAAAGGGAGTTTCCTGCTGTGGCTTTCCTGGCAGACTATGACAATATGGACTTGAAAGATAATGATAAAAAAGAAGTCTATGGGGGCCGGGGATTTAGCTCAGCAGTTTGGTGGCCTGCCTTGAAGCAAGGACCCGAGTTCAATCCCTGGTACCAAAAAAAGAGAAGTCTATGAACTGATGGGTTAAAAAAAAAAAAAACTAGGCCTCATAACCAGTGTCTCTGGGAAAAATCTTCTGGAGGCAGAAGTCTTTTTACTTCAGGGAAATCAAGGGAGAATGGACTCTCGATTTAAATAGGAAGACTTCTATAACTTTTAAATTCAACAGGGCATGATACCATAAAACTAAGAAATTATTAGACAGTATGTAGTCAAAATGGGAACAGAAATTCACATTTGTTAAGCACCCATTTTGTGCCAAACTACAAGAGTTTTACATTAATTATCTCATTTACAGTAGAACCACGCCACTGCAGTATGTAATACGAACAAATCAATCTCAATTCTTATGCAAGTGTGGTACCGTTCTACAGGATGTCTGATAACCCTGAAAAGGTCCTGAAACTTTGTTTTCTTTTCTTTTCTTTTTTTTCCAAGGCTAGGGATTGAAACCAGAGCATCCCACATGCTAGGCAAGGGCTCTAACACTGAGCTATAACCCCAGCCCACAGATATCTTTTGGAATAGTTTCCCTCAATTCTGGATGAACATTAGCACATTAAAAGGGGAAGAGGGGACAGCCTAACCACCAGCCTAGGCCAATTAAACCACAACATAGGGGCAGACTTAGACATCCATATTTTCTTACATATTTTCAGAGAGAAAAGCACATCTAAAACTCCCTGTCTTTTGAGAAAATCATTCTTTAAAATGCAGACAGGTATACAGATGTCTTCTAAAATCTAAGATCAAAAGGATTCAACATAAATCATGTTTATAAATAAAATTAACTTATTAAATCATTCCAAAACTCTGAGAGCTACATAAAAGCTGAGCAATGATCCAAGTCCCCTCATTATTTATCCAGAAAAACTGATGCACAGAGATTGACTTGCCTGAGGTCACAGACATCAGCCGGCAAAAGGCCAGGCCTTCTAATAATTAGAATGATTTCAATAGTACCTCACCTATTTATAATGCCTGAACAGCCCACTTAGATACAGATCTTTAATGAAAGTCAACATAAATCAGGACTCCTCACAACAAGATCTTTACAACTTTTCCTAAGAAGATAAAATTGTCTTCAACTTTTCCTCATTGGTGAGCCAGTAAGAACTTTAACTCTTTCACGACGGGGGTGTAGGTCGTACATCTCACCACCGGATGGCTTAAACCATCAGTGGTACCTGCAACGCTGTCCCATCAGGAGGCTTTTCATTAATTTTATTAGTAAAAAGTCCATTAACAGGAATTAGATCTGTCTGTACCACCATGGCACAAGCTGTCTGACGCGACAGTCATGCAAGTGCCATTGGTGATTGACGCCAGTGGCAATACGCTTAACAGCAAGTGATTATGCAACACCATCAAGAAGGAGAGGATCGGTATCTTACTTAAAAGCCTGGAAGATAAGCGCCTCTTCCCCACTCGTGGTGAACCGTTCTCTGTAGAACTCTCCGTGGGAGGTGAGGTCACTCAGAGAAAGACTCCCGATGCTTCCCTGCAAGGCCAGGTCTCCCTCTGGGGATGTTAAAATGACATCAGTCGTATGTGTTATGCTTCCCTGCAAGGCCAGGTCTCCCTCTGGGGATGTTAAAATGACATCAGGTTCGTATGTACCTCTTTGCATCACACTGTTAGTATGTCAGGGACAACAAATAAAACTAAATGGCAGAAGCAAATTTCCATACAGTAATTTATTTTATGCAATATTTCAGAGATTCTATACTCAAGTCCAAAGAGAGGTAAAATAGTATAGCAACCTCAGGCATAAACATTAAGAGGGAAATTAAAGTAAATGTAGGGCCAGGGATTTAGCTTAGTGGTTCCACTGCCTGCCTTGCTGCCTTTCAAGCACAAGGACCCGAGTTCAATCCCCGGTACCAAGAAAAAAAATAAAGTAAATACATACACAATTTAAAGGACAAAACATTTATAAATACAGATGAAAACGTAATCTACTGTGAGTTACACCATTAATTATAAATCAGTAACATGACACAAGGCCTAATAATTGCATTATGGATACAAGAATGAAAGAGGAGGGCCGGGGATGTAGCTCAGCAGTGCAGCACGTGCCTGGCAAACACAAGGCCCCGAGTTCAATTCCCAGTACCAATAAATAAATAAATACATGAAAGAGGAAGTGTCAGAGAAGTATGTCAGGCAGTCAGGCAACATTAAGTGGGTTTTACCATGGTTTAATAAAAGAGAAAAAGCAAAGAAGCTGCCAAGACACTGGAGACCCAGATTTGAAATGTGGCTGATTTACAGTAGTAAAGCCCTGGAAGGGAGGTAAAGAGATAAGGGACAACTGTGTGGATATGAAAAGGAATATTCTGAATTGCTGCTTCTGTGAAACACAATGTGTCACTATTATCCCAAAAGTGTCACTACTACTGCTAAGGTGCACACCTCAGCATGCTGCTGAAGCTCCCTGAGAACTGGAAGCACATACTTATGTCTAATTCCTACTCTCCTCTAACAAAAAATACCCAAGCTTCTCCCACTCTTAAAGACCAATCTCTCCCTATAAGCTTTTCTAAAATAATTTACACTAGGAGCCAGGCATGGTGGCACACACCTGCAATCTCAGCTCTCAGGAGACTGAGGCAGGAGGCTAATGGCAAGTTTGAGGCCAGCCTGGTCTACACGTTAAATTCAAGGCGAGCCTAAATTATATAGGAAGGCTCTGTATCAAAAGGACCAAAATAAATAAATAAATGAATTAAACAAGATACAATAATTTACAATACACATGAAACTTCAGTTTTCAGTTCATTCCTTCCCCAAATGACACTGTCATTTCTACTACAATGTCAACATTTGAGATTTATAATCTACACTCCTAGACTATTACATATTCTTTGTGAAGGAAATAATGTTTTAATCCAGACTTTATAAATCTCTACCATTTAGACTTGATGTAGTTACTCACTGTGTTCTGGTTAAGAATTTGAGCCCACAGAACTCCACCAGCAAGAATGTCAGCTTTGCTACCCTATCCTCCTGTGTAACACCATGCAGGTCTTCTCTGGGTAGCTCTCCCATCTGAGACTACAGACACAATGACCACGGCCCTGGCTGCCCAGACAGCCCTGCGCTATACACCTGTTTTCCAGGTCTAGTTACTAATGCCCCTTGTCATTCTCAAAAATATCCCAACTATTAAATCAGCCAGGCATGGTGCCACACGCCTATAATCTCAGTACTCAGGACACTGAGGCAGGAGGATTGGCATGAGTTCAAGGCCAGCCTGGGCTACATAGTGAGTTCAAGACCAACCTGGACTGCACAGTGAGACCCTGTCTCAAAAAAAACAACTATAAGGACCAGGGATTTAGCTCAGTGGCACCATGCCTGCCTGGCAAGCACAAAGTCCTGAGTTCGATCCCTGGTACAAAAAAAAAAAAAAAACTATACAAGATGCTTGGGGTGGAAGTAGGAAAGGAGCAAAAGAAGGTTGTTATGCCAGACCCCTGCATTTTTAACAAGCTATCTATTCTGAGACAGTATTTGAGGGCTCACACCATAAATTATGGTCAGACAATCAAGCCAATGACACACGCCTTACATAGCATGAAAAGACAAATGGATTTCTGTTGGGATATTCTCAAATGCCAGCTTTTTCAACTTTGACTTTTCCCCCCCACTTACCAATCATTTCCAGGTGTGCTGCCAATTTGGACACATTCGCTTTAGCAAGCTCACTGGTAGTCTTATTGAGCACGAGAGAGAGTGAATGAACCTAGGAATGCAGAAGACAAAGCAAGACCAATATTACGAGGGGAAAAGGAGCATCTTTCAAAGAAAACAGCAGAACAACATCAAGGAAGATACAGAAAGGCTTGAGAAATGTGCAGGTAAAGCTTTTCAGGATGTCAGTTTCATTTCTGCTGTGTCTCCCCAGTCAAACTGTGACCTGCTGACAGAGCTGACGAGAAAACAGCCCAAGCAGGCAGCCAGGATCCCAGGTTCCATGGCATCTTCTACGTGCTTACCTCGTCTGTGATCTGTTAGTGATGCTGTACCCATAAAACAACCTTCCCACTTTGGGATTCATTGTAAACACTGAGCAATTCTGCAGTAACTCAGATTTATAAGGAAAAAGTATCTCACCTAAGAAATCTATCAAGGTAAAATGATGAAAGTGATTTAGAATCCTGCCCAATGCCTTTGAAAAAGTATTGAGCAGAAGCTTCTGTTGACCAAACAGGACTTCATCTAGGAACCACCAGCAAAGACTCCTTACTGGGGACAACTATAAACAGAAGGAAAACAAAATCTTCTGCCTTGGACTGACATTCTTTAAATAAATTTAATATTGTAATTATAACCACTAAAAATATTTATGTGTCTCAAGACTTGTTGAGTTAGGTCTCAAGCTATTTTTCTCTAAAAACTACCACTGGGCACTGACTGAAGAGAAGGTGGGAGAGAAGAGAAGACACACAGCAATTCAGTCTCATCCTCCAGCTCCCATTCACCGCTGCCAAACGCAGTGACCCTGGGCAAGGCAGCTCCAGTTCCCTCGCAGTATGATTTTTGGCAGAAGCCACAGAAAGAAAGATCTTAAGGCATCAAGAGCATCACAAAGTGGGGAAATAAAAACAAAAGCTAGTTCAATCACCAAAATAACATCTACTGGGTCTAAAACTGCACTGTCTGGAGTACAGCCATCACTGCCTGAACCCACTCGTAGCATGCATCTTGGGGTCACTATAAGAGGTGCTGGCTCTCAGAGACCTCCGGCCTCGGGGCAACAGGAAGCGCTCAGCACCAGCTGGGACAAGACTTTACCCAGAAGCTGCACCTGAATCTGCTTCCCTAGGGGTAACTTCCATTTGTATGTAAAGACAAGAGACAAGCAAAGTCAGATGGTCAAACAAGCAAAGAGACAAACCCAGATTGTAGGACATTCTCAAGACACTAACCCCATCTGTCTAGAAAGTCAACTGTGTGGACAGAATAAAAAGGGGAGGGGGCTGGTTTACTTTAAGTAAAACAGATCTATAAAATGTGACAGAAGGCCATGTGTGGCGGAACACACCTGCAATCTACAATCCACAATCCAGGGCATTTGTGAAAAACTCAGGGAAATCTGAGTGTGGAGTGGCAGGTGTTAGATAATACAAGGCATTTCTGTTAATGTAGTTCAATGTGACATGTATTGTGGTTATGTAAAAAAAATGCCCATTCTTTACTAGAAATGAATGTGTAAATATATCGAGGTGAAATGATATGGTATCTGGAATTTGCTTTAAAATACCTGACCAAAGACAAAAGGGAAATAAAGTAAATGTGACGAATTACAAGGTTGGGTGCATGGGGGTTTGTTATACTCTTTCTCTATAACATACTTGAAATTTTTCACAATAAAAATATTTTTCAAAACTTCTTATTTCAAAATGTACACTGTTGAGGGGCCGTTTTCCTAGTCCTGTTCTTCAGCAGAACCAGCCCCCAGGGCACACTCTGCCTCAATACAGAAGAGCAGGCTTCCTGCAGCGGACCAGCACAAGCACAAGGACCAAGGCAAGGACCAAGTCACCAGCACACGAGGTCCAACCAGACTGCAAGCACTGCATCTCCACACCCCTGGCTAAGCGCAAGGTGTCAGTGGCCTGGGAGACTCACCAGTCACTGAGAAGAGAAGGAGAGAGCTGGCTCTTTCTCATCCTCCACCACCACCCCAGTGCTTCCATTTCTACACGAATGGAGCCCACTAAGACAGTGGCCCTCGAAAAAAACGTGATTCTCCTCCCTGACTTGCCCCAGAAGTGCATGCGCACCCATGCACGCCAAGACACAGAGATGGAGCAAGGCACATCACACAATCAGCCACTGACTGACACCAGGACTCTGGACAAGGCTGGTGACAATGGGCCTGAGCACCTCCAACAGCCAATTCAGTCCAACTGCCTTCATATCAACTGCCTACCACATACAGCAGACAGCCTTAAAGCCCAATGCCATCCATTTTAAGTTTTTTAATATATTTACAATAGGAGTCTAAGGACAAGTTACAAACATGGTAATCTATGCAACAGGGAAAAAACAGTGACAGCCACTACTCGCTGAATGCTTACTACACACAACATACATTATCTCACCAAATGAATACTCAACAATCCTGTGGCACAGGTACCACTGAACAACCCCAGTTTACTGATGAAAACTTGAGGGGAAAAGAGGTTAAATGATTTGCCCAAGGCCACAAAGTAATGTATAATTAAGGGCAAAGCGACAGTGCTCAGAGCCAGGCAGTTCAACTTTAGACACTTCATTCTTGAGTAACAGCTATATGCTTGCCTTCAATGAAAACAAGTATTTGGAGACAATGGGGAGATAATAACGAAAAGCCACACTGGCAAGTTACTAACATACTAGACACTTTGCTCAGTGCTTGGTATACATTACCTCACTTCCTTATCTTACACAGATTTGGAAACTGAGTCTAGAAAAAGGCAAGTAATTAAATGGATTCCACAGCCCAAAAAAAAAAAAAAAGTAAGATATGTGTTTAAACTGCCTATTTTCCCTGCCTCCAGATGGAATTTACACCAAAGCTTTTTCTAAAATCTTAATGTCTATCCTTTTGTGGCAGACACCCAGAAGACTATATAGCTCTCCTGCCAACAAAAGCTACTTTCAACATTAAACGCAAAACACTCAGATCCAAGTGAACAGGCTTGAGCTCATTGTTATAATGCCACGGAGCACGGGTAACCGATACCTTGAGGTCCAGCTTAGTGTTAACGGGATCCTGCAGTGCAGACTCTGCTGAGGCGCTGGACTCTGACTTCATGCTCTGTAGAACATCCTCTGGCGGCACTTTCATTGCATGGTTGTCTGCAGTGGAGCCGATTCCAAAGAAGTCCAGTATCACGACCCAGGTTTGCAGTGTGATCAGCACGTCCAAGCAGTTAAAATCAACATCAACGCTCCGGTTAACACGACCATAACTGGAATAGAATTCTGGGTGTTTCTTATCCACCAAGAATATATTGATGTGAACCAAGGAATCATCAAATTTACTCTTTCCAGCAAGTACCTTGGGCTCATCTACTGTTGGAGACGGAGGTGGGGTCAGGGGATAGTCCTTGTCGAGGACTTCCTTTTGCTTCTTCCGGGATGCAGAGGTGGGCCTCTGGTACAACTGGAAGACATTAGGAGCTTCCTCCACATGGGAAGGGAGAGACCGAGGCATGTCAGGGTACTCCACATTGGACACTGAAGGGCAAGACTGAGACAGGTACTCTTTCTGTGCCAAGCTGGATGGCTTGGGAGCTCCTCGAGACACCATCAGGTTCTTATATTTGGAGTTGGGGTTCTTCTCTAGTAAGTCTTCCATCAGCAGGGAACGCAGGGCAATCTGAATGGATAAGGTCTGAGGATGGTCCTTACTAAATTCCACCTCAAAGTCCTGAAACTTCAAGCTCACAAGACCTTGGGCTCCCAAAGTCAGATCTCCACTCAGTTGAACTTGGAGCTCAGATATACAAAAGTTGGCTTGAATCTGAGTAAAGGCTTTGGTTTCCTTCACAGACAAGGATTTTTGAGAGGTACTGGAAAGGCTGGAGTGGCTGAACAATCCATTCTCCTTCCTCTCTACAGAAGGTTCTCCGCAGGAACTGAGGGCAGGCAGAGGAGAACTAGGGCAAGGGGAGGAGGCAGTACTGGCTGGAAACTTATTCAGATCTTCACTATACACGAGATTGTCCAGTGTTTGCAAAACCTGCTCATATACATGCTTGGCTAACACCACCTGCACTCAAAGGGAAAATTCAGTTACTCCACTACTTGTATTAACTGCACTCAGGTGCAGTGTCCATAATTTCTACAGTTGATATTTTTGGGTTTCCCACAAGATTTTTTTTTTCTTCCAATACTGGGGATTAAACTCAGGACCTTGTGCTTATGAGGCAGGTGCAGTGCCACTGAGCGAAATCCCCAGTCCTTCCCACAAGATTTTAAGTTAGTTGATAGAAAGGATTACCTCTTTCATTTCTTTTCTGTCCTTTGTTTTGTTTTTTGAGATAGGGTCTCGCTTTGTAGCCCAGGCTGGCCTTGAACTCACAGTGAACTTCCTGTCTCAGCCTCCCAAGTGCTGGGATTACAGGCACGTGCCACCAAGCCCAGCTTCTGTCCTTAATTCTTTGTGCCCTACCTCTACTCATGAAGTTCTTCCCTAGCACTTTAGAGAATAATCTACATTCAGTAAATGTTCAGTGATTGTAGACTGTATGCCTGAATCAGCAAAGCCACTCTTCCTAACCACACAGAAAAGCTGCAGAAATTGAAGAGAATACTGCCCAAGACCAATGTGGCTATACCACAGGACTGAGAAAGACAACTCCTGGCTCTAACACTGGCTATCACCACAGTTATTGGAACAACTAATGTTTAGTGTTTTTTTGAGGCAGGCGGTAAAACCATTGAGCTAAATCCCTGACCCAGTATTTTTTAAATGATAAAAATAATGAGCCGTGATTATTTGTGTTTCCTTTCTCTTTACTTTCTCCTTTTTTTTGCTCTATTCCCTGTAAAAGTGACGTCTCAGATAAGAGACACTCAATCTGTGTATGATCTCAACTACCCTGACATGAAAATCAACTGAATGATTACCTGAACTGGATTCACAAATTTCCCTTCAATCTTCATGATGCTAGCAGTTCCTAGGTCATCTGGACTAAGGGAGAAAGTCAATTCAGATTCTCTCTCTATGGGGATCTTCTCCAGTTTAAACTGAATGGTGGTGTTGTTCAGGATGTGGAAAGCTGGCAGAAGAGAGAAGAAATGACAGACTTTTAACATTAATATCTACACTGTTCTTGCTGATCATGTGGAGAGCACATAAAATGGAGCCGATAAGTTACTCTTAGACCAGCAGGCAAATTGGCCTGGCTCCTGGAGTCTCTGACTGAGAGAAAACTTTGGTGACTATCCTGAGACCAAACTAACAAGCAGAGGTACAAGATAAACTTACAGGACACAGACATGGACTTGGACACACACAAGACAACACAGTATTTTCAGGGCATGTTGTACTTACCAGCTTTAAAATATGATTGGTCAACATGAATCCAGTACAGAGACTACAGTAAGCTTCTTTTAGTATCCCAAACTGGTTTTCCAAACCAAATTGCTCATCCTTACCTAGCTTCCCACTACAGATGGGTCCCACTCATTGAGCCTAAATCAGAATCAAGGATCACACAAGGCTCTAAACAAACAACTTTTACCCAAGCGGAGAAAGAAAACTCTTTGCAAGTATGTAAATAAATGGGTAAAGTAACATGTGAGAACCAATAATTTCTTCACCAATAAATATAGTCATGCCCTAGCCTAGAGCTTACCTGACTGTTGCGGAAGCCAAGACTAACAGATTGAGCTGTTTGGTTTTAGCTGACTGGATCCACAATACAAACAAGAATTTCATTTCTAGAACCCTGGGTCAACCTACGAGGTGGTTTCAGAATGTCAAAAGGAGAATGAGATATGCACAGACCATGTTTCATATTCTGTTTATGTCAATCTCTTCAACTATCTTGGGCTACAGTATTTAACTAAGAAAGATCTACAGCCTAGCACAAGAAAATCAGATATGCTTGCCCAAATTAAACAACAGTTTAACAGAGTCCATCTCCTGAAGAATCATGAAAGGAGCACTCACCCAGTATCAAAGGGGTGAGCCTGAAATCTTTTTCAAAAAGTCCTTATCTTGCCAAAACAGTGCTAAGCGAAAAAAAGGTAAAGACATAACAACCTACTACATAAAGCATTTTAATAAAATCCTATTATGAGTTCTAAAATACTTACTGAGGATAATTCTGAAAGGAAATGTTTTGTTGTTGCTGGTTTTGGGCAAAATTCTAGATGAGCTAGGTTTTGAACCTCTAAATAAAATGAAACGGAACATGTATGCTGCTCACCTTGACCTCTGTGCAAAGACTCGAAGAAATCGTGCCGTGTGAAGTGTGCTTCCTCCTGACTGTTGACACTGGCAGACCCAGAGGGTGGGCCAAACGTCCGATTTACTTCAGACCCAGCACTGTCTCTGCCTGCCAATTGAGTGCAATTCAGAGAATATAGTTTAATGTCTTTGATCTCTACTTGCAGGCGGTCACTTCTTGATTCATCATCTCCTGCCACAAAATTCTGGATGAATATCTGTCCCAGGTGTCCTACCAACAACTCAGGACTCCCAGGCTTCCGGGGGATGGAAACAACTGGTGACTCAATGTTTATGTTCAAGATTAGCTTTACAGTGTCTGCATGAGACGAAGCCAGGCCAAACCCATACATTTCATTTTCCTCCAAGATAAAGGGCTCCCGTGTCTTCCTTGGAGTTTCAAAGAGTGATACCATCTCACTGTACTCGGCGGTTTTGGTAGCTAACACAGTGGTGACTTTGGTGGCAGCACTTTTCAGCATGCTTCGAAAGTTTTCCTCCAGTTCATCCATGGACAAGGTCAACTCCTTCAAGAATTTAGCAGAGTGGTTATAGTGCAAGGAAGCCATCTTCAGGCTGAGAAAACACTCCTGTTTAGATTTCTCAACAAGAGTGAAACTCAAAGCTTCAGTAAGGGATGCGTCTTCCATTCTGACAAACACAGACTCAAAGTAGCCAATGTCACTGACAATATTTTCATAGCCCACGGAATTGCCGATGCTGACAACGTACTGGTTCTTAACATTGTCTTGCGTCAAATCCATAAGCTGCAAACAGCCGAGGGAACCGTTCATGTCAAAGGTGATCCCCATCGAGACGTTGACTTTGGTGCCGCCTATACTTGCAGTTGCAATCTTCCTGCCGTATTTCTCCCCATTTGCCATCCCCACAGTCCGAAGGAGCAGCAAGTTCAGTCTATGGATTTCTACTGCAACCTCGGTGTTTTGTTCGTATGTAGACTGGTATGTCCCTTGTTCTCTAAAGCTTCTTTCAAAATCAGTCATTAAGGGCTGAGGACTCAAATCGTCCTTTTCCTTCGGGAAGGATTTTTGAAGAAACCCAATCAGCTCCACAATTGTCTCTGGATTTAGGATAATATCCAGATTATTGACCTGTAAGGAAATCACCTGAAGAGTGCTGTCCAAGTTCATTGATGGGCACTCTGAACTCACAAATTGATATTCCAATTTAATAAGGGACTCTTGCTCTTTGGTGAGAATTTTTTCAAGTGAAACACTGGTTGCTAGGCGGTCATTTGGGGTGGCTACCTCAGTTACACCAGCCACATTAGGTCCAGACACAGGAGACTGCACCCTGCTATCCCGGAGGCTTCCAGTTGGGATATCAAAACTCAGGTTTTTATGTGAGGCCATCAAAAGGTCAAAGTCTGCACCATAGGTCTGCATGGTGTCCACCAGGAGCAAACCGTGAACAGTCAGAGAGATTTCAGCATCGTAAGGCCTTTTTACAAAGTGCGCATTGGTACCAAACACCTTGAGCACGGAAATGTACCGGCCGTTGCTTTCAACACCAAGCTGCATGCAGTTAACTTTAAATTCAGCCAAGAGGAGCTGAGACTCCACCAGAACCTCCCGGGTATGCTGCTCCACCATCACAATGCTCTGGGTTAAGTTCATGACTGAGTCCTGCAAGCTTCCCCGCTGTCCTTCTAGGGGGAAAATCTCTTTAATCAGAGTGTCAGAACTCCTCACTTCTGGGGTGGTAAGGAGAGCAAAGCAGTTCTTCAGGGCAGATATCTTATCTTCATTGATGTGGATTTTTAAGTCTGGTAAGTTGCCTGACAGCACGGCCCCTGGGTACTTGGGATCAGAGGTGTAAATCAGCCTGCGTTCTAATTGGAGGTGAACGTTGAATTTCTCTACCACGTGGGTAGGGCCTACGTTGATATCCTGAACATGCTTCCAATTGTCTTTCACACGTCCAACCATGATCTGCAGGTCCATGAACGACAGGGAGTACCTCTCATACATCTTCGTACTCATGAGGTGTGCCTGAAGCTGTTCTTCACTGAATTCAACTCCAGGAAAGGGAGGTGTTTTCTCTCCATTACTGCTGCCCATCTCTGGAGGTGGGGTATTGGGAGGGGTGGCGAGCGGGGTCTTATATTCATCATCGCTAAACTCATTCTCTTCATAAGCTGACCTGTCCCCACTTTTCCTCCTGAAATCATCTGCAGATAGAAAAGAGAAAACTCAAAATATACGTCGGCTATTTCCTTCAGTGTAACAATGATGAAAAGTAGAGCTTCAACCAATTCTTTTTTTTTTAAATGGATGAATACGCTAAGTATAATAGTCTGTATTTGCCATTTATTCAGAGTGAACTTATCTTTTAATATGGAAACCAAAACATGGTGAACAAACACATATGGCCGTGAGAAAAGCTGGAGGCCTGCTAGCCCAAGAGCACAGGCCGAGGTGCTGCTTCCCCAGCTGCTGGGCGGCACTGCTGTAAGCCACTGTCCCTTCTTTCTCCTTTCCATTGAGTGTTCATTCTGTTTCCCGCACTAGAAATGTTGTGAAGGAAGAGAGGCCTCAGGCCAGGGTTTTAGCTCAGTGGTTCCACAGCCTGCTTCACAAGCGCAAGGTCCAGATTTCAATCCCCAGTACCAAAAACAAACAAAACAAAGAGAGGCCTCACCCGTCTTGCTCCACACAATATCCCAAGAGCCCAGACCCAAGTGTGCCGAGCAGAAACTGCTCAGTACGTGATTTTCCACTCAGGCTTCCCACGTTTCGCCTTCTCTGCAGCTGAGTAAGATGAACCACAGAATCACACCTCTGGGTACAGTACATTTTATCTAACTGAACAGGTACTTTCTGCAGCTGTGCAACCCTTTTATTCGGGTCCAATTCCATTCTAACATTTTCCTTAGCACCAAACTTTCCCCTGCTGCTCACGCTCTCTACCCTCTTTCTCTTTCACACCCCCATCTCCTTCTTCTCTCAATAAAGAGAGGGCTGAGATTAGTTAATAAACTTCCCAATTTCTTTTGCCCCATGAGTCCTCTCACTCTCCCATCCCACCTCAACAAACACTATTTGGATCTAATTATAGTAATTAAATTATCTTACAGACGTTCCTTTTTATATACGCCACACATCACAAATAGAGTAAAGCTCTACCGCTATAATTTAAGCGCAGGGAAATAATATATATTAAAATACACAATGTCAGGATATAAAAGTAACATTAAAAAATCCAATAACTTTTCCATACCTCAATAAAGAACTGAAAAAGAAATCAGAAAAGCAATTCCATGCACACGCACACACACTGAGGAATCAACCAAAGCAAAGAGGTGAAAGACCTCTACAAAGAAAATGACAGAATACTGAAGAAAGAAACTGAAGACACTAGAAGATGGAAAGACTGCCCATGTTCATAGGTCAACAGAATTAATATTATTAAAATAGCTGTAATACCAAAAGTTATCTACAGTTTCAGTGCAATACCTCTCAAAATTCCACAGAACTAGAAAAAAATCCTAAAATTCATATGGAAATACCAAAGACCTACTATGGAAATACAAAAGCACCCTCTACCAACTAATGAGTAAATGGGTAATCAAAATGTGGTATATCCATACAATAAACTATCATTCAGCCAGAAAAAGGAATGAAATCCTGATTAATGCTACAAGCTAATACTATACTAAATAAAAGGCCAGGCATAAAAAGCTACATGTTGTTTCATTCTAGTCATATAAAATATTGGAATAGGTTAAGTCCATAGCAACAGAAGAAAAATCAGTGGTTGCCAGAAGTAAAAGGAGGAAGATATGGGCAGTGAATGCCAATGAGTTTGGAGTTCCTTTTTAGGGGATGAAAATGTTCTGGAATTAAACAGTAGTGACAGTTGCACAATTCGACCAATAAAGCAAAAATAACCAAATTGTACGTTTTAAACTGTAAATTATAATCCAGTAAAGTTATAGTTTAAAAAGTAACAGATGGTCAGGCACAGTGGCACACACCAGCAATCCTAGCGCTCAGGAGGCTGAGAGAGGAAGATCGCCATGAGTTCAAGCCCACACTGAACTATGGGAGACCATCTGAAAACAAAACAAAACAAAAGTAACAGATGGAACTACAGCAGCGGAGCTCCAATGAGAAGGCAAAGATGAGCACCAAGTACCCAGAGGAAAAGGATAAGACCTCAGCCAGTTTACTGGAGAGCAGGCGATCTGGGAAGCTTTTCATCTCTTTAATGTTGATGGGCCAGGACCACTGAAAAAACAAGAAAGGATAAGCAAAACTGATGTAGAGGGGACAAGGCAAATGAATGTTAGTTAACTTTTTACTGTGATGATTCAAAAAATGCCTGAGAAAGATATCAAGAAAGAAATCCTGAACACTTCCAAGATCATCCATGATGACGCTAGGAGGTCAGGAAATTAGGGAAGAACCTGAAAGATGAAAAGCTGCAGGAAATGACTGATGAAGCTGATCAAGACGGAGACAGAGACAGAGATGGAGAGATCAATGAACCGGAGCCTGTATTAAAATCAGACTTTGCCGGGGATTTAGCTCGGTGGTGCCACCACCTGCCTTGCAAGTGCAAGGACCCAAGTTCGATTTCCAGTACCAAAAATCAGGCTTTTCTCATTGTGGGGAAAAAGGAACCCTTCTCCATTGCGGGTGGGAGTGTCAACTGGTACAACCACTGTGGAAATCAGTGTGGAGATTTCTCAAAGAACTAAAACTACAGGCTTCATTTGACCCAGCTGTACTTCTTCTTGGTACCTTCCCAAAAGAATTAAAAGCATTCTACCACAGAGATGTATGTGTACCCATGTTTATAGAAGCACAGTTTCTAACAGTTAAAGCTTAGAAACAGCCCAGATGCCCATTAACTGGCAAGTGGATAAAAAAGATGTGTTGTTGTTTTTTTTTATATATACAATGGAGTACGACTCTGCCATAAAGGATACACTTCAAATGTTTCTAGCTAAATGGATGGATCTTGAGACCATACTCTTCAGTGAAATAAATCAGAATACCACATTGTTTCTCTGGTGTGAGAAACTGAATATGGAAATCAGGACTGAGATGTATAATGGATGTTGGGAGATGGGAAGAAAGTGTTCAAATGGGAAAGGGAACAAGGGGAGGAGGGAGGGAGAAGAAAGGAAGGGACAAGAAAAAAGGAAAGCTAGAAGGAAAAAATGGAAACAAAGCTTTTGTTCATAGGGAGGGAAGTGGGCTTGAGGGAGGAAAATGGGATACAATAAAATAAAACTTATTTTTAAAAAATCAACTAGAGGTAGTCATTTAAAAAATTAAGAAATAAAATATAATCAGCCTCTTCTCTTCTACTGCAAGCACACGTGACTAGATTTAGCGCCTGCCATGTGTGAAATCTGGCTTTTGAGAACACCCCTCTGGTCCCCACTATTTCCCTGTTAACTTTAGCCATGACCTGAAGCTAATTTGGACTTTCAGAACTATATTCTTTGATATCAAAGAGCTTTATAAAAATGATAAAAAGCAACAGATATAACTCAGGAGTTTTAATGTGATAATTATTTACATTTACATTTACATTATCTGGCTGGAGATGAAGCTTAACAGTTGAGCACTTGCCTAGCATGCATGCACAAAGTGTAGGCTCAATCCCAACACCACAGTGTAACATAACCTAACATGGAAGTTACATAAACCTCCTGCCAAAGGTAACTGAGAACGGTCCACCAAGATACATCTTCATTACTTTGCTCCAGCACTGTACCTTGGGTATTTGTCAACAGCATTCTTCCCAGATCCACAACAACTAACACAGGATTCTTGAACTTGAAATCATCAGGAAATATCACTTGTGGGGCAGAAATATCCAGGCGCACAGTCCACCGTTTACTCTCCTCCTATGAAAATGAATGAGCTCGTTACATCGCTGCCAGTCGTGACTGCTGACTACACAGCTTTCTGGTGGCGCTCAAGCACTCTGCAACCCCAGCTGGGACTGCAGGGTGATGGGATCAGGGCACAAAGTTTCAGATGAATATATTAAACTGATTCAGGATTAGAGGTAACACTACAATGTGGAAAGAAAAAAACTGAGCAAAATACTGATTTGAAGGGTTTGTATTTTGATAATCCATGATTTTTAAAACTTTTGCTTCTAATTTACAGGGCTTAATACTTTTAAAATATTATTGAAATTATGAAGTTCAAATAAAAATAAAACTCCAAATACTTTTACTTAATCGTGCATATTAATAATATGAACTTATGGACTTTCATGCCAAATATCACGCTTTGGGCTGGGGATTTAGCTCAGTGACACTGCACCTACCTCACAAGCGCAAGGTCCCGAGTTCGATCCCCCATACCAAAAAAAAAAAAAATCATGCTTTGAGGTTTGAGGTATAAATAAATATCAACTCAAGAATCTGTAAACTGCTCCTCCTTGCAACTGTTAGCCTCAAGTATATCTACATAAAAAGCTAATTTATGTAAATGTTATCAGAACGAATCCTCCATTGTCTAAGGTAGCAAGAAGCTACCACCACAACTTGTGTTGAAACACATATAAAACACGGGATTGTTCTCCACCCAGTACTGCAAACCCTGGGCATCCTGGGAACCCCTCCACCATATTGTCCATCGCTTCAACTGCCCCATCTACCACCAGATCTTGGCACTGTTTTGCTACATCAGTGTCTGAACTATAACAGTGCTTCTCGGCTCTCCCTGTCCGGTACTGTCACACCAGCAGGCCACACAACATCACAGAGCAACCCCAATCACAGGAATAGAAGGTGGATATTAGTCTATCTGTTTATATTCTGTTAACAGTTAAGTAACAAGGAAAAGATGTAAGTGAAATGTTCACAGAGTATCAGGTCTGGAAAATGGAAAAAAAAATTAGTCTTGAAAATCGTCCCAGACCACACCTGCCTGACAGTGCAAGGTCCTTAGCTTGATTCCCAATACAGCACGGGGAAACATTCCCAGACTGGTACCAAGAAACAGGATCTACTGACATCCATTTGTTCTTATTTTGTTTTTTAACTAAACTTCAGGCCAGATGTGGTGGTGCACATCTCTAATCCCAGCACTGGGAAGGCTGAGGCAGAAGGCCAGCCTAGGCTACACAGTGAGCTCAAGGCCCGCCTGAACTACATACCAAGACCTTATCTCAAAAAACCATATAGACAGAAAGAAAGAAAACCATGACTGTGAGAGACATGACATTTTCATTTCGTGGTAGCTGAAAAGGACTTCATATTTTCAGTTCACTCCATCAGTAAAACTGATAAAGCAAGCCTACTAAAAGTAGGTAACACACTTGTCAGAAAAAAATGCTTACCTCCTACCTACCCCAACAATGTTATGTGCAACCACTTACAATGAAATCTCCCACTAGTAAACGATCAAGAGTTTGTCGGATTTCTGCCTTGGTCTGCATCTTCAGCTTGTTATACTGTCTTCGGGCAGCTTCAGCCACTCTCAACTCAAGCTCAGACTGATAACCAAACCCTGCATGATTGGAGATACACAGTACAGTCAGAATTTCCAAACAGCTGGGCAGATAAAATGTTGCAGTGTCATATGCTCATTAAGAATTTCCACCAAAGCTAAAAACCAATCAGTAACAATAACTACTTCTTGCTTAACCTGGTGTAACACAGGAACAAGGCAAAGCTGAGTGGTGAGCAGCCATCGGGAGAAAAGAGACACATGACAGAAGGGTTCCTAAGTCACTACTTTTTTTAACCATTTTCTAAAAGATTTCCAAATCTACTACATTTTAAAATCCTTATAAAACAGGAGATTACATTGAAAAAAATGCAACTTAGAAGGAAATGCCATAAAGGATGAAAAGTAACAGAGGAAAGAACCCACCATATTCGTGGCTACTACTTACATGAAAAGTCTCAAAAACTGGGCAAAGTAACTAGAAGGAGTTCATTGTTATAATAAGTACATTTAGGGAAATCCCTATCAATGAAAGTACTTTTACTGTGCCTCCTATCTCAAATCTTCTATGAGAACAAAGGGAAACATAAATAAAACAGTGATATTTAGAACTCTGCAGTATAAAATGCTTTGCCAAGGAAGTAAAAAAAGACCACTGATCCTGTCATCTAGGACATTCCTGAGTTCTCCGGTCTTGAGTACCCTCCGTAGCCAAGGACACTGCCTACCTAATGGAATGAGAAGTATGAAAAAAATGTCAAAGGGAAGCAAACAAAGAAAATATGGATAGACACTCATATCTCCAGAAAAGGAGGCTGTCCAAGGTCATGTGTCCTGATTCAGTAATAAAGCTCACTCTCTCCACTTACTGCACAGGCTTTTTCTACCACTGTGGCATCACTGCAATGTATAATAATAACCTTGTCCAGAGCACCAGAAATGACAAGAAAGATGTTTTTAGTGAGTAAACAAACAAAAAACAAACAAACAAAAAAGTTAACCTGAGGTATGAACCTTTCCCTTGTAGAAAAAGTCTGCTACTTTTTTAATGGCCTGGGGATTATAGATGATGTTCAAGGGTCTCGTGCTGACATTGAGCCGCCTCTCAAAATGACTGTGCACTGGATTTCTCTCATACAGCATCTCAAAAACGGGGTCGTCTGGGTCTGCAGCTACAGAGAAAGAAAATGGAACACAGAAAAAACAATCATTTTATTCTTAACAGACGTATGAAGAATTCTGGAGGGGGGGTACATTTTCTAAATAATTTTCCAAACAGCCCACAATTACGCATACTTTAAAGAGCCTTATAAGTTACTGATTCTTTCATTTTCAACAGGAATCATGAAGACTTTGCTGTAACCAAGGCCCCAGGGTCCTTGCAACCTTGTCCCAGGTACACCCAGGTCAACAGACCCCACAGATCCACATGGCGAACCACTATGCTCAAAACAGAAAACACTCCCTCTTCTCTTCTGTTACTGGTCAAAGATGATCGATCTGTAATGATGACATTTTTAAGGATGAGTTTCAAGAATGTGTAACAAATTACCTGGGTATTGATCACTTCTGTCTGCTGATGTGGTTTGGAGACCAAAAGACTGTGAGACTCTGCCAACTTCTTTTTGCTGTTAAACACACATATAAAAAAGCATCAGTGTCATCAGATCACAATTTGCCAACATCCTAGATACGTGAGCCATGCCACTGTAGTATATACTGGGTTAGGGAAGACCAGAAGAGGAAACGTGGCTCCTCCCAAGTCAGAAGAAAATATACAATTCATTATACACTCCCGTGCATTGTACCCTTTAGCAATACTCTCCGTCAGCACAAGGAGTGGAAATTCACTTCATACTGGATCACTGAATACTTGCAAGCTTGTTCAGCTGTGTTTTTTTCCAAACCTAGAAAAACCAAGTCTTGCCCTCTGCACTGACAGCATACTACCTGACACTCAGAACATTTACTGAATGACTGCTAAATGAGTATTAAGCATGTTTCACTTTTTAAATGTGACATGCCTTCCCACCTTCTCCATAGCCATCCCCTATCACCCAAAAGGCATTATGGACAGGATAAATGGCTACATATCCAAATTTGTGGATCATACTGCGACTGATATAGTAAAACCAAATATCTCATTAATAAAACCTATTATGTATAAGAATTAAAACATACGGCTGGGGGCCGGGCGTAGTGGCGCATGCCTATAATCCCAGCACTGGGGAGGCTGAGGCAGGAGGATCACTATGAGTTCGAGAACAGCCTGGGCTACATAGTGAGTTCCAGGTCAGTCTCAACTATACAGTGAGACCTGTCTCAAAAAACCAAAAACAAACAAACGAAAAAAAAAAACATAGGGCTGGGGATTTAGCTCAGTGGTTCCTGAGCCTGCCTTGCAAGTGCAAGGGCCTGAGTTCGATCACTGGTACCAAAAAAAAAAAAAAGAATTAAACATATATGGAGAACTTGAAATGGTTCTCTTTTAGAATCCTGGGGTGATGGGATTTCTTACCAATGATTATGGGTCAGAATAAATGAAAATGACTGTCAGATAAGAAGGAAATTCAAACATTGACCTTGAAATGTAGAAAATAGCAGTGTATATGCCATTGTCTTCCAAAAGAGAGCAAACGATTCCATAGTAGCCACACCACGGGAGGGGAAGAAAACATAGCTAAAAATGCACTAAAAATTCAAGAACTTACCCAGCCACCCCTATCTGTCTCAAGATGCTCAGACATCAGAAAGAATCAGGTTAATGTTACTTACCATTTGTCCAAAACAGACTGCAATTACCAACACCCTAGCTAGCTAAATCTGCCTCGCCACTATGGTACATACCGGGTTAGGAAAGACCAGAAGGGGAAACATAGTTCCTTCTGTAGCTAGGTCTCGAAGAAATAGTCCACCCAACCGGACTAAAAGCAAGGAAGAATTTCTTCGAGGAAGAGATTCCGCTAGTAGTTTTACATCTACAAAACATAAAAGTCAAGAGTTGATATTATGACAGTATAGCCTACATGTTTCTAAAAATATTAGCAATATTTTATAAATATATATTATTTTAGATGTTTTAGATGCTATGAACAATTTTACCATGAAATTAGAACCAAAACAAACACCCTTTACTATACAAATAAACCCCTTGGCTCATACAAATAAAGGACTTTTTGAAGTTTCCCAGCAGGATTAATTTTAAACAGAGCCTTTCATTTAACTTCAAAAGATCTGCTCATGCCGGGGATTTAACTCAGTGGTGCTGGTGCCTGCCTCATAAGTCCAAGTTCCTGAGTCTGACCCCCCAGTACCAAAAATAAAAAAATAAATGATACGTAAAATATCTGCTTGTTCAACTACGTTTCTTAAACTACTAAGAGGCATGTCAGATAAACTATTTCAAGAACTGAAAAATTATTGTGAGGTATCCAAACCAGAGTATTTATCTATTTATCATTAATTAAAAGTCCCAAAAAGCACTGAAATACAAAGTCATTCATAGACTTTGCATGTGCACATTCACCTACTCACTAGAATTTATTTATATACACTCCAAAATCAATACTTCTGGCACTTTCTTGGTTCCTTAGACACAGAGAGTAAAAAACATGTCATCCAATGTGCATGTTCCTAGCTGAGTTCAAACAGGACAATGCTCTGCCTCCTGGTGTCAGTCCCCATCCTCCGAACAGCATCCTTTTCCTGCTCTCTCTGGAGCTCCGTTCTTTGCTTTTTCTGTGTGCTTTTTGTTTGTGATCTTGCCGCTTAAAATGGCCAAGTGGGGCTGGACATGTAGCTCAGGGGTACAGCTCTTGCCTACCATGCAAACAAATAAGTCAAATTAAATAGCTAAGTATAGTGCTGAAGTGCTGTATGGAGTTTGTAAGTATGAGAAGGATGTTAAGCATTTCCCATCAAAAATAGTGCATTAATAAAAATAAAATAAAATATTAGACAGGCTTTGTTTGGATATGCATTACAGTGTTATAGGCCATGAGTGTTAATTAACAGCAGATACATACATCAACACTCACATGTACATTTATATATAAAAATCCTTTCTTTAGTTAGTATAGTGGGGATTGAACCCAGGCCTTGTGCACCCTCCCACTGAGGTGCATTTCCAATCTTTTTTTTTTTTTTTTTTAATTTTGAGATATGGTCTAATTAAGCTGCCCTGGTTGGCCTTGAACTTGCAACCCTTCTGCCTCAGCCTCCTGAGTAAGTGGAGCTACAGGCATGTAGCTTAAAGGTATCTTTAAACACAAACTCATAAAAAGAAAAGGCAATTAACCTACTGAGGAGCAGTAGGCTCAGAGGCTCACAAGACTGTAACTAAACTTCCCTTGGGAACAACGGTTCAGTCTGTGTTTGTGGTGACTTTTTGGACTATAACCACTACAAATAATGAGAATCACCCAGAGGCTGGCACCTAGGAGGAGATGGCAGCAGTGGGTTCTTCAGGGGCAGTACCTGAAAACTCGAGCTGCATGAAAGCACTTTCCTTCATCTGAGGAGTCCCTTGCTCCTTGTGTAGCAGAGTCACTGTGCCACACTGCAGCTGCACGTTCAGCTTGGCAAAAACATGATCTCGCTTTGTGTACGTGTTCATACATGAGGCATCTGCGGTGGGGTTAAAAAACTCCTCGGTGCCTACGTGACAAGGAAGAACAGGCTTTAAGGCGTAACACCAATCACAGCTGTGATGACTCAATTTAACCATTTCACCCTTTCTTAAGGAAGGAACCCAAAGACATGGACGACAACTGTACTTACTAATGTAAAGCAACCTGAACTGTTTCAGAAGGGCTCTCGTCCACATATCAAAACAGGCAGCACAGGATCCACAATGAAGTCCCGTGTGAAGCAGCACAGTCCAATACAGTGAGACGGCCTTGTCCGGGTCATCCAGGACAACAGCCACCAACCACAAGTGCTACCAAGCGCTTGTGACACAGGGGCTGGTGCAATTAAGAGACTAGATTTTACTTCTATTTAATTATAATTAACTTCAACAGCCACTTGTGGCTGTGGCTCTCATTTAGACAACACAGGTCCCAAGAGTGCCTCTGGACTGGCATTCAAGCTTTGGAGTTCTTCTGATTTAAATATGTGAACACGCTCAATTTAGTTCTCTGAAAATAGCTGCCACTCAGACCTACATCAGTGTTCATTTGTAATCACTGACTTGCAAATGGAGCCTCTCCCCAAACATTTCTTCTGTCTCTGCTCAAAACAACCATTTTCTAATGTTTCTGCTGGGTGAGTCTGAAAAGGACCGTGGGCCACTGCACAAACAACGGCCCAAGTGTCTCCCTTCACTGTGACAGAGGGGTACACGCAGGCCGGCAATGAGCATACCCAGGATCTCTTCGGGGGTCCATTGCTCCTGCTGCTCTGCTGAGAGTCCCTCCACCGCCTTGCCCTCGGAGGTCTGCTGCCCATACCAGCCGCCCCAGCCGGGGAACCAGGACTGAAGGTACTGCAGCATCCCGCTGCCTCTGCCGCCATCTGGGTCTCCAGGAGACTCTCCAGGAGAATCGAACTGAGGCTCTCGCAGACTCTGCAGTCACAACGGAGCACAAGTGGGCATCCAAGGACGTCCCAGACAGAAAGAAGCTCAAATGCTGCAAGTGTGCTGCATCTGAAGAAACCTTCTCTAGAGGATGTCTTACCTCTGCTAGCTCTTCTTGCTTATAAAAGCGATCATGAACCAGTTCACGCAGAATCTTCAACTCCTCAAAGCTCTGCTCCTCCTCAATCCGACACATCTCCTCCTGTTTAGATGAAAGCAAAACAAACAAAATCAGACCCTGTAGCTCCAGAGGAAGTGGATACCCTCACAAATTACTACCGGTACCACTAGGGAATCTACTGGCCCCAACATTCTCAGTGAGGACCCAGAAACATGATAAACAGCTAGCTCCATGACTGCAATTTCGGGTTTAAACACATTTTCCCTATAGTCTAACAGACTTTACTTGGTCTCAAAAACACCTCCAACAAGTTTCACAGTTTCTACAATTAATGGTGCAGAGAAAGGACACAAAGAACAGTACTTAATTTGCAGCAGGCCACTGGAATATGTGTGTAGCTGCAAAGTCCTACCCTGTGTTGAGCACGATGCTGAGCTTCCCTCGCATTGGCTCAGATGACCAGAGCGGGCCCGGGGTTACCACTCTTCCCACCTTGAGTGTGCAGGCCCCTAGCACCTTTGCGCTTCTTGTGGTGTGCTGGCAATGACATTATATTCTCTACTTGTTTCCTACTAGGTAGGAAAGGGCGATGGTAGCCAGCAACATGCCAAGTTTAAAAACAAAGTCAAGGGCTAGGCATAGCTCAGCTGTAGAGCATTTGCATAGCTCACACTATAAGGCCCTAGGTTAGATCCCCAGCAACTCAAAAGAAAGAAAGAAAAAAGGAGAGGTAGCTACCACTATCTTAAACTGTCTCTTACTCCTTAACACTAAGAAAAAGGAGATTATACTTGTTTGCCCAGCTCAGGGTTAATTTACTTTTTCTCTCCCTCCAAATTTGCCTGCACCTTTCAGAAAACCATCCAAAACAAAATGCCTGATTTATTCCATCTGCCTCCTAAGGTTCCTACATCACCATGACTGACACTAACAAAGAAAGCATTAACCAAGTGGAGAGGCCATGGCCTCGGGGTGCCAGCAGGATGGAGAGAAGCTCTGTTTACTACACGGTGGATGCCAAAGGGCAAGAATGTTCTTCTTTGCTTGGAAAAGTCTACTACAGAAATGGTTGGTTAAAAGACATCACCTGAGCTAAAATACTAGCAATGGTCTCAATTGCTCTCACAAAACCTGATGTACACAAAAGCAAAACGAATCAAGGAACAAAGCAATCCCAGTGACTTCTCTTAGGAGATAATCATGCAGGCACACCAGGAGAGGAGTGGATCACCACCAGAGCCCTGCGGTGGTTACAGGGCCTTTAGTCCACAGGTACTGCCAGGTGAGCTTGTGTTCCCCACCCACAGTACCCCCTTCTCCCTCGCCTCACCTCTACCACCGCCAACAAAAAAGGAAAAAGTAAAAAGGTTAATGAAGTTAACTGAAGTCAATTAGGATAGCAGAAATAGAGGCCGAAGGACACAGGGATCGGTTACGGACTTGAGGGGAAAAAATTAGGACTGGGATCAAGCTTTGAAGTGACATAGGTGACCTGCACAGAGAAATGCAGGAAGGGATGTGGGAACGAAGGTCTGGCAAGACCACAGCCATCTCCTCTCCCTCCCACCCCATGTCCGGCTCTCTTCAGGAAGCAGAGAGAGGAGGATGCTTCTGGCCAGGGTGAGGCCAGGTCCGGCCTTCCAAGCACTACTCACTCTACTTTGCCTCCAAGAGCCCATTTCCTCCTGCCTTCCCCTCTGAATGAAAAGAAGAAACACAAAGCAACAGTCCACTCACCTTGTCGTCTGCAGACAGTAAGCCTCCTTTCAACTTGCTGAAATATTTGTCAGTGTAAAACACAGCATCATGGGCACGGTGCAACAAGAAGTCCCAGGTACAGCGCTTCCGCTGCTCTCTGATCTCATATAAGTTCGCATTCAGAGCAAAATACCACCATTCCCGGCAGCTGAAACAGCCCATAACAATGTATCACTTCTCACAACAAAGCAACCGCAACGCTGGAAATCCAGGGTAATCCATAGGACACCACTTCTCCTCCCAGACATTCTCTCTCTTATCTGCCATCAATTTATGTCCAGGGTCCTTGTACTATTCAGCTAAACCCAATATGCAGGAAAAGTAAATCTGCTACTAAAGAACACTAAAGAACAGATCCCCGACTGACATGTCAGTAATGACAGTATTCCACCAGCTGTGTTCCCACGGTCTTAGTCCCCTACACTGAGAGAAAATCAAGTGCTGCCAGGGAGGCAAATACCACCTCTCAATAGTTACCACGATTTCAGCACCAAAGACTGAAGCAGAAGCTCAAGGGTGCAGTGCCTCCCTAGTATGCCTGAGGCCAGGGGTTCCAGCAGGGCGTGGCAGAGGGGTATAAACGGAACTTCTACGAAAATACATGGAAACATACAGGATCTTTAAAAAGTTTTAATGTATCAGACTGGTCAAGTTTATCACTGCAACAGGAAAGAGGATTTATTTTTGTCATGGAAGTTATAAAGCGCAGTATAACGTACACAAACACTAACCCAACAACCTGGGAGAAGATGTTAAAAAGCAGAATCAGGCCGGGCATGGTGGCACATGCCTGTAATCCCAGCACTTGGGAGGCTGAGGCAGGAGGATTGCTGTGAGTTCGAGACCAGCCTGAGCTACATAGTGAGTTCCAGGTCAGTCTCAACTACATAGTGAGACTGTCTCAAAAAACAAAAAACAAAACAAACAAACAAAAAAAGGCAGGACCATGGATGGAGCTCCAGCTCAGTGGTGCGCACTTGCCTAACATGTTCAAGGCACTGGTAAAGAAAAAGAAGGCTCAAAGAACACTAGAGTATTCACTGCACAGCAGACCCTACCAGATGAACATCAGTCTCCCTGCCAAACTAGACTAAGAGGATGAAATGAATTTCACTACACTTGATCTAAAAGTGAACTCCCACTGAATAAACACACAATAAGAACATCAATAGTGATAACAGGAATGGCATTTTAAGGACCAGGAAAACTAACCACACTTTTACCTCCAACCATGTGTAAAGGGAGGCATTATTTCCAATCTGTATTTTCCAAAGAAAAGAATGTGCATAAAACGCACTTTGCATACAACATGTATAAGCCCTTACTTCTTCGGTATTGCTGCTTTTGGTTTCCACTTCCGGAACTTCACCTGCCTCTCCTTCCGTTCCAGCTCCTTGAGGAACTCCATCATCTGCCTGTATTGCAGCTTTTGGTTAGAGATTAAGAGATACTAGGTTAGAAGAGGTGTGGTTCTTTTACTCAGCTAAGACCTGCACGCAACAAGAACCATTCACACTCATCAAAGCAGACCTGGAACCCGGAATACTGCGGGGCATGTTTCTCTGACCACTGACAGTTAATATTTATATTTACTGAACGTCTTAAATTCTTTGCTCAGCATTTAACATCAAGTCAAAATTAACCTGGGATGAAGCCAATTTAACTGTAACAGAAAGTGGGTTGTGTATGTAACACAGCATGGATCTGGAGCCCTGCTATGAACAATTCCCCTTCCCCACCAGCGACTAGCCTGGCAGCACCTGAGAGAGCTTCAAGGGAATGGTCTCCAGCTGAATGTCACACTCGATGCGGGGGCTGTGTCGAGACCGCAGAGGCTCCTTGGAGCAGTTTCTCCTCAAGAGCGCGGAGGCACACACGGGCTCAAGGACATAGTGGTGACTGCGACTCTCCATGCTCTTCGCCATGGCCTCCTGCACGTCACAAGAACACCTGCTCTGTCCAGCTGGCCTTGCTCTGCTCATTGCCCTGAGAAGGCTGCAGGTTTTATGCCAGTCAAGCTCAGCTACGGGATGTGTCACGACAGCCAACATTCCCCATCAACGGTGTGCAACAGCAACAGCACAACCCAAAAATAGTATAAAAGTGCATTCTAAAGTTCGCTCGTATTTTAAAACATTATTTATATTTCCCCACAGGTAATATATTCACATGGCTTAAAATGTGAAAGGCAAAGAAAGTGAACTGTCTCTTCCCTAACCTCATTCCCCAGCCACTCATTTACCAATCCCCAGAGGCACCCAGTGGGGTCACGGCTTCCGGCTGCCCCAGGACTCTGTGATTACTGTGCTCAGCAAATCTGTAGCTTGTTTTCTTACACAAATGCAATAAAACCTGTGTGCTGTCAGTGCGTAAAACTTTAACACGGTATCTTACAGACTATCACATATTCATTCATCATAAAGATCTTCTCTTTATTCTAAATAGCTACATGATGTTCTACTATAAGGAAATGGTATTTATTTAATAAAATTAGCAAAACCAATACCATTTCGCACAACAGCCTGCAAAAGCAAGATAACCTTGGTGGAGGAAAAGTGAGTCATTTTCCCCACTTCAGTCAAACCACCTACAATTTCTTTATAAAAAGACCAACTAAACTACTTTTTAATCATCCACAAACAGTAATACTTTATATGTGATGACTTGTAACTTTTGAAGTATCTCTTAAAGGAATACCACCAAAGGTGACATTTCAACGTACAATGTAGTAAGAGAGCTCCCCTTTAAGAATCATATCTGAAGGCCTGGCATGGCGGTGCAGGCCTATAATCCCAGCACTCAAGAGGCAGAGGCAGGAGGACTGCCGTAAATTCGAGGCCAGTCTGAACTGCACAGTGAGACCCTGTCTCA